CATGTTCATCCACTTGAGTTTTGAGAACATTTCTGAACTTGGTGTAAGTACATTCATTTGGAGAACAATCCAAGTCATCTGTTTATGCAACTTAATCAGTGTATCCCGAAGACCTTGATTACAATTTGACCATGAGGTGCACTGGTGCAGCAAAAATCAAAATATGGTAATACCAGTGCATTTGCACTTAATCAGTGTATCCCGAAGACCTTGATTACAATTTGACCATGAGGTGCAGCAATAATCAAAATATGGTAATACCAGTAAATTTGCTAATTATACCGATTTTGGTATACTGTGTCTTATGTCCTTGAAATAAAGTAGACACTGAACCTCTAGGAAATATACATGTTCGTGGATGTCTATTCATTTATCATGACCAGTTGACGAACTGGGGCATTTTCCAAAGATTACATAAATTATAACACTTCATTTTATCTATACATAATTATCTGGCGGTTACGGTGTAAACCACTTTCTACCATTATGATTTATGAAGGACCAACGAATAGAATCTTAAAGATTTGCTTGATAACTTGATACCAGTTCCCAAAACAACAGGGAATTCCATTGATAATTTTAGGTTAGCACCCACTAAACAGTCAGACTATCACGTACACGAATTTGGCGAAATATTGAAGCAACGATGTCACACCAGGGCAAAACAACGTTTGTGCTCGAGGGGAGAAATACGTGAGTCTACAACACGTATATTTTCCTTATCGGTGAAGACGGAAGAGTATTTTTAACTTTTAACGATAAGATGTCGTCACAACATCTTGGATACCCGTCTCAGCGCGCTGAATAGGAAGGCGCACAGATTATGATGCGTTTCATTGGCAGCTCGCGGAGCAAGATGCCAAGAGCCTTGTCCGATTTTCCGGGAAATTACCTCACGATATTCGAGGCTTCCATTCTTGTCGACTTCTTGAAGCAGTCTGGGTTCTTTTTCGTTTTTGCTCAGCTTTCCCCTTTCATTATCAGGAAGTCGTGGTCTAGACATTACTCACGGAGATCAATTAACTCGAGCAATGCCCGACACGCACGCCTATTGTTATTGTCTGAGGATGAGGTGGAAATATGAACGGCACGCGATGCGAAGAAGAGATGAGGAGAGAGAGTCAGGGAGAGAGAGAGGGAGATGGAGGGAGATGGAAGAGAAAAGAGAGAGAGAGAGGGAGCCTGAGAGAGAGAAAGAGAGAGAGAGAGAGAGAGAGAGAGGGATAGAGAGAGGGATAGAGAGAGGGGTAAAAGAGGATCGAGAGAAAATAGACAGAAAGTAGGGGGAGAAAGGAAGTTAGGAAGGAGAGAGATGAGGAGGGAGGGTGTAGAGAAAGAAAGAGAGTTGGATATACGATTAATATTCACGAGTTAAATGGAATGACCGATACAGTTACCCCCCCCCCCCCCCCCCCCAACAAAAATAAAAGAGAGAGAAAAAAGAGAAGGGATAAAGAGCAACCAAAGGACAGAGAAGAGAATACTAAAGATAGAATTAGGAGAGACTGAAAGAGACTGAAAGAGACTGAAAGAGACAGAGGGAAGTGATAGAGAATAATAGTCTAAATCACATTAGACCCGGTGAGATGCTTCACAACTTCAAAGTACTACACTGATATTGTAGGATGAAAATCCTCATAGAATAACAATTCTAATTGAAATGTGTATGCAAAGAAATGAATATTAACTCCCCCCCCCCCCCCCCAAAAAAAAAAAAAAAAAAAAAAAAAAAATAATAAAATAGTTCAATAACAGTCCTCTTCCATGGCTAAACATCCATCGTCTGTGACAGACATGATGTAGGTATACTTATCATGTATTTAGGAACAAGGTGAAAATCAATTTTGTTTTCAGTTTTAATTCTTTAGATTTTTTAGATATTCAGATGGTTTACTGATTTAAAAGAAGTATAATATATTATATCAAAACAGATAAAACCCAAAATTGACAAAAATAAAATGATCATTTACAAGAGAATCATGGGAGGAAACTTGAGTGACCGTTTTTGAAATTGGAAGTAAAGAGGCACAAAACATTATGCTTTCAATACACAAACTACTGGGGGTTTCGTGCGTCAATTTTAATTTCATATAATCTAATTTAAAGAGGGAAAATCTTTTGCTTTAGTCTTTGGGTGTTATCACCAAATCTAAAATTGTACAGAAAAGGACAGGAGAAGGATAGATAACATTTGTGGGGCATTAATCCTCATTACTGTCATTTATGACTTAAGGGCGTAGGGGTCCCCTAGTTGATAAGCATAGTAGCATACACATTATACAAATTATTATTCAATAAAATCTGAGAATGTATAGTATTATCTAGATCTGTTAGGAATAAATCATTGTCAAAATAATTCCATAAATTGGGGTAAACATTTTTTTTCCAACTTTATGAGCAACAGTGTAGTTTGGGTCTGAACGGTTAGACTAAGCTGATGAGTGGGTGTGGTGTGGGGTGTTTCCTTCCCCCCTCCTCAATTTGACGGCCTTCGAGATGAATTAAGTAACCGCACTTTGTATTTTTGAAACCTTATCACAATCATGGACAGTGATCTTCACAGGATCTCTCGAGTCCCATTTCTATTGATTTGCGATGCCTCACGGCTAAATTTGAAGATACGAACTTGCATATCATTTTTATATTGCTTGCAATTCTTTTTTATTCTTTTTTGTAAAAGATTTTCTTTCGAAAAAAAACACAATATTAACATTTTCGGAAAATGTTGACACTTTCATAAGCTTTTCAAATGATGACGTGACCCCCTTTCTTTTGGTGACGAAGATGATGATGATGATGATGATGACGATAATGATGATCATCATCATTATCGTCGCCCTCATCATCGTTGTCAAAATGAGCGTAGTGGTGGTGACGATGATGAGGAGGATAATGATACGAATGGCGAAAACTAACGGCTGGAGGAGTAGATAATACATACTAAATTGTTGAGGAAGAAGTTCCTTTACAGCGCAACATAGTGAAACATGTGAAAGGAATTCTCTGCTTTAAAATGACAACATCTATGAACTTGATTTGACAGCTTTACAACTTCGACGAAGATTCAATCACCCCGCCTTTCTCGATTCATTAATCGACTTGCTTTTGGCGGCAAACGTTAGCGAATTATTCCACGGTAAACTAATTATCGTAAAAAGCACGTCTAGCCAACGAGGAACTCATGTCATCCAATTAGAAACTCAGTAAAACACGAATGCTTGTTAGAAAAATCACTTTCAAGCAAAGGGATGTTGTCGGGTGGATGATGCCTTTATCTGCATACATGGAAGGACGTGAGTGTGCGAACAATATAGAAAGTGGAGCTGTATGAAGTTGTGTCAATCCTAAATCTTTGGTATGATTTACGCAATAAAAACATCACATGATTTAAGTTAATAATAATAATGATATATGAGATTCGTAAGGCGCCGAATCCACTTGAAAACAAAATGCTCAATCAAGGCGCACTCGTGAAACAAAAACAAAACAAATAAGAATACAGAAAGGCATCTGCATTATAAACAAAGGAACAGAACTTAGAACATATATGAAAATGACTGAACATTAATTATATATGCCGAATTAAACATACATGTTTTGAGATTATTTTGAAACACTTCAACTGATCTGTAATACGAGTCTCTTGAAGGAGAGCATTCCAAAGATAAGGCCTTTCGCGACCAAAGGTTCTTTTCCTCCAATTACTATTTAGCTTATGACCAACAAGATATCTGGATATTATTAGAGAGCGTAATGATCTGAACGGAATGTTTCATTTCATTTCCTTTATTTATTTAAACACGGTATTTTGTTATCCAGTTCCATCCAGTTAACATGGACTTTCTGAAAACAGCCGTTTAGGCTGAGAGAAACGACTTTTCAGAAAGTCTGTGTTAACTGAATAAAAAATATACAGATTATATCACAAACAAAAACCAGTAACAAAAGATAACAAAACATGAACATAATTATATTAAATTATACAAAATAAACGAATCAAATCAAAACAAAGGAAAACATAATTGGTATGGGTAACTATGAAGAATAAGAAGAAAAAAAAGTGAATTATTATAATGTACAAAATACAAATTTGTTAATGATTTGTTAATGATACAAAATTCAAATTTTTTAATGATTTATCACAGTAATATTGGAGCAGAATCATGAAAAATAAGAGCAAAGAATTTTAAAACCAATGCGCTCACTCATGGGCAACCAATGGAGTGATTTGATGACTGGTGTGATGTGACTGTGTTTTCGTAGCTATAAAAGCATCATTATGTTTTAATACAGATAACGGATACCCAGGTAAACATAAATAGGCATATTTTTCATTAAAAATATTGTTTAATCATCACTTTGGTGAAAATATCTATCCGATAGTACAACCGCAAAATTGAAGTAAAAAACAAATAACAAAACAAGAACAAGAATAACAATGTGAAAAGTTTTATTGATGATATCGCTTGATCTATAAGAAATAGCGATTATGTTACCATGCACGTAAAATGTAATAACATTCAAAGTCTACAAGCCAATATTTCCATCCTGACGATTGATAATCAAACAGAAAATGAGTAGTCGAATAAATGATCCATCTGCTATGAGCGAGTGGGCAAAGTTTAAAGGTATAGTTGAGTATTGGTAATTTCCAAAGTGCCCCTCCAAAACAGATTTGGTTTATTTCAGTACCATATGAAAGATCATCGAAAAAAACATGGGAGATGATAATAATTCCAAATCAAATGCTCTAATTGTTGTGCAATTTGCTTTCAAAACATTATATAAAAGTGTTTGACGTCCGGACATCACTTTTGACTTTCGACGGTTTATTTTTTGAATTTACGTGTTTAGCTCCCTCTATGTCATTTAACAAAACAACCAGCGTATTTACAACGAGTGTTTGAGTTCGTTGGTACGTACAGTACAGGTAGCTAGCAGGCGGGTATCCGACCGCGCGCTAGTAATACAGTACAGCTGATCCAGCCAATACGCTGCTTTCACGTAAAGTATAACACGCACAGCTCAGATCAGATTATCACCGGCGCCGATCGAACGCTAGACAGCTACAGACAAGCTTTGATTGAAATACGATAACGAGATCGAGATTGGAAAAGGAGCTCGAGGTCACGGACGATGGCCGACTCGGACTCAGCTAGTGCTAAGGCTACGCTAAATCGGAATAAGACTAAGTAAGACGGTAAGAGGAAGGAGAGAAACAAGCAATGGCAGCTCGACCATCCGGCCCAGAGGAGGCGCGGGAGTGGCTGTGAACAAGGCCAGGGTACGGCGGAGAAACTTCGCGAGCTGCAGGCGGCCTTCTCGTTGCCGAGTCTAGAGGATGCCATAGACCCTATGGCTATGCCAGCTCACTGAGAGGTAAGTTGAAATGATATACGCCCCACTGCATTGGGTAGGCCTACCGTTTTAATTTGATCTAGTCTAGAGACTAGATGCATGGAATCGGCAAATTTAAGAAATTACGTTTTGTTATCTCTTGCCTTGGATTTTTAATTCAGATTTCATGAATCATATGATATTGATAGTCTAGCCTAGGTCTACAGTAGACCGAAAGCTTCAGTCTCTATATCGTCGGTTGTTCCACTGAGACTACGTCTGGCTCCACTAGACCTCCGGATGAATTTGGTTCAAATGAAAATATTGGAAGCATATGCGATCCTACAATATTCAGTGAACGTTGTCGCGTTGAAATCGAGTCTAAAGTGATGAAATTGTAAATAATAATCTCTTTATGGGGTATACTATAACTCTCTCTCAAGGTCAATATATTAATTCACCTATACAACAAGCTACAATTGACCGATTGGCTATTACCTTTTTGAAATTATATATCACAACTACATATTCCGGGATTTTTATGGTAGCAGCTACCGTTGTACGACCGTAGGCGCTATTTTAAATTTATCAAAATTTACCGGGAGCACCGGTAAATTTTTATATTCAATTTTTTTCGAAAGCAGAAGTGTTTTAGGAGCTAAATTTTCTAGTGCTTATAATACTTCCACAGGGGCATCCAAATATATCAAAATTGTAAAGAATCACTATCCACCCAATTTTCAAAATTTCCCAAAACTTTGTAATAGACCCTACCTTTAATGTCCCTCGTTACAACTGCAGTTTTCTTCGTAATGATGACGTGCAGGGCTAGTCAACCGGGTAAACATCCTGCTCTTTTTAAAAGTCGACAAGGTTGTACTATAGCTTGCTTGAGATGTGACTGTCTCATCTATATTTATCTCTACCAAAGAGTGTCTCAACTTCACATACATGACAGAGAACCAATGCATCAGTTATTAGTCATGCAAATTCCAAATCTGGCTAGCTGTGATAATTATTAGAGAATGCCATCTTCAAAATAATTTCTTTTGGTGATTTAAAATCTGAATGTTTTTTACTTTGTGAATGACTTTCATTTCTTCACTTTTTACAGATATGAAGAACAGACAACACAATCCATCCCCAGCGAAGAAATTCCAAGCAGCAGTAGGGGAATTAGCAGGTGAATACGGTAGTACAAGTCACGTTTGACCGCAAATTCATGGAGAACTTGGCCTACTCTGCTGATTTGCTCGCTTCAGGTAGGATTCTGTATACATGTACGAAAGGCTCTGTAAATTGAGAGGAATTTAATGAGAATGCGTTCATTACGTACATGTTTGCAAGATTGAGCTCTTTTTCGGTTATGACCTATAAAATTGGGACATATCAGCAGGTCAAGATAATGCATCTTATTTGCTCATGTGTATGACATGGGATTTTCAATATTGATTTTGTGGTATGAAAATAATGAAATGCCCTATCATTTATATCAGTTTTTATTTTGTTTTCATAATTCCTTAGGCACACCAGCATGCTCGAGTGTTTCCACAACCACATACTGATGTATGCTTCCAAGCGGTATTCCTTTGAGTAAGTATTTTTAGTATCATTTTGTATGTTTGAAGTAAGATTGTCTGTGGAAAAGTTGAAACATATCATTACAGTACGGTTACAGTTACAATATCATATTTTGAAGCAAATAGCAAAGTTAATGAGAAATTATGAATGACATCTATATAAATGCTGAAATCACTTTTGGATGCATGCAGAGTCTTGAAACAGCAGACTTTGTATCGTACTTGTGTCGGTACCTGATGTTAAGTCAAGTTGGAGTGGTTGTAGCAGGGAAATGTAACTACCTTTAATTAAGAGTCAATAATTTACAACACAAATCCAGAACTGAAGTGAATGGCTCGTATTCACAAAGGAGGTTTGTACAAACCATGGTTTGGCCAAGGTTTACATCTATGGAATGCCATTTGTAAACTGATGGAGAAGGAATGTAAACTCCATACTTGTTAACAATGTTAATTTACAATTTACGGTATGCGAACAGCATTCCATAGATGTAAACCATCGTCAAACCATGGTTTGTACAAACCATGGTTTGTACAAACCTCCTACAAACCTCCTTTGTGACTACGGGCCAATGAGTCTGAGATTTGTCTAAAGCATTTACTATTCATTCATCATGGTAGTGGTAATACCAATTGTTTGTCTTATCCATCCAGCTACCCAGCAAACCGGGCAAGGAATTTGCTTGCGGTCATCGACTACATGGCACACAAGGACAGGCCCGACCAGATTGATGAACAAGGCAATACAAAGTGAGTGGAAATTAGAAAGAAAAAAAGGTTTTCTTTTCTTTCTTGTTTTTCCTATTTTTTTTGGACATTTTTTTTTAGATGGACAAGGCAATCCAAAGTGGGTGGAGTAAAAAAAAAACATGATTTTTTGTTTTCCCTGTGTAGTTGGACAGGGCAATCCGAATTGGCAGTTCTTTCCCATGAAATTTATCAATTTTGGGGAAATTATTAAATATCTAATTGTCCTTCCTGGGAACGCCCCTTTTAAATCGCCAAAATATGACGTCATCTAAAGAAGTTGTCCCTGTACACGACGCACATGCGGACTTGGATTCAGTGTAATAATATACTTGGTGTGTAATGCAAGGTTCTGGAGTCATCAAAATCATCATAAATTTGGCAGAGTTTTGGTAAAGTAACAATCACTTACACAGAAAGATGTATATGGGACAACACACATGGTGTCGGCCTGTCGGGGCTAGTACTACCCTGATTTCCTTATCTTTCTATGCTCATTACTCAGCCAGTATACATTTTCTTCCAAAATTGTTTGGCACATGACATTTATTTGTAATCTTGAACATTCAGTGTAAGTTTCGTTAGATTCTGTGAGAATTCATTTTCTTTTTTTACCAGAACTCAAGTTTATCTTTAAGAGATATGAATCATTTCCAATTGACAAGAATGATTGTGCAATATAATGCAACTTGTTACATTTTGCATGTTCTTTTATTTTATGATACAGATATGTTGCAGTATGGTCAAAGCGTGCCAACAACTACGTGGCCCGGAAGGAGAAGGTCCCCAAGACCTACCCCTACATGTATGTACAAGGACTCATCGGTGCGATACTGGAACGCAGAGAACAGGACCAAGGACCACTGTTCTCGAAGGCTGTTCTGCTCCCTGATGACCCTAGACACACAAGGCCCAGGCTTGCACCATTTCCTCCACCACAACTTGATGTGATCCTAGCCAGGAGACTAGGCCGATTAGAGAAATCCATGTAATCCTCTGTAGTGAACAATTGGGATTGTCTGACTTGAGAACTGCTTTTTTTCGAGCAGAGACTAAGGGATCCAAATGGCGTCCTTCCGTCCATCCTCCGTGACTGTACACAAATTTGAATGAAGTCTAATGTGAAATCTTACCTGCAAAAATCAATTAGGGTTGCTAACTTTCCAACCCTGCATCTGTTTGTAACCATACTTGATTGGTACATGTAGATGCCCTTTATTGGCCTCCATGATATTCTGGAGTTGAAGGTCACATAAGTAGGTCAAAGGTCAAATGAGGTTCATTGTTGCATGATTGCATGATTGCATGCAAGACTCTTAATCGCCTCGATTTAATTTGTCCATGTGGCATGTTTTTAGGCTATCTTGAGGATTGGTTGGAACTTAACATTTTGGACTCATTTGGTTGCTAATGATTTTGTGGTCCGGAGGTGAAAGATTGCATGGCTTAGCATTACGAGCATGTATTCTTGATATGTCAGAGACCCTTTGACAAAATACCACCAAACTTGATACTAGAGTGTCCCTGGGGATCATGGGGATGTGGTTATCTATCAGTATAAAAAAAAAGTCACATAACGCATGATATACATGTACCAGAAATAAATTGTTATTGTTGCTAGATTAGCCACCATGCTTGGCACTTGTATATTGTATTACAATAAGAGGTTGGCAAGTTTACAAATGGAAGAAATGTAGGAATATAAAAGACAAATTGTGACATCAGTGTATAAAAGCTCTATGTGATTTATACAATTCATAATTTGTGATAAAATCAGTGCTTGCTCATGTGGAAATGGTGGATATTTCAATTTGTATCTATTTGGCAACCTATATTCCTTGAAGAAGTTACGGTAGTAATTATAAAATTTACAGCCAAGAGGTCAAACCATGAGTCAACAATGTGTTTGGTTTTAGTGACTGTGCATGTAACTGAGGTGACAGTCGATCATGAAAAAGACTATACTTCGGAACCTGTTGAAAATCAACATGGACAGAAGAAAGATTTGTAGAATATCTTATTGTAAATAGTCTTCATTTTTTGTTTAATGCAATCAATGTGACTAAAATAATGCAAGCGAAAAAGAGAAATGATCACAAGACAGCAAAACAGTTGGTTTCATGCATCATTTGAATCAATGAACGTGAATCAGCTCAACGCCAAAGTATTGCGGTTCAAGGTTATACCATCAAGAGATATGCTGCCTGTAACTACTTTGTAGTTTGAAAGGGTGTATAAAGGAATAAGGATACAGTTGGGCAGGCGAGTCTTTCTGTTGGTCTATTGTAAAAAACTGGGTCAAATTTTTTCCAATTTTTACGCAAATTGTAATAAAACTTGGTATACCGATTGACCCGAGGGTGTGCAAGACACATTTGTTGTGTCTGTCTGTTAAGGTACCTCCATGGTAACCAAGCTTTGCACAAAGAATACAATTTTGTTTTAATAATCTTGTGGAGCATATTCTTTCCAAGTTTTAGCAATTTTATAGTTTTGGTATCTTTGATGAGGCATTATAATAACAGTATAAAACTCAATGCATGTGCAGTGTGTAAAATAAGTATGTGAGCAAACTATTGGAAGTAGTTTGATCGATTCATATGAAACTCAGTACACACAACGCAGAATTGTCTTTTGTGTGCGTATAGGACATGACCAGTTTTGAAATGTCTGTGCTATTTTTTTGAAAAACCTTATGTTGGATGTTAATCACTTGAGGTGATATTCATAGTCGAGCATTAGGGAAGATGAAAGACATATATACCTAACTATACTTAATTTTGTGCTGAAACTGATGTGATTCAGGATTTGAGATCGATATGGAGTATGTATACATGTATACTCGTACGAATCATTCAGACAATTTTTAAAGCATTTATATATAAAGTAAGATGTGAAACTTAAAAGATAAAACCAGTTATGGTCATGCGACTGCATTGTGAAAGGATTGTTGTGGAATCGATCAGAAAAGGTTGATCATCTAGCATATAAGTCTTGGTGTGTACTGCAAGGTTCTAGAATCATCGAAATGATAAAAAGATTGGCCCAGTCTTGGTAAAGTTACAAGCACTGTACACAGAAAGATGTATATGGGACTACGCACAAGTGCGCGACACATGCGTTATATCTATCAAGTCCAAATAGATATAATAATTTACCAAATATATCAATTAGTAGGCAGTTTCTCGGCAAAATTTGTATGATCACGTACTAGTCAAAACATTGTGTGCGGGCAAGCACTGAATCAAATGACCGGGGTAATAGTATATTTGTCAAGCGCGTAGAAACATTACTGTTATAGATACTTTTCTTTGGTAAACTTATCTACACATTGCCTATAGAGAATGTCAAGTTTTTATGAAAGACACAAGATAAGATGTATATAAATAAGCAGTAACTAATAAGTAACAAGACATGGTGGTATACAAATAAAGTATATTGCTCCTTCTTAATGACGACGGTTAAAGTTGTCATAGCGATAGATGCTAAATAAAAATGTGCCTTTTTTAATACACATGATCTGTTTGTATGCAATGGTTGGAATCAACATCACGTTTAAATATTGCCTTCAGTACAGCAAGTATAATTTGTATTCATCTGAATAATGTTGTGTAAATTTAACTGTTAGTTATGGCCGAATAAAGCTTTCAATGTACACCATAAAAATATGTTATGTATCTTCATTTTAGCATTACTATAATTATATTAAAATCTTATGTCTTTACACATTTACAAGTTATCACGTACTGACGTAGGTCATGCAATACACAGGCACTGTAGAACACAACTTATTTACAAGAAGTTACAATCACTTTTTTTTTTAAACTTTACAATTGCATGCAGTACCAAAATAAAAATACTAAAAAACACTGCATTATGGACAAGTATGAATCAAGTAAGATGTTAAATTAATTCACTACTGTTATTCATTATAGTATACTGATACAACAATTTTTAATATTTTTTTAAATTTATTTCTTTTTATTTCTCCACTTTCCCTTTAGCCATGTACCTTCATGTTGTTATATATGTTAAAGGTGTCGCTCTGGACCTATAACATATGATAAGACAAAAAATCCACCAGTTATTTCTGATTTCTATCAAATTTTTAGATTTTGTGTTGTTGTTGTTGTTGTTTGGTATTATCGGCGTTTCATTCTTTTTTAGAATATTTACGCCTTTCACTTTATTTCTTTTTTTTTCTTCTATTTTTGGTACTATTTGTCAATTCATATTCATCTCTTTTTTTTGGATAATATAATCTCAGATCTACTGGTCCATGAAAACCCCTCACCGCAATTGGCACCTTCCTGCCAGACCGGCGCGGTACATTGCGCAATCTTCTCGGCCATCATTGGCCTAGGCAACTCTGGTGCCGGTGAGAGGATTCTGGGGTAGATCTTTGGAGTCTCTTGTTTGGGGTTTACCGTCCTCAATCCGTCTTTACTCTTTCTTACCTTTTCTCTTCTAGTATTTTTCCATTTTGTAAAACCTTATTTTTCTATCAAAGTGGGTATCAACATCTTAGGGCATTTGGTTGTCGTGCGATATGTGCCAAAAAAAAAATGTGGATTTAGTAATTCCTTTTTGAATGAAACATGGATTTAGCTTCTTTTGGAATTGAATGGATTTAGCTCCTTTTGGAATGAAACTGTAATAATGTTGTTTACTTTCTTTTCGAAAGGTTATATTTATGTGTGATTTCACTATTATTATTTAAAAGGAAAGGTTTGCTGCTAAATTTGAATAAAATTTCAGTGACTTTATTGAGAAAATATGATTTATTTTTTATTTTTTTAGGTACAATAACATGTTTCATTCCAAAAGGAGCTAAATCCACGAAAATAAAAAATCTAAAAATTTAGTAAACATCAGAAAAGCCGAAGGGAAGATTTTTTTCTTATCATTATTGGCAGATAATCAGGTCCATGCAGGGTGACACCTTTAACATATATAACAACATGAAGGTATACATGGCTAAAGGGAAAGTGGAGAAATAAAAAAGGCAATTTACTCAGAAGTACCCAAAGTGGATTTGGCTCCTTTTGGAATGAAACTCTTCACATATAAAAGGAAGACAAGTAATATAAAAGGAAAAACGAAGGCCCACGTCATTTACATAGAAGGTAGGTGGACAGATAACCTCGATGTTTTTAATCTAATTTCATCTGGGAGATCATTCCACAGCTTTGTTCCTACAAACGAAATACAAAATTGCCCTTGCGTTGTCTCACATATTGGTTGATAGATAGAGTAAGCCACTTTCTTTACACTGTAGAAGTAATCAACTGGGTCATACGACGTACAATACATACACATACACTACTACTAGGTCGAGCGTACTCGCACTACATACACATACAGTATTCGCATATCGCGCTCAAAAACAATAGCGCTACCAGTACCACAGACCATGCAATTATGTGCAGGCCTCGCATACCATAATGTGTACAATATAAATCAGTCAGCGCGCTATAGACATGGTTCGGATATTACTTGCACGCCCATATCCGATCGTCGTCTTGGCGAAAATTCACGGTGTGCTGCCGCTTGACCGAGAGGTGGCGCTATACAATTACACTGAACACGCCTCGAAAGTAAAATTTTTGATAAATAAAATCATTTGCAGTCGAACAGGTTTTTTGCATATAAATTCACTCTAATGTAATATTTCGGATTTATATCTTCAATGATGCATTCTTAGACATTTATTGTATGTTTTTTATGTTTAGATCATAGTTTCGTTCGCTAATGTGAGTATTGACCAACACTCAACTATTCCTTTAATATAAAGACTCCTTGCAAAATTCGTGAATTCAAGGAGAAACGTTGTGAAAACCTGTATAAAGCAAAGCATTTGATAATCATTTCGCTTGGACCCCCCTTCCCCCTCCCCCTCCTCATCCTTCAGCTTTAATGCGCAGACTTTATTTGACCCGACCGACTTCATAAGTTAACTTTCAGGCTATATTGCGTGGTTCGATTTTCGAACCAGGGGGACCAGAGGAATAAAGCAATTTAAATGAGGCTCTTTTGTTTCTTATAAGAACAAATATATTTCTCTTCTTCCTTTTTTTCCCCCAGAAATAAAAATCATTTTGCAAACAAGTTCGCCAAAACATTCTCCAAAATAAAAAATGAAATTTCGAACACTTCGCATAATAATTCATTGGAAAATTTAACATAATTGCTGGACAAGGTGGACATTGCGTTTATTTCGTAAATCATGCGATTTTGTACAAGAAAGAATATTGTCGGGCTACAAACGTCTTTATTTATTAATTCTTACACGCTTGCGATTAAAAAAGAGATAAAAACAAAGGAAAAAAGGAAAAAAAAGAAAAGACCTCTCGCAGACGTTATTCATCCACGATCATACGAGCTTTATGAATCATTGTATGGATTGAAATCTATAATTTTTGGTTCTCTTTTGGCGGGAACGTTTAGGCTAGATGTATGGCGTTCTTAGTCATGACTGACCCTCATTTTAAATATTTTTGTGGACGTTCTAATGACCATTGGCACTGCTCACCGGGGAAACCGATTGAGACGAGAGGTTCCGTTGAGGACTTCTGAGGTATTTTTAACGAGTCTGTGTCTGGCATCTTCAAGCCAAGAAGTAAGTACATGTAAAATGATAGATGACGGGGAAAAGGAAAATGAACTAAATTTAGATTCTATATGTGATTTCAATTTGAACCAATGTTTGAATAGATCTTATAATCATTGTTTTCAATCGAACAGCCTTTCGAGACTATAAGGACACATTACAGAACGTTGGAGTTATATTTGGAGTTCATTTACCCCGCACAGTTTCAAGAACTTTCAATATTACTTACTTTTTATTCATTCATTTTATTTGGGCAATCGGGCGAGCTAAAATGTTAACATTTCCAATTCAATTTTGTACAAAAACGATGTTGTTGGTTTGAAGAAAAAAATAAATATATATCCATCAGCAAACTTTTAAATAGTCGTCACTCCATGAAGATTTATTTGTGTTCAGTATACGATGCTTTAGCTTTAATGCTTGTTTGATTTTTGGTTGTTTTACTCTCATTTTATCTCGAAACGTTTCATCAAGGTGAAAATGGGTTCGTTTTTTATCCTTTAAATCTTCTCTCTTTTTAAGACAATTCATGGATATTGTTTTTATTGCATTGTCCTGTTTAACCTTTCGCCTGGAATTTCATATTCTTTTCCTCTCCCCTATTTTGTTCTTGTTTTTTGTCATTTTCATTTTTGGGGGTTCTTTTTCGTTTGCGGTTATTTTCTCTCTTTTACTTCTCCAGCCTAAATTTTCCCATCCTTCATTTCCATTGTTTGTTCGAGTTAATTCTAACCCTTTCCTATTATTTAATTATATTGGTTTAATGTTTACAATTTTGTGTCTACAAGTTTTCTCATCTCTTGTGTTTATATTCTTCTCTTACACAGCTCTTCTTTCACAATTATAGCTATGAACTATTCCGTGTTGGAAAGAGAATAATATTCCTTCTAACAATCTCTGTCTGGATGCATAAGAGGTGCAACCTTTAATAAGCAGTGACTTGACCCGTACCCCCAGATTCCAAAGAAGAAAGTTTTTTGCTCGACTGAGGAAAGCACAAAAGAAAAATAAACTGGCGCGAGCCAATAGCATTGTCCCCCGCGACAGGACTGTCTAGTCAAAGTTAGCAAACGGAAATGAATTGTCAGAATTTAGAATGCGATCTTTATCCCAGTGTCTTTCACTTTTTGGTGGCCTTTATACAGTTCTTGAAATGAAGAGTTCAGATTTATAGGCCCCTGGATAACTTTTGAGTTTTGACCCTCTTTTGTATCGTTCTATTTCAGCTTTCATCACGCACAGAACATCATGCTTGGAAAGAAACATATCAGATTTTTTTTTTTTTAAGTAAAAGATATAGGCTAGGTCTAAACCCGTCAACTTGATCAACCTCTTCCCGGCACATTTTTGTCTTTTTTTTCATTTTAATTTAACTTAACTTGTGTAAAAAAAACTTGTGTAAAAAGTTAAGGTACATATTTATGCCAAAGGCATCAACGCGAAGTGTCGTTATATTCCATAGACAGATAAACAGGGGGGGGGGGGGTGGGGGAGACAAGGACATGATGAATGTATTTGTAAAGAACTGCCTACCGTAAACCTCCTTCTACGTTGTATCTCCTGTGGGGGTTAGAAAAAGGGTGGGGTGGGGGAGGGCAGACCCCCGTTCGACCTGGAGTTGGATACGCCACGAGTCTAGTGGTCCTTAATCAACGTGACAGCACAATACACTATTACCATGGCAATGGTGCAGCAATTATTTGGTGACATTTTCTCTACTATCGTCCGTCCTCATCACTTTATGTTCAAGATATATGGGCCTAGTTTGAAAGGCTGTGATTTATTTTAGAACCCCTAATAATAATGTTTTGTTTGTTTCATGATTCATACAGCAGCTATTTTATCGTGGGGGGCTATGTTATTTCTTGTATGTTTGTTGGTTGATGTTTTCTTTTTAATGGTACATGTAGAGTATGTAGCGAGATCTTAGTATAAGTGCCCCATATCTATACGATCAAAAAAGGCTACATTTTGATTTATTTCCCTGTTAAATTTACGCTAAGGATCACCTCAGTCTTTTAAAGTAAAATCTTTATCCGCGACAAGATAAAAGTTTCAGACATCACCCCCCCTCTATGATTTTAAATGTTATCCACAGCCTGACCCAAAACTGCTCTTCATAACCTGCTTTGGTTGGAGCGCGGGAGAGTAAGTGACAGGGGTTCATTTATAGCCGTGGAAGTGTCCGTCTGTTCGTTGACACCGAGTTTCCTTCCGGGCTGGCCGAAGTGCTCCAGCGTCCGGCCCAGACGAATGTTTGCCTAACTCTAAATTGACCGTTTCGTCGCTATTAACGGGTCGCGTTATTTTTTTATGCGGCACAGATTGGGGCATGGCGCGTGTTAAACCTATGGGAAGTACGTTCTTTCCCTTCTGAATAGTGTCTGCACGTACGTGAGACTAGTCATGTTCGCTAGCGCATTAATAGCGCTGCGAAGAAGTTTGTATATCCATCGCGAACTATGTGTTTAGATAACATTCCTCTTCGTTTAAGTTAGTTAAGTTTTATTGACTAATAATGTTCTCCTTATTGACGTGCTGCCTCCTCTTCAGATTTCCAATTTGATTTTAATTGTTGATGTAATGGTTTTCCATGCGGTAGTGGATTAAATGTAACACTATTAAAAACAGACTTCTACTACTTATACTCTCGTACGCACACGACCAGTATTAGTCTGTAAATCAAGACCCCTTTTTAAAAAAAGCCCCAATCTGTGCCGCATAAAAAAATAACGCTAACGGGTCCCTTCCGCCGCAACTGCCCCCAGTCACACGGCCGCTTAACAGACTCCGAACCAACTGAATATCGACTGAATATCGACAAATCTTGGCCGTTTGGACTAATCTGATTTTATGTCCAGTCTTCTATAATCGGTTTGATCAGTGTAACAGAGGTATAAGAGCACAACACTCCATTATTTCGAAATGTAAACATAAACTTCTATATTTTAAACAATTACAGTGTGCGTCACCCTTGCTTGCTTTAGTCACCTTCATATAAACGGAGGCTTCTTCCGTGTCCGAGTTGGGCTTTTCTGGCCCTTATTGATAAATACAGACAGTGAAACTTGCCTATAAAGTCCGCTCAAGGAAGACACGAAAAAGTTTATTTGCAGGAAGCTGCTCTTTATGCACAGGTTCTTTTAAATACACGATTCCATAGCAAATTCTCAACAAGGGGCAACAATTATCTTTATAGAGAGGTGGTCTTCCAACACAGAGTATCATCAAATTGGTGTAAAAAAGGCGGCCAGGGGGCATTTCACAAAACTTGTCATCAGTGACAAATGACAGTTTTTGTTATAAGCTACTGAAATCCTTGCTTCCGATTGGTTATCAGCAGATTTGTCACTGATTTTTGTCATTTGTCATTGAGGCTTTGTGAAACGGGTCCCTGATGGTAGTATTTCACATGTATGCCTCAGACAGACCCTTGCATCTGTTTCATCCATTCTATTTTTAATTTCAGAGATAGATATCTCGTTGAAAGTAACAGTAATTTTGATGACTACCCCAGGGCATCGAGGAAAAAGATATTGTTTCAGGGTTTAAAATAAAATGATTATAAAAAGGCAGATACGGAGAGAATACACGGACAAACATTTAGATAAATTTCACCACTATAAGCCTGTTTACGGTTGCAGTCATGAGCAGATAAAGGTCATTTGTACCAAAAAGGTAAAACCCATAGAGATGTATACTGGATATGCACTCATGAAAGTTATGTAACATTATTCATTTATGCGCCAACGGTACATTCTAAGATATGCAGGTGGAAGTATTCTTTTCAAGAGGGCAAACAAAAGGTATTCACGAAGCACATCTAGGACTTTGGCAGTTATTATTCTAAGATGCTCAAAGTGGAACTTCTCCATGTGTAAAAGATCTGTGGATCTTTGGGGGTCATTTGTACCATGTGCTATCTGTAAACTCCCTTATTGGAATGATTTAGAGAACAAGATTAAGAGTGTGAGAGAAAGAACGGATACAGAAGTATTGGGTTTATATACATATATGGGAAAAAGATGGGTATAAGGAGGAAGGAGTATGGATATGAGAGAGAGAGAGAGAGAGAGAGAGAGTCAGAGTGCGAGACAAGTCGACAGTTAAATGTACAATGCCATCAACACAACTCACGAAAGCCCAATACAGAGAAAAACCTGAAATTATTGCAGAGACAGACTTTTTTCTTTATTTTGAATAAAATGAAAAGTTATAAAGCATCAAACACGTACGAAACGACACAGTATCAAACACAATTTCAACATACTGGCCCGAATTCATAAACGTAGGTTTGTCGACAAACCTCCTTTGTGAATTTGGGTCACTGTATTCAAAGACATGATGAACAAACCCAGTCTTACTACGACACAACATGATGACAATTTCTTATGCGTATATCTATTTCTGACATTATTTCAGAGCTAAAATAATAATAATAATACTCAGTTTTTATATAGCACTTATTAGAATCACTAAGCACTTCCAAACTTGGAGATTATTACCCCAGCTTTAGCTGTGCTGCCATTGTGGCGCTCTAGCATTTCAAAGAATTAATTCCTGCCAGGTACCCATTTACATCACCTGGGTTGAGTGTGGCAAATGTAGATCAATGCCTTGCCAAAATTCATTTCAACATGATGCATTACTAAACCGATATACTGATACAGGGACATGACAAAGTGATTGAACAGGAAAGTTTGTGCCATCCATCTAGTGAGTTTATGATTCTAAGGCAATAAAAAATCATGTGCACTGCACAACTTAAGTTTTATCTCAAACCTCACTTTACACAAACATTCATTGCAAAAAGGAACCCCAAGATAGTGATGGAAAAACAAATATACAAATACAGCACGTCAATGGCTATGGCACCTTATGCTTTAAAGAAAAGAGTGTTTGCTCCACTTGCTTTACTAGTAATAAATTCTCTGTACATGGTATGTTTATTCTATTAGTGTGTAGAAAGAAAAAGCTCTCAAAATCATCTTTGGCTCTGTACTCTTTCACACAACATCATAAATTAGGACAATAACAACACGAAAAGAAATTGTTTTGGGGTGAAATCTCTGTGGTACCATCAGCCATTTAAAGAAATTACAAGGTTGAACCAAAACACATATGATAAAAGAAAGGTTGACAAATATGCCTCTCAACTGAATGTGTTCTGATTGCAGTTAATAGTTTAAACACCTAATACACTGTATCAGTGGCGTACGCAGGATTTTTTCAAGGTGAGTGTTTGAAGATTTTGAAATCGCGCCGACCAATATTTCGCTCAGGGGGGGGGGGGGGGGGGGTCAGTGAGGAGTATTAATTTTTTTTCAAAAAAAAATTGAGGGAGGGGGACACACCCCCCCCCCCCCCCCCCCCCCCCCCCCCCCCCCCCCCCCCCCCGCGTACGCCTTCTGAAATTCCAAACCCTTTATGACCAAATACTTTCAAACCGAATCCTGATTACTCCGGCATTTCGTAGTCTAACATGGAATCCCAAGGCTTACAATATGCTGACAAGTCTGCAGTATTGACCTGAAATCGTCTTTAAAATTTAGACAGGCATAATTATGAGCCAAAAGGTAAGACGGGCACAAGATCAAAAGGACTTCTTTGTGAGTCTGGTCTATGAAGATTATCCTAATTTCACACTGGTTTAGACATGCATGATACCAGAAGAACTTCTATACCCGCGAAAGAATTATACAACAGCTCTTTTATTAAACACATCTGTCCAAGAGAGAATACCCCAATCCTCCTAAGGACTACACACATGGTGTACTTGTCTATAGTTGAAATAAAGTTGAGTTCTGGTCATGCGATTGCATTGTGAAAGAAAAGGTGAGAAATTGACTGGAAAAAGTTGATCATTTCGCATATAAGTATTGGTGTGTACTGCAAGGTTCTGGAATCTTGAGGTTCTTGAAATTTGGCCCAGTCTGGGTAAAATTAACAAGCACTGTACACAGAAAGATGTATATGGGACTATTCAAGCATGTGGCATAAGAATAAGGTCCTCATTTTTAAGCTGTTACATGTCATATTTAGAATATGGAGGCATTTGAAGAGCCATGCTTTTCAGGGAACATTTTTTCTCTGATATGCTTCCACACTTGCATAAAAAACAATGAAAACGCTCACAAATTATTTTTCACCTCTCCCCAGAACTCGACCTTCTCTTTCAGTTTTCCTGACTTAAAAGGACTTCTTTGTGAGTTTGGTCTATGAAGGACATCCTAGTTTCACACTGGTTTAAACTGGTTTAAACTGGTTTAGACTGGTTTAAACTGGTTTAGACTGGTTTAGTTGGTTGTGCTCTCATTGTAGTCTAATAGGTCGCTTGTTGCCGTCTTCGTCGAGCGGCTCCATCCCGTGTTTGAGAGCAAACTCTCGTCGCAGAAAACCAAAGACAAGATCTGTCACAAGGAAAATCTTTAAAAAAAGAAAGAAATAGAAATATACATATATATGAAAAATACATAAACAAAGAAATACATGAACAAGAATCAAGTTATAGTCAATTTTATTTGTCCTTAATACGACTTCAATTTGGCGATCATCAAGGAGTTAATCGCTTGGGGGAGTGTCTTACTTTAAAGACCCTGTCAGAAGTGGAAAATGAAAAAGATGAATGATCTATAAGCGAAAAGCTTATAAGCAATCGATTAAAATAATATTGATTATATGCTATTTTTGTGTCTGCCAGAGGAGTACCAGCTGTTGACCTAAAGACTAGCTATCAACTTGATGACATCATATTATGTAAAGTATGCATATTCACAATGACTTTGCATTCATCAAGCACGGCTCAGCTATATAGGTGCACTGATGGGGTCCACTTGTTATATCCTCACTGTAACTGCGGTGAATTTGACCTCTCTTGACCCGTAATATGGTGGGGTGCAGAAAAAGAGGTTTTAATTTGCTCTTGCGCAATGCTGAAAGGAACAATATTTGTTATCGCTTTATATTTGTATTCAAGGATCACTCAGCTTTCCATTGATATAAAGTTGTATTTTCATTGGATAGGGTTTTTAAAAAAAGTAGTTGTCTGGTGGTAGTCTGGGAGTACCGGTAGTTATTTTGATGCATACAAAAAGACTCTTAATATCTGAAGGAATGACCACAAAATGAACCAACAAAATGAAGAAGCAGAACAATAGGCAGGGGTTCGAAATTGCAGCCTGGCACCAACGTCTTTTGGCAAGATGTTGATCTACATTTGCCCCTGTCCACCAAGGTGTCACTTGGCAGCTTGGCTATAAGCAGGGTAATATTGTCTAAGTGCCATGAATCACGTATATGAGCAATATATAAGTAACAGTTAATATTTCATCAAAACCCCCAAAGCAGGAAGCACATTATCAGATTATCATTATCATTATTTATTCAAGTTTTATTTCAGTAGGGTAGTTCCATTCAAGCCAAAACAAAAATTTAATGGCCTGCTTTCCAAGGAAGCCCTACATTATACAGGTACATAAAATAACATCATATTTAATACAAAACACAATATCAGATCCTTAATAAAATGTTGACAAATGCAATGCAAGATTTTAATTCCCCCTCTGCCTCCTCTGCAGTTTTAAAAAATGAATTACCATACCCACTAACATTCTGCAGCAAGTATGAGGAATCTCTCAAAGCAAATTCATGAATACAGTGTATTTAGTTTGCTTGTACACATTATTTTTTAGAAGAAAAAAAAGAAGAAAGTAGGGTTCAAAACATTATTCCACATGCCTAAAGTTAGGAATGTTTTCTCTAAAATAGGAATGGTTGTAGATATGAAATTTCAGAACGCTTTCATGTAACAGTCCCCTCCATACACTCATTCCTCCAGTTGTAACCTCATCTCCCCCCCGCCCCATCCTCCCCCTTCCACACATAAACCTGCCTTACCTGTGCTGTATTGTAGATGAGTGTAAAGGCAAAGAAGAAGTTTGCATTGGCACTGCCAGCATAGATCCAGAGATGCCAGAGAACCGGGGCTAAGAGCGAAGCTAGCAGCATCATCACCCCAACCACCAGGCTGTTTCGGAAATCTGTTCAAGGGGATAACAGGGAGTTAGTGAGATGAGTGCTCTAGGTTCAAGATAATTATAATCTTTATACAGCATAACATATCAAAAAAAGTTTGTCCAAGTGGAACAAGAAGGTGATCTTCATAGCAGTGGTCTTCCTATAATAATAATAATAATATTCTGTTTTTTATAAAGCGCTCAATGTGTATTGCCTCATAATTTGGTGCACCAAAGTTGGTTGAGTTCTCGCCATCGCCAATACATCCAAAATTCCAGGATGTAGCCTCTTGGAAGTAATTTCGAGCTACTTCCGGGACTTACATGTTTCCAGTGAATGGCGGCGCATCCGTGGTTCACATATCATGCATGTGCAAAGTACGTGTGTACTAGTCAAAGCTATTTCTAGGTTCCTTAATTTTTGTGAAGGCAGCAAAAAGAAAAAAACTAGAGAAAGATACTCCAAATCATATCAACGTCTAGATTGAAACGATGAAAGGCCCTTCTTAAAACTTCAAGGAAATAATGGACTTAACTTTAGAATACCCCATCAAAATGTAGTATGTCTGTTGGTCGTCCAACCAGCCTCCAAACCCTTTGTTGTAGTCCCGTACGTTGGTATTTTAGATCAATTTTCCCACTTGATAACGGACACAACCAAAGAAAGTTGACGTTATTATTCCCATGCTTCTACTTGCCCATCACATATCCAAATATCTTATTTCTAGTATGTTTAACAATATTTTCATGATGCATTTTTTAAATGGCTTGAAAACCGTGATAAATCACTGTGTTACTGTCGGAAAATAAAGTACACACACACACACACACAATCAACACCGGTATGCATAGAGCAGGCAGCGTCTGCAGGTACAGTCAAACTTGCTTTAGTGACCACCTGTCTACAAAGACCACCTGTCTATAAAGACCACATTTTTTGTTTCCCTTGAAAATGGTTTCTAATTGAAACATGTTCTAAAGGAACCTGTCTACAAAGACTACTTTTTGTGTTTCCCTTGGGTGGTCGCTGTAGACAGGTTTGACTGTATCAAATTTAACACATGATTCCATGGGATGTAGGTGAACTTGTACTTGCGACAGTTTCATGAAACGCGGATGTCCATGTGTCTCTAAAGACCATTTCACGTTTTCCAACTGCAATCTCCAGATCTGACCATACAAAAATATGACAGGAAATCATGTGAGCCGGTGCTAGACAGGATGTCAGATGTCAAAATAATAGAATTCAAATCCAAATAGGAGTTTACATAAACAAAAATGTGAATTTCTGTATAGTATACCGAAGACCCATCGATGTGAAAGCTCTTTGATTTTTGTGATAAATAGAGAGACAATTTTGTCTACAGCTTCAAAAAGGCCTTTTAAAGCCTGTCTGCACTAGTTTGGCTCGGGGGGATTAGACCTCCCTGCAAGGTCACTGACAGGTGGTCATCTCATCAACTCAGCTCTCAATTAACATAAGAAAAAGGGGATCATGGGGGACCAACAGGCACCGATTAGGCATTGTTTGGTATATAGAGGGCGCAAGTAGCTATAAGTAGTGCAGTGGGGCTTTAATCTTTGATTACCAAGCCCTAGATTACTTGAGTGAGTGGATTCTACAGAAAATACCCATTATCCACCATCATGTTTCTCTGAATTTTTCTAAATAAATTTTAAGCAATCTTGATTCATCTCCCAACTCATTTTGTTGGCTGGATGCCAAACAAAATAACTTCTTTTTAAACCTATCATCGACCCATAGTTCCACTGTAAAATCCTAGCAGTAATGGATTCACAAGGCCTTACCGGTATATCAATAATTGTTTCCCTTACAACAAATATACACTGTTGTTCCTTTTTCCTGGCACTTGCTAATTTTACCCAAATTTTCCTGGAATTACAGGAAATCCTTGTCTGCCAGTCTGGAAAACGGAAACTCCTACTTCACTGGCTACACTGCTAGAAGGATATTTTATCAGTATATAAACTCTAAACTCAAGATTCAATTATTTCTTACTTCTATCTAATTAAAAAAAATATCATATTACAGCTGATATTTTTAAAAATGTGCAATTTTTATCACATGGAAACTCTTTTTAACCAAATTCAATTCATATCACTACACTTTATTTAAAAACATACTAGTTTATAGAGCTTTTTATTCCAATTTTGTTGGGTAACAAGAGTTATGGAGTTACGCAAATATTCAAATTGCCATGGAATCGCTTTCATAAGCCACATATTAATTTTAATTCATTACCTGAAACTAGCAATGATAGATTATTGCGTAAATGGGAATGTAGTGTACAACAAAATGGTAAAGTAAGGGATCCTTCGTTATCCTTACCATGGCCAAAAAGATATCAACTTTGCAACAAATTAACAAATCACAGATATTCCATTTTACCCAAAGATAACAGACATTCTCAGTAACCTAAATGACCCCATGACCTTTGACCTTTTGAAGAAGATATGATCAGTGCTTCCTTTTTAAGTCTTGGTTCGATTTCGTGGTTCCGAGGACATCCCGGGAACAAAGTGTCCAAAGCTAACAGATGAAAGGAAAGAATGCACAGAACTGCAACGACATGTCGTCGCCTGGCTGGCAGAAGGGCGTTAGCTCGAATTTCAGGTAAAAAATGAAGTGCTAAGCAGAAGGGCGATAGCACTAAATTGCCTCAAACTTTTATAAAAACTGACATAATACCCCCCCCCCCAAAAAAAAAAATAAAATTGTTGCTCTGTTCTGTTATAACATTTCTATTAGTCTTTTAAGTTTTAAAACCATTTTCGGGACGGAAATCAGTTTAGATAACGCCCTTCTGCCAGCCGGGCCACGATGTGCTACTTACAGTGGAATGTATGGGACCAGATGGGTAGGAGGGCTAGGTAGAGAGTGGTGTCCCCAACCGATGGATACGACTTGAAGATGGCGATCAGAATACACTGGACCAGCATTATGAACAAAGGGTGCTCTCTGAAGAGATGACAGAAGAATGGAGGAAATCAATGGTGAATAATGATAAGCTGGATTGATACGGCGCTTGATACAAAATACCGTCTCTAGGCACTCTTCTGATACTATTACCCAGGTCATCATTCACGCACAATGTGCACCATCTCCACTACCTGGGGTGTATTTCTACCATATGGTCGCTGTGACGGCATACGGCAATTACTAACACAAAGGCTTTCATCACCCTACCAGGTCCTTATTTCTCTCCTGGGTATAGAGTGGCAAATGTAAATTAATGCCTTTCAAAAAGGGATTAGTGTTGTGTTTCTTAAACCACTCTACTATGACACCTCCAAGACATATCATTATATACAGGGTACAACAATAAACAAGGCAACTTTAAGTAGCGCTCAATGTTTACTGGCGAATTTGCCGGGACTTGGAAGTCACAAGAATTCCCTGTCAAAACGGGCCACAAAGTATCGGACTTACTCTTCACTGTCAATAGGACTAAGAATATAAAAATGTATTTTGCCAAAATCACTAATGATGTAAATTAATTACAAATATAGAACTTCAATATCTTCAAATATGTGACCCTTGTGTATATTACAGAAAAATTCCTAAAAATTACTGACAATAGCGCACAATCATGGCTTGGGAAAAGAAGCCATTTGTGTTGCTGCTGCCAAGCTTTTTTCCGACAGTTTCTCCAAGCGCTGGCGTTTGCCAATGCTGGTATATTTCTTTTCAAAAGTAAATGTGGTTACTGTTTGTGTATTTTTCACAATTAGTTACTATCGAGCAAGATTAAGAATTGTAAATAATGATTATAAGCATATCGTAGTATGGCAAAGTATGTGTTTTAGAATCACCAGAAGTTAGTGTGTCTGCAATATCGCTGAGGAATCAGAGGCACAATGCATTATGGGAATGTATATTGCCACATGCCGTAGCGAGAATTGGTATCGTATATCATAAGGGGGTCACCTTAGTATTGAGCATAGACCAAACTTCCTATTACCTGTAAAACTTCGCAAAAGTTTCATGCCATGAAATAGTCGAACCATAGCTGACACAAAAATATATATTTTTTTCTTCAAATTTTGAAAGTTTATTGCCATGTAAATGGCTCTCTCCTGGCGTCATCAATGATTCGTGAACAAAATTTTATGTTGTACAAGTAGACTAGATGTACAGCCTCGAGCAAGATATGAAATTAGCAACAGAATAAATACTCAAAAACCAACCTATCAATAGCGTACACTACAGTGTGAGTCAAAAAAAAGTTTACATCTAGAAAATTGTTAATTATTTTAAAAATCATCTATGAACAGTAAATTATTATACATGATATTAAAGAGTGTTTTATCCCAAATCAATTGGTATCATGTGTGTGTGGTATGTGTTCACGCTTGGATGAACAGGAGACATTGTTTAAGAGAGTGCAAAAATCGACTTGCGCCAAAGTAATAAATGTGTTATTTGAATAAAACATTTGGGTTTTGGGTATTAATTGGGTCTTTGCAGATAAAAAAAACATCCCTAACAAAATTAAAATCATGCAACCCATATCAAATATCAACAATACATGTGTACGTGTGCGTGTGTATGTGTATGACTTTGCTTCTGCAAAAAGCATATGCAATTTGATACATTCAATTCATTCTCTCACTCCGCTAATCCCAACATAATACATACTGTAGGCATCACTTTGGCGCAAGTCAATTTTTGCACTCTCGCAAACAATGCCCCCTGTTCATCCAAGCGTGAACACATACATCGCGAAAATGTTACCAAATAATTTGGGATAAAACACTCTTTCATAACATGTATAATAATTTACTGTTCATAAATGGTTTTTAAAATAATTAGCAATGTTCTAGATGTAAACTTTTTTTTGACTCACACGGTATGGCTGAGAACAACAAAAAAGCAACACAGGCAAAAATAGAGACGGACAAGTGCTTTACCTCATTTTAATTGCCAAGGGAGCTATATAGATGAAGACATTAATTTGAAAAATCCAGAGGAAAAATGTCCTGAAGTGTTCAAACATCTCTGTGAAGAAGTACCAGAAAAGACCCATGTTGGGCTGTAGGTTGGGCACTGCTAATCTGAAAGAATGAGACACAAAATGTTGATAAATCATTTATTGAATAATGTTGCTGTCTTCAAAGCTAAGATGAGAGTGGGAAACACGCTAGGACCAAGTTGGTTAAAAAATTATTCCTGTCTCATTTTGAGCTTAATCAGTTAGCATACAAGTGGAGTCTCATTGGGAATTGAACATCGTTGGGGGTGTTTACCCAATAACAGGTGTTGTCAATCCCAGAGATAATCTTTAGTTTTATGACCAACAAGCTTTATGTAATGCTAGATGTCTCCCACCTCCCAGTCATCGGATTCAGGCTCACCCACAACACAATGTATGCACATTTTCCACTCCCTGGGGAGCATTCCAGCCAGTCGCCATTTTACATTCCTTGTGCATACATGCCAACATTTGAAAATCAGAAATCTGTACAAATTATGCTATTTTCAAAAAAAAGAGGAACAATCCTAACTCTCCTAATCAATACTACAGACAAATTTGTACAGGAAGAGGAACACCTGCATTAAAATGATAATTATCTTCTCCCAAAAAGAGGAATGTTCCTCTTTAATCTGAACAGTTGGCATGTATGCTTGTGGTACAAAAATATAGATTAAAAACTCACATGCATCCATAAGTAGACCTTAGGAACCCCCATGAGTCGAGCATGAGGAAGGAGAGACCCAGTAAACAGGCTAACCAGAAAAAGAAGATAGCTCCAGTTAGCATGATAGAACGTACCGCCTCTGGACTTTGGTAATTCACTGCTTTATCTTGAGATCCCTGCAGGACAAGAAGAAGGAATAAAATGGATGAGTAGACCAACGAAAGGGAGTGTAGCTTGGCAAATGCTGGTTAACGCCATCTATGTCTTCTTTTGGACAACTGCACATATATGAATGGACTTGATTAACGGTAGTCAGCGACTTAATCTCTACATGGTCAGCATTCGCGAAACAGACCGAAGTAAGGCAGTGACTTCAATGCTAGACGTTCAATTGAAGATAATCTGAAAGTTTGATTGAAAGCGAACCATCATTAATGATAATAATTGGAAAAAAACTGATCTGATTGATTTCCTAATTCTCCCAAATATATTATTACAATTTAAGTACGTTTTAGGTGAATGTAAATCATCACAAAGCAATAAATTGGCTCTTTATACCATTTCAGACATTTAAGGGTCGAAAGATTTTTTAAATACTGTCTTATTTCTTATTTTCAAGGAAAAACAGTTGGGAAATTCAAAAATAGTTTAGAGAATTTATTGTTAATTACTGTTAGAGGGTGTTGCACAGTGATGCCTTCAAAGAATACCACAAATATCTTTGTGGTTTGAGAATTTTCTCAGGATTTTTTGCCTGTTAGAGTCCCGCCACGGCACTAATGTCTTTTGGCAAGACATTGATCTACATTTGTCACTCTACACCCAGGTGTTAAATGGTTACCGGTAGGAAGGAATTCCTGAAAATGCTGTGAGCGTCGAAATCGGCAGCCTAGCATAGCTGGGTAATGTTGGAGCGCCTTGAGGACCTTTGCAAGGTTGATACGTGCACTATATGAGAATCCAATATTATTATTATTATTATTAGAAGGAATATACCGGTAATAAGTAACATTTCATACAAAATTTACACATTTTTTCATCAACCTTCAACAATGTTACCGAGTCATTTTAAGTCAACTCCTTTTCTCGTAAATCTGAATGAACTCTCTCAGTGGCATTTCTGTTGGGTAAAACTGAGAGAAGGAAGACTGGTAAACATATCTTACCTGCATTTTGATGATGGCTATGTGCATTGCGAGTGGAACAATTAACGTGACTGGGTACAGAGACTGGTATGAGGCAAGAGCAAGGCACAAAGTGGCTGCAACTGCATTTCCTGTAAATAAAAACAAAGGCAAGGAGAAAGGAATGAAACTTGACAAGTACATCAGTGAAAGAATGAGAGAGAGAGAGAGAGAGACACACACACACACACACACACACACACACACACAGAGACAGGGGACAGAGAGACAATGATTAAAGAAGAACGGGAGTGGCATATGTGTGAAGAGAAAAGAGAATGACGATGGGAATTGGAACAAAGGAAGTATAAATCAATGGAAAGTATCACACTGTGACATCAGACTATACTATCATCACTTAAAGGGACTATGTCCCATTTGCAGGCCAAAAAAATGAAAAAGTTAAATTCCAACTGCATTTGAAAGATAATACTAATTTAGAACTTCCCTAAAAAAGGTGGGGCTTGAAAATGTCTTCAAGTGGGAAAATAACGACTATTAGTTGTCAAATCGACTTTAGGGCTATAGAGCCCAAAAGTAATAGTCTTGATTTTCAGACAATTGTACTGAATGGTCATACGTTTTATGCTGTGCAAAGATTCAATCAGTTTAATCTTGGCCATCACAAGAAGTGGGTTATTGATGTAGACAAATACTCATGTACCCTTTACAACTCTTTTCATGTATGTTATTACCAAAGAAGAAAAAAAGCCTTTTAGTCACTCAATAGTGTCTAACAGTGAAGTCTAGCAAGTAAACGGTTTTCCTTGCATAATTTGAATATGAGGACACTGCTAACGTTTAAATTTCACAGATAGGACATACATGACATATTCATAATTCCTGCAAAGTTCTACAGCATTTGAGGTTGGCTGCAAAAGGGACATAGTACCTTTAAAATGGGATTCATCATATCAGCTGAACCGTACATTGTACAAAAAAAGAGGAAAAAAAAGAAGGTAGACCACTTCAATTCACAACAACTTTCAGTCCTTTAAAGGGATCGTTAAACAATGTTAAATCTGAGATACACGGTCCTACGTGTTATCAGTGTCTGTGATATGGTGTAATATTGAAGCCCTAAAAAAATTGCGCTCCAAAATGATCAAGAAGTGCCTGGAAAAAGTAAAAAATCTTTGAGTGACCGGTTTTACCATACTCGTTTTCCGCAATAGACTGTAGTGTCATGAAAAAAACGTTAGGCAAACGCAAAATTTAGTTTTGATATATAATCATAAATATCTTGATAATCAGACAGGCCATCGGCTTCTAAAAGTCATGGGGTTCCTGACTGACCTAAAGGTTTATAATTATCATTGCAGCATCTAGAATCTGAGACAAAGTTACCAGATCCCTTTAAAATTGGTTTAGAATGCCTTACCTTGTAACGTGAAGAGAAAAGTAGCCGCTAGGGTAAGATTGGTAAACACAACAGTGCACTGAGCAACACAGGTCACGATGCTATATGGACACAGCAAGTAACTGCAATCACACAAGATACAAAACTGGTTTAAAAAAAAGAAGAGGTACCACTCTAACTTGAAGAGACTGATGACAAGTTGACATAATACAATGATGCACAAATCTCCTCAGTAAACTAGTCGTTGAATTCAATCGATCAAAACTTCACAAAAGTGTCAGGATTAGGGGAAGTTGGAAGATGCATTCAAAGGTAGTGTATCCCTTTTGCAGCCACCATCAAATGCTGTAGAATTTTGCAGGATTTAAGTATGTCATGTATGTCCTATCTGTGAAATGTAAACGTTCGCAGTGTCCTAGTATTCAAATTATGCAAGGAAACCTGTTTACTTTCTAGACTTCACTTTCAGACGCTATTGAGCGACTAACTGACTTCTTTTTTTTTTCTTTGGTAATAACATACATAAAAGATAAAATGAACTGTAAAGGGTACGTGAGTATCTGTACACATCAATAACCCACTTCTTATAATGGTCAAAATTAAGCAGATTGAATCTTTGAGCAGCACAAAACGTACGACCATATGGTACAAGGGTCTGAAAATCAGACTACTTTCTATGCATAATTTTTGAAACGCGGTCGATATAATTCCACATAAAGGCAATTACCCGTTCTAATCTTTTTAGGGGAGTTTTTAGTTGGTATTATCTCTTGTTTACCATCGGATTCACACAAGTTTATATTTTCAGCCTGCAGAAGAGACGTACTACCTTTAAGGGGGAGGCTGGGTTAGATGGGATGACTGATCTTAGGCCTTAGGTCTTAGATTAGTGATGATGGTAAGCCCCTTCTAAAGAAAGACTTGGCTTAATCTACTCCTTTTTTATGATTAGCTTTGGCTGCTTTTAAGATTAACCTTTCTAATGCCTCAGTCACACCTTTGCGTATTTGGCTTGCGTATTGCTGCGTATTTATTTATTTATGGCAAGACGTTTTAAAGCCCCACTGTCCTACTTGTAGCTACTTGCTCCCTCTATATAGGAAACTTCCCCAATCGGTGCCTGTTGGTCCCCCATGATCCTCTTTTTCTTATGTTAGTTGAGAGCTGAGTTAATGAGAGAGCCACCTGTCAGTGACCTCGCTGTGTGGTCTAATCCCTTCTGGCCCAGTAGTATTGGTGGTCTTTAACATCTATTCCTATTTCTTGATATCAAGAATTACCATTGCTTTACAACAGAAAATTGTTTCTTGATATCAAGAAGTAGGAATAAATATTAGAATGGCTTGCCATAAATATGCAGCAATACGCAAGCCAAATACGCAAAGGTGTGACTGAGACATTAGGCGGAACTTACATTGCCATAGCCAAGTCAGGAATAGAAATGACATCCGATGAGAGGATGAGAAGAGGATCAACTCCTGAAGCATAACTCTTCTCCTCCCGTTTCTGCAGATTGTACTAATAATGAATACCACAAAGAAGAAGAGAAGAAAAAGTATGATTGAACAAGCCGACTCGGACATAATATTGCATTTATTTCCAAAAATCTTTTTTAATTAAAAAAAAAAAAAATCACTCATTTCATTAATTCATGAAAGATAGGTAGCAATTTATCCTAATCCCTGTGATTTACTGTCATTTCAACATCCAAACAAGGAATTCTCATTTTTGATCCCTTGTTGTTCAATACATATGCGTGATATATGAAATAAATGTTGTTTAAAGCGATGCTGAACTGATGAACTTTCTGCCCTAGCGTAATATTTATTGCACAGCGCCATCTCATGGTTAAATTGCCAACAGTACCTAATTTCTGCTTTGATGCAAGCACCAACAGCGCTGCAAGTTATGGAACAATATTACCACAGCTGACCTGAGATGGCTCTAGAGAGGATTGTGCAGTAGTGCTTCTAACCCCTCTCCCTTAAATTTGCTATTTCTCAAAAAATTCCCTACTAGAATGAAACAAGAAAACAAATTTACGAAGAATTTTGTCGCTTTAAAGCCCCAGTCCCGTATAAAGCCGGACCAGCACGGACGAGCACGGACCACTCCGGAACATCCCGGACCATGGTCTGGGGTGATCCGGGATGGTCCGGGATGTTTTGTTCAAAAAATCGCAACCGCCGACCGTCTGCCCGGACCCAACAAGGTACCACTACGGACCGCCCCGGACCGTCCGGGCATAGCCCCGGCAGCAGTACAGATCATTCCAGACCCAGCACGGAGCCGCCACGGACCGTCCCGGACCACCCCGGTGCCAACACGGATGACACCGGACCATCCCGGTGCCAACACGGATCATCCCGGAACGCCCCGGTGCCAACACGGATCGCCCCGGCAGAGCCCCGGATCATCCAGGGTGATCCGTGTCGCCACCGTGCTGGGTCCGGGATCATCCGTAGGGGCGCCGGGGTGATCCGGGGTCAATAACTCACTCCCGGACTGCCACGGATCAACACGGACCGCCCCGGCGCCACTACGGATGACCCCGTTCCCAGCACGGTGGCTACACGGATCACCCCGGATCAAACTATTGTCCCGGACCGTCCCGGACCACCCCGGCAGTTTTTGACCGTCAAAAACATCCGGGGTCGACTCCCGGACCGCCCAGGACCATCCAGGACCATCCAGGACCACCCCGGTGCCAACACGGTGTCAACACGGACCGAATCCCGGATCACCCCGGATGGGGTCCGGGATGGTCCGGGACGGTCCGGGACGTATATGGGACTGTAGCTTAAGGTAACTAAGTTCTCATAACACCAGAAAATAAGATCTCACAGAATCATACAAAATATCCACTAATAGTTAACAGATTAATATTGTCTGTGAAACAATTTTGGTAGAAATATCAAATTATGTAATAATAAGCATATAAGAAATTGAGCTCAGATGTTCCAACCAATAACATACAGTCATGGTGTGTGATGTGATTTCCAGGTAATGCCATTTCTGCACCGTTTTGGGGGCTTTGTGGTTGGGATTTTTAGAGTTTGCTTAATGCTTACATTTTACAGATCCAGACATTCCACCTACTGTAGGACAAATACTTCCAGATAACTTCAAGTCACTTTCTCTTCAAAAAGAATTCCTCAACAAAAGTATTTTCAAGTTAGTATTTACTACAAAAATAAAGAAATTACAAATAGAAGTTTTACCAAGTATTTCATTGTCCTGGTGGCCACCTTGTGCAGTATGAATGCCGTCATCAGATCCACCATGACAAACATTACCGGCACCAGGGTCGGAGAGAAGGAACGCACATAGTAGAAGATATATAGCAACAAAGGGGTCTGGAGAAACAAGAATAGTCATGAAGCACATTAGCACAATACATGTATTACAAACAAATCCAAATTTGTTAGAACTTTCTTCCTGTTGACCTTCATTGTAATCAAGATTATGTTCACCATGATATTTTGTATTTATTGTGTCCTTATTTCTTGTTTTTCAAGCATACAATTTGACTTTCCAAAACTAAAACAGAAATTTAACTATTTAATGTATCATTAGAGATAGTATCCAATTTTTTAAAGATAAAGATGAAGTGTTTGAATATTATATAAATCTATCTAAAAATGCTAGAGGAAACTCCAGTTTAAAAAAAAAAAAAATCCCCTTTCTTTTATAACGTCCCTATTTTCACGAAGTGACGGTAGTGAGGAAAATCGTCACGCAAAGTGAATGCAATTTTTTTTCACTACCGTCACTTCGTGAAAACAGCGACGATAAATGTGTTTCTCCTAAAATGCATCAAGACAGGAATGACTGTATCTATCTACCAACATTATTTTTGTAAAAACAATTCATTCCGTCTTTTTAGTGTAATTTCAAACCTACATGTAACATATAAGTTTGTTTCCACAACATAAAAACTGAAAGCTGGGGGGATTTGTATAAGTGAGAACTCTTATTTCATTTTCAGACTGAAATCAAAGCACAAATTATACACTTTTTTTTTATTAGATAAAGAGATAATTATAGTGAAAGCCATGGGACTCACTTCATGGAAAGTATCTCCAGCATACGGCGAAATCCCCCTCTCAAGCAAAGTCAAACCTTCGACCACTGTTCGTACCAAAGAAAAAGACATATAGCAGAAAGAGAGATTAATGAGATACAGAAATAAAGAGAGAGAGAGATAATCTATCAAACGAGGAAAGAGATACACAGAAACACAACGAGTCTGATTAGATGACTAATATGAACAAAGATATGTTTCATGTATGGGATCGCAGATCTATGGCATTGTATTTTGGCAGTTTAATTTCATGCACATCCCAAATTTAAGCTCCTATGAAAAAGAAATAGGTCTACAGAATTCCAAAAACAAATTGAGCCATTCTTTCTTTTCTCAAAATAGATCTAGAATACCCGAGTCAAAGTTCTACATATAATTACTAACAAAATTTGCATGAAACATGTACATTTTAAACATCACATTTGGTCTAAAACTCTAAATTCACGATTTGATTGAAAAACAAACAAACCTAGATAATATAACGTACATGTAGGTCTATAGAGTATCTTTAGAGTATCTAGTATCTTTCGATATGGTTCAAAATTTACGAATGTCTGACATCACTGATCTAGCGCTAGCGCTAGCCAACTGGTACTATGGTATCACTGAGAGAACAAATTAGAAATATAATCAATGCCCTGTTAGCATTAATTCATTTTTATTTTGTCTTCTTGGCAATGTATGACCACAGTACCCTTGCTTCCGACTTGTGCCAGGGTCATGGATCTATGGTATCAGATATTTGGAAATTTTAGATGATAGCGATTAGTGAAGAAGAGGTGTGCGCGCAGGGAGTTCGCATAATTCGGCAAACTATGTGCAAGGCCTTTGTATGCTATACTTATCGCTATAATCGTGAAGTCAGTATCAAATTGGCAACGCAAAAAAAACATTCATGTGTATAAATAATACTACATGTCTTGGCAATCCAGCCGGAACTAACATTGCGAACTCTATATAGAGAGCTGTTCGCTCGAAATAGCTGAATATGCACGACTAAAAGAACCAGAGAGTGGTGAATACTTGTGCAATTTCAGCAAATTTTGAGCGAATGGCGCTCTATATAATAACAAACTGCGTCCTCAAAAATAAGGATCGTCTGCATTTTCGCTGACTTTTTTTTTCATCGGCGCTCTGCGGGTTTCGGTTACAAACCTCCCGCTGGCGATGCGAAAAATGGATTCATCATAAGAAAATAACTAGGCCTGAGTCATCACGGGTTTTGCCGAACCCGGGTTTGACTTGAAAATTTCGGGCGTGGACCAGGTACCCGAAATTTTCACTACTGCTCTGACACTAAAAATCGTGTGCATGCAGCGGCTCGAAATCGCTGAATATGCACGAGGTTGAGAAGGGCTTTGTTTGTTCGAGTCGTGCATATTCAGCGATTTCGAGCAATGGGCGCTCGATAGCATGAATATTCATATTTTCTTCGCCACTGCCGCGCATGCGTACCTTCTCATCGCTATTTTTTAATCAACGCTGCCACATGGAAGAATCGTTGGTGTAGTACCCCGAATTAACCTTTTTTTTCCATCGAAGACTTCTTCAAATTATACATTCAAGTGATTGGAGTTGAGCCCTGAGGAGTCGTGCACCCTATGATGTAAAAATTGTAAGTACTCCCTTTGCAGATTTAACGATAATATCACCCAATCGGCTGTTTTACTAGCCCCCACGAGAAACCAACGAAACCACCCGAAGCTCCGACGCCTGCGGCGCCGGTGTTGGAGCTTCCCGGAGTTATACAGTCAGTAGCCAACAAACAGTGCAGTGCACAACTTTTTGTAGACTTTGATGTACGAAATATAGGGTCTAAATGGTTTTGTGAGATTTCTAACTTACTCGATTTCCATGATGTAAGAGGTGTAGAAATTTCAACTCGATCAGTCAGCCAGCTTGATACAAACGAGTTGAATAATACGGATCTCACTGTCACTCCGATCAGTGTAACAAATAACGTGGGGGCTGCCATTTTGTAAACTTGATTTATCATTACGTCGCCATCTACGATACAGTACGGTACATGTGTGTGTATTTTTTTACAGAGTGACGTGTATCAATCATAGAGATATATAACTACTAACATTAAGTATATATCTCTATGGTATCAATCAATCAGATATAATATATACGTCTGGCCGTCTGGGGACCGACTTTAAACGTCACCATCCGAAAGACGTGACTCACTTTTGAACCTGCGTCCTCAACTAAATCAGTTTGTAACTTCCATTATTAAGCTAAAATTAATGACATGGTAAATAAAAACTTGAAGGAGAAATTCAATTCAATTAAATTCAATTCAATTTATTTTGCCAAGCAATAAAAAAACATACAGGGTAAAACAAAAGCAGTTTACAAAGTTTCACACAATTACAATAATTGTAATTATTACTAACATAGATAAACACAGAAATACACAGAATCAATTTACAAACATGAATAATACAAAGGAAATTGCTAATGCTGGTAGCAGCCAGAAAGGAGGTGGTCCTTGTATGCGGCTGACCAATTAATCAAATATAAAAAGTTAAGCTGTAATAAAAAGTGAAACAACAACTACATGTAAAGTATAATGAATTTAACAACCGGTCGTGATGCCGAGGAGAGTACCAGAGAGCTAGAGAGAGAGAGAGAGAGAGAGAGAGAGAGAGACGGGATAAGAGAGAAAGAAAAAAAAAGGGGGGGGGGGGGGGTATGGAGGGCACTGAAACATAATTCATCCCATCTGCACCAATCCTACCCATTCGGCACTAAAGAAAATAACGTCCTATCTAAACGCCATCGAGTCAGAAAAGTAAGATATTCATTTTAAAATATTTACGTAGAAGTGGATTTATCTCGTATAACCTTCAGCGTCGGCATTGTAAAAATACAAACCGTTCTTTCTGACAGGCACATTTATTTGATGATCCTTTTCCTTTTGAAACTACGCTTGACCGTTAACTCGGATGGCGGCCATTTTTTATTTGGCCAATATGACCAGCATGACAGCCCCAAAGGAGACCTCAAATCGATACAAGCACATCATAATCAGATTCTCTGACCCCGAAAACCCCCTTGATATTTAAACTTTTATCATACTAGCGCATTTCCTTTCGAAACTACACATGACCTGTAACTATCAGCAGGCGCGGATCCAGGATTTCTTAGGGGGGGGGGGGGGCCCAAATTTGAAATTATGCGAGCCAAATATTGGTACGTAATGGTGACCAACAGTGACGTAATGCGGGGGGGGGGGGGGTAGGTGCAGGGAGGGGCGAGTTGTCCCCACCCTCCTCTACGAAACGCGGAAGCTTTGACGTTTCATTAAATTATTAGAGAAAGAAGACGATTCGTTGTACCGTTCTCGACTCAAAATCTTCGTCTGAATTTAGTTTTGCCCCTCCCGCGCGAAGCGCGAAAAATTTTACGATTTATTAAATTATTAGAAAAAGAAGACGATTCGTTGAAGAGTTCTCGACTCTTAATCTTTGTCTAAATTCAGTCCCCCCTCCCCCTCCTGCGCGAAGCGCGGAAGCTTTGACGTTTAATTAAACAATTAAAGAAAGAATACGATTCGTTGTAGAGTTCTCGACTCTTAATCCTCGTCTGAATTCAGGTTTCCCCCCCCCCCTCCCGCGCGAAGCGCGGAAGCTTTTAAGTTTCATAAGATTATGAGAGAAAGAAGACGATTCGTTGTAGAGTTCTCGACTCTTAATCCTTGTCTGAATTCAGGTTTCCCCCTCCCGCGCGAAGCGCGGAAGCTCTTACGTTTCATTAAATAATTAGAGAAAGAAGACGATTCGTTGTACCGTTCTCGACTCTTAATCCTCGTCTAAATTCAGTTCCCCCCCCCACCTCTTGCGCGAAGCTTTGACGTTTCATTAAATTGTTAGAGAAAGAAGACGATGCGTTGTACCGTTCTCTAAACTCTTAATCCTTGTCTGAATTTCAAAGATGTTCTTTGTCTGCTCCTTTTACTTCCTACGTCCTCTTCCGATTTGGGGGGACCGCCCCCCCCCCCCCCCTGGCTACGCGCCTGCGGTCAGATAAACACATTTTGATAACTTGTCCGGCCCCGGAAGCTCAGGGGTTTAGGCGTTTAATTAAGGTCAGATGATCATTTTTTTTTAATACCTATTATTTTCTGACACTGGCAGGTCACTATTGGGGGGCGGATCCCCCCCAAAGAGGGGTTTTAGGCATTAAATTACCGTCAGATGAGCATCTAAGGGCCCGCCGTAGCACCCTAAGTGGAATCCAGGGGGCAGAGCCCCCGGAAGCTTAGGGGTTTTAGGCATTTAATCACGGTCAGATGAGCATATTTTGATGCCTCATTTTTTAACACTGGCAGTTAACTATTCCTTCTTTCTTGCTCTCATTCTATTTTTTTTCTCTTTAATATACTTTTTCAAATAAAGGGGGGGGGGGGGGGGGAGGGAGCTCGAGGCTCCCGATCCCTGCCGTACCTCGGGCCCTGACATGTAGGAATCTCAAGAATCATATTTCGTGCCTGGCTGTAAATTTAGGAATTTGTCATTTTCCAACAAACACATATACAAACGTATAATTTACTAAAAAATGAGGACAAATCTGGGAAATTATGTCATTTCTGCATTATTTGTAATCCACCGTTGTGGAATTAGAAATAAACCACGTTTGAATTTGATTTCTCCAAAGCCCCCCCCCTATTTGTACGCCAGTATCTCCTCTTTTCCTTTATTCTTTCCCTTTCCTTCCTTCTCTCCTATTTTTTTAATTGGGGGGGGGGGGGGGGGGTCAACAGCCTGGGAGGCAAGGCCGTTTCGGTCCTCCCCGATTTCCTTCTTCCCCCTTTTCTTTTCTTCTTCTTCTTCTTCTTTCTTTCCCTTTCTCTCCTCTTTCCCTTTTCCTTCTTTTCCTTTCTTCTCTTTTTTTTTCTTTTTTTTTTTTTTTGCGGGGGGGGGGGGGGGCCAAGGCCCGCTCGCCCCCCCCCCTGGATCCGCGCCTGACTATCAGATGGTGGCTATTTTGGAATTGACCAATATGACCAGTATGGCAGCCCCATGGAGACCTCAAATCGATGAAAGAACATCATAATCAGATTCTAAATCGATGAAAGAACATCATAATCAGATTCTCTGACCCAGAAAACTCCAGAAATATATAAACTTTTATCATACTAGCCCATTTCCTGTCATAACTACACTTGACCTGTAACTCAGATGGCGGCCATTTGGATTTGACCATTATAGTAAGGCAGCCCCAAGGAGACCCCGAATCAATGAATGAACATCATAATCAGATTCTCTGACCCCCCAAAACCCTATAAAAATATAAACTATTATCATACAAGCGCTCCTTTTGGAACTACGCTTGACCTTTAACTCAGATGGCGGCCATTTTGGATTTGCCCAATATGGCAGTCCCAGAGAGCGCCCTTCTTGGCGTCCGGCAGAAATCGTAAAAGTATGGTATAATCTACCTCTGGGCCAAATTTGGTGCTTTTAGAAGAATCTGCACCAAAATATCCCCAACAGCCCACACTAAGAGGGATATATATGTATGAGAGTGAGAGAGGGGTGGATGAAAGAGAGAGGGATGAGAGAGGGATGGATGAGAGATTGAGATTTTTTTAGACGAGATGGAAAGCGAGAAATAGAGTTGTTCTTCTTGTACTTTTTTTTTTTTTGGGGGGGGGGGGGGAGCCGGGGGGTTACACGCCTGACAAGGAAGGACCCCATTATGCACACTGCAACATTGCGTGCCCCCGTCCCTTTCCCGGTAATAAAAACACCTTTTTATAATATCATCCTCCTTTCTTTCTTTTCCCCTTCTCTCTTCCCCTTTTGTTCCCTGCCGCCGTTTTTCCTTTCTCTCTCCTTTTTCTCCTCTCCCCTTTTCTCTCCTGCCTCTTTTCTTCTTCTTTCTCTCTTTCCTTTCTTTCTTTTCTCCCCCTTTTTCTCCTTTTATCCCTTTTTCTTTTCCCCCTTCCCCTTCTTTACCGGGGGAGGGAGGGGGGGGGGGGCGTGCCCCCGGTACCCCCCTGAATCCTCCACTGCTTGTACTTGTGACGGTTTCATGAAACGCTGTCCATCATCCCATGTACTCCTATACTATGCACTAGGTCAGCGCCAGGCTATATAGGCATCGTCAGCTTCAGCGAATCTCGAGCAGGGCATGCAGCGTTTGAAGTCTACGCAGCTACGAAGAGAGGAACGTTGAATTGTGATGAAAGGCTCACTGATACATGACAGTTTTTGCTAAAATCTTTACATTCTTGTATTATTGTAAGTATTACAATTTCATTTTGAACCATTACCGCGATTCTAGCGGTATACCGTCGATGTTTATTTAGATCTATGTATTCTATGATCATTTCTTCACAGACAGTTGCTACAATCATTATAGGTGTTTGGCGATGTACATGTATGATTAATAATAATGCGTGTTACGTAGACGTATTTGCGACCTCGTCGGTGTTCGGCAGTGGTTATTTGTTGTTACGTTCGGTTTGGCGTTCGTTCGGTCAAGTTTGACTATTTACAGCTATAGTTCTTCAGTTTAATCAGTTGAGGTAGTCGAGTCATAAAAGTTCCTAGCCTGGAAACTGCTTCGCTGCTCCACTGCTGGTGGCAGCACTTACCTGTACACTGGAAGAAAAAGAAGAACTGAAGAACTGTCTTCTAGCTTACATTTAACGCATGCACATAACGTTCATCTGATCTCGGCGAATTGCAGCCTCATTTTACTAAATTAGTGCCGACAATTACAAGAGCCCTTCTTATTAGCTATCACTGGCTTCCATTCACTCAATGTATTGGTGCGAGGAGAAAGCTTGACATGTCTAAATATCCTTGGTGTGACTTAATAATTACTTATTGACATTCACATTGCCATTGAACTTAAGTTTGGGTGTCTGAACAAATTTTCAATTTGGGATCGTTTTTCACCATTTTTGTTGGATATTTGAATAAAAAATGTAATCAGAATAATACTTTTTAAATTTCGAGACTCACCGATGTTTCTATTTAAAAGATACAGCCCCTCAAAAACTCGGCAATATTCATAGCATTTTGGTCAGAATCGAACAAAAAGACGTACACGCAGAGTTAAACAGCTCCATCGCGCAATATGCAAGCGTATGCATAGCTAGCGTACGCATGTAGCTTAGCTGAATGCGCAACTTGAGCATGTTGTCTACAACGTGCATCCACTTCCTGGTTTGAGCACGATCGGCAAGCTCTACCTCCAATGTCTATAACGTGCATTCACTTCCGGGTTTGTTCGCCTAATACACGTATGCGGTCCAAATATGAATGTGCATTTCTTACGCGTTGTCACCATGTTTTGGACTGAGCGGAGTGCACGTCTCCCTAATTAGCTGATCCGGAAAATAAGGGGGAGGGTATTTTCAAACTGTAATAACTTGTGATTCCTTAGAGCTAGCGAAAAAATATAATTCTTACAAATGGGACTACTTTTCGGTTCTTAAAAATAGCAAATATCAGAGCTACATTGTAGGATGCAAACAACATTTTAATCGCTGTTTGGACCAAGATATTTTTAGAAATCCAAAATGGCACCCCATTGGAAATATTAGATTATTCTGCTCTTTCATATGACACCATTTATTGAGTATCGCCTTCAGGATCACAAATTATAAAGGTTTGAATCTCAATTAAAAAAAAAAAAACGTTGACCAATTTTGCAATGCACGTAGACAACATAGGGATGCGTGCAATGTCTATGGGAAGGGTTTTGGCAGACAAAACGAGTGCGCGATCAGACACCCTACTTAAGTTGAGCTTAAGTTAAGTAGGCCCTCTCTCACGTCTCACTTAAATTTGAAGTCACTCAAGTGGATCAGCTAATGGGAGCGCGTAAACTCATGGTACAGCGCTCAATGCGCAAAGTTCTACGTGGGGGGGGGGGGGGGGCGGGGGTACGTGGTTATTTAATTCCATTCGGACTTGAATGAATGACTAAGTTGAATGGCTTATGTTATGACCATACTTTGTCTGTGTATGACTATGAGCCAGGCCAGGAATAGGTTGATCTCTCACACCAGACGGCTATGAAACTGTGAAGTAGGTTGACTTCCTACATGAATAGTGAATTACATATATTGAATATTCAATAATTGTATGAGCTGAGAGTTTAAAGTTTCAATTTAAATTTCAAGAATTGCTGGCTTAAAGGTAAAGACCAGTTATGGTCATGCCATTGCATTGTGAAAGAAACGTTGTGGAATCGATCAGAAAAGGTTGATCATCTAGCATCTAGCATCTGCAAGGTTCTGGAATCATCCAAATGATAAGAAATTTGGCCCATTCTTCATAAAGTTACAAGCACTATACACAGAAAGATGTATATGGGACTACCCTATATCTCTCACAGACCATGAGAGAAACAAATTTACCAAATATATGAATTAGTAGGCGGTTTCCCGGCAAATTTGTTATCATCATGTATTAGTCAAAACATATTCTTTCACATGATTGGTTATGAGAGCTTCCAATTAATTTTTTGAAATTGGGGCGTTTCCAATAATGGTCTTTACCTTTAAATAATAGTATTTATGATGTACAGATAGACAAAAGGTGTCCCCCTTAAGTTTGAAGAATTAGCTAGGGATTCATACAGATCTAGTAGAAGAAGAATGAAAGAAAAAAGGAAAATATTTGTAGACCTCCCCTTTGAAAAAATAAATGTATTTTGCACAAACCAAAATGGCAAGGTGGGCCATTATTTGAATTAAGAAATCAATTGGCTCTAGGACAATACCAAATGGCAGTACAATAATAGAAAAGGGAGTGAGGTGGGGGGGGGGGGGGATAAGATAAGATTTTGTGGCAGTTATATCTGGAACATTTCTTTTCTTTTCAAGGCCTTGATACATAATGGAGATGAACTTTGTACTGTAATACAATGTTAGCCTATATTTGTGCAGGGAGATAGGCTAGTGAGTTTAAACAAAAATCACAAAGGAAATAAGAAGAGCAATGAAGTTACTGCACTCACGACCTCGCGTGCCTGAAGGAAAATGCATTACTGTTATGTCATGAACAGGAAAATATGTGACTCGGCCCAGATACCTTATTTTTTGTGCCAGACCCTGGGGCAAACTTGTCTCGGATCACCAGTCGCTTTGTCAAAATGAATGTGTTGACTTTAGTACAATGATAAGTATCTCTACAGTAAATTCCATTGCAATTGATTCAATTGATGAAATATTATTATCATTTTTTTCTTTTTCATATCGTGGCCTTGACCTCATGACTGTAGATAAAAAAAGAAACATACATGTACATTCTTGCTTTTGTTCATCTATTTAATACAGAAAGCTTTTTTAATATCCGGTCCCTTCTACATACTGTACATGTACTAACTGGCTTACTTTCTATTACAGAATCAGATGTGAAAAACGTCGTGAGTCGGTGACTAGCTGCGATAAAGGTACTATTTTTTCTAATTTATTCTCCTGTAGTTGATAATAAATGAATTGTTAGGGAAAAAAATAATTAAAAAGTTTTCAAGGAAAATGAATTCAATATTATGTAGTGTCTTGAAAATGAGAATTCAGTTTGTGTATGTTTTGTTTAAATCACTCTTGAAAGAAAAGGGGGGGGGGGAGAATATCATGAAACTTCTTGTAGCTGTTTTATGTTTTTGTTGTGGTCATTGCTGTTTATTAGTTTTTCCTGCCTCTATTGACATACCGTTTGTACTTGCGTCATAGTCTACACAGGCACCACTTTATCGCTTGTACAGATCATGGCAGTATCTGGCTGGTCTTCTGTATCTAATAAATCTGTAGCATGTGATGTTGAACTTTAGACCCATATGTGTTTTGACTCATTAACCCCATGAGTACTGAATGTTTTCATTCCCATAGACTTAACACACGGACCACCCAGCTCCCGTAGACAATGGGTTAATGCTTGTTTGACTGACATTTAATCTCTTTGATTTTGTACAAAGATGCAAGTTCTCCTAAAGGGAGGGGCTACCTCCCTCCAGAGGCTAGTACCCATATGGAGTGTATCACATCGTCTCATCCACCCTTCTGTCACCCGTCTTGCCGGCGCCCGAGCTCCTACATCAGTGGACTTGCCGGATAGAGCCAAGGTAGTGATTTGTGGTGGGGGTATCGCTGGGACCTCCATTGCCTATCACCTTGCCAAACTTGGATGGAATGATGTCCTTCTTCTGGAGCAAGGAAAGTGAGAATTTTATTTATTTAATTTTTTTATTGCAAATGCAAATGAATACAAAAACTGTCTATACAATAAAGTGTGTTGTGTACATCTTAGATGTATTTTCCTTCATCCCCCTTCCTGATAACACTTTATTTTCAAGATTTTCTTGTTTTGGTGACCCTCTCTACGAGCCTCAGGATTTTTAGGAACCTTTCCACCTTCCTCTCTACCTAAATAGTGATGTGATATTCGTTTTGATAGGAATGAACTAAATATGTTTAAAATGTGAAAACCTGAATATTCTTAAATCCCCATGGCACCTCTTATACCTACTTACACCTTCTATATAGCAAGCAGTGCCTAATCAGTGACATTGGTCCCCCATGATCCTCTTTTCTTGTGTTAATTGAGAGCTTATTTGATAAGATAACCCCCTGTCAGTGATTATGCAAGGAGGTCTTATCCCTCCTGGCCAAACTAGTGCGATAGAGCTTTAACATTGCTTCCCCCCTTTTTTTTGGTGTGGGTTTTCTCTAGTTTGACATGCGGTACAACATGGCATTCTGTGGGGCTAGTGGGTTTGTTGAAGGGCCAGTCAGTGCTGGGCCAGGTGTCCAGATGGAGCGCTGAACTCTATGAAAGTCTCAAGGAAGAAACAGATATTGATACAGGTATGCTATCCACACCAGTTTCACAAAGCCTTTTTTCAATGACAAATGACAAAAATCAGTGACAAATTTGCTGATAACCAATCAAAAGCAAGGATTTCAGTAGCTTATATAACATTTGTCACTGATGACAAGTTTTGAGAAACACCCCCCAGTACAAATATTGCAAGATGAGGTGCCTGAAAAGCTGAAATTTTTTCTTTACTAAAGTAGTTAATTAAAATGAAATGGGACAAAAACGCTATGCATCCGTTGTGTACTCATTGCATACATGTTTCATATGCTCTATCCATCAAGCATCCGTCCACTGTGATTTCATCCGCGCAAAAAGTTTTGAGCTGCACAAAACTTTTAGGACGGATGAACTTTCTGCCGTGTACGATGTAAGTCCGCGACAAATATGAGCACCAAACGTTCTATGTCCGTTATCATCCGTTAAACGTCCGCTGTTTCCTCTCTGCATCCTCTGGGCATCCTCGCAACTCACATCCGCTGCAGCTGAAAACGGAAAGAGGGAGGAAAGATAAGGTACATGGAACGTCTATACATCGTTAGTAGCACGGAAATAGAAAGGATGTAAGCGTATGCATCTCGTATATAAAGTATTCAAAACGGACAAAGCGTTTGTATCTGGGATGTATCTCATATTTTTAGGATGTCTGGAGTATGTCTAGAGTATGTAGAAGGACACCTAGCGGACAACCGATATTTTGTATGAAAAAGGGGAGAAAATCATCTGGATCTCAGTATGAGTCGAGCAGCCATGGTGTACAGACCTCATCACCCTTGGTCTTGGTCTTCAACATCATCAATTGTTCTCCACCATGGATGATCAAAGAGTCCATATGATAGCTGCACTCATTCAACAGCAGAACCACAACCTGTTCAGACTGTATCAAGTTTTAGACGGAAGAAGGAGACGTCCAAGAGCTGTGTCGGTCTGAGGATGGATCGTGAGAAGAATGGAGTTTGGACTGTGTGACCAGTTGATGGTGGAGCTGAGGAATGAAGACCCTCGTGCATTCCATCACTTCACGAGGATGCCACCATGTTTGAAAGTTTTTACCAACTCTTTATTAAGTAAACAAAACAAAATGCAAAGTTTTAACCATTTTTTCAAAGTTTTTACCAACACTTTATTAAATAACAAAACAATTTTATAAGTAAACAATGCTGCTCACAAGTGTTCACAACAAGTGTTTCAAAGTTTTTACCTACACTTTATTAAGTAAACAAAACTTTTTTATAAGTAAACAATGCTGCTCACAAGTGTTCACAACAAGTATTTCAAAGTTTTTACCAACACTTTATTAAGTAAACAAAACTTTTTTATAAGTAAACAATGCTGCTCACAAGTGTTCACAACAAGTATTTCAAAGTTTTTATCAACACTTTATTAAGTAAACAAAAAAAATGCAAAGTTTTAACCTATATTCAAAGTTTTTACCAACACTTTATTAAGTAAACAAAACATTTTTAGAAGTAAACAATGATGCTCACAATAATAATAATAATAAATTTATATAGCGCAGCTTTTATACAAAATATATTCAGCTGCGCTGGTTAAGAGCTCCTTTTGACTAAATTCTACAAAATAAGATCACTCAGTTGAACAAATAAGTTTTTAAATTGGATTTAAAAACATTGAGAGATGGAGTGCTTCGTATTTCTATTGGCAAGCTATTCCATAGTTTGGGGGCAGCAATAGCAAAAGCACGGTCCCCAAGAGTTACTTTAGTTTTGCCATGGGGAATCTGAAACAATAATTTATCTGTGGAACTGCGCAGGCTACGACTGTGTGATTGGACTTTGAGTTGAAGTAATTCTTTGATGTAATTAGGGGCTTGACCACTCAATGATTTATAGACAATTAACAATATTTTGAATGAGATTCTTTGACGGACTGGCAACCAGTGGAGTTCTCTCAGAAGAGTTGCGGTTGAAGTGAATTTCGACCGACGATAGACAAGTCTTGCACATGCATTTTGGACTCTTTGTAACTTAGCTATCAGAGAATCAGGCATTCCAAACAGCAACCCGTTACAATAATCAAGCTTACTTGTGATAAGAGCATGTACAACCAATTTTAAGACTAGACTAGTTCACAACAAGTGTTCACAACTCAGTCTCTCAAACTATTCTGAGTCACTCTGAGTCATGTCCATGGTCTCAGCTGTGAGGTGTAAGGCAGTGACTGTGGCTGTGGCTTGAGTGCTTTTCTGACACGGCATTTGGGTGCTTGGCCTCGAGGGTACAGCAGGTGGTAGTGTGGTCAGGACGCCAAGGTTGCCGTGGAAGGGCTGTGACGTCGCCTGGAGTGGAGGAGCAGACCTGGACTGGGTAGGATGAGCTTCAGCTGGGCCTTGAGGGTTGTGGAAAAGTGATGTGAGCTTCTGCTTCATCACCTGGTACTCTGCCTCGGGCAGGTCCCTCAGGGTCTGGTTCACGTAGGTGATGAAGGGCTTCCGGGCCGAGGATGCTCTGTCCAAGTCGACCAGCTGAGAGAGAAGTTCTGTGCTGGTCTTCATTGTGTCCCTGATCTCCAACAGCACACTATCGTCCTGGCACTCCAATCTGCCTCTCTGCCTGCGTCCTCTGGATCTGGTGGTTGAGGTGGGGGTGGGTTGGCTTCTGGTGGCTGCCGCTTGTTTCTCCATTTGTGACAGCAGGGCGTCATCCTCCACAGGATCCTCCGAGTTCGGCACCATGGGGAGTGCAGCTGTCGAGGGCTCCTGGCTTGAAGATGCCTGGTTGTCTGTGGGCTGGCTGAGGGAGAGGGGTCTCAGAGGGGCTGTTCCTTGGTGGCGGATCTCACCCTCCAGGAAACTGCACTTGGCCATGACGTACTTCTCCCGGTCAGTGAGCTTGACGGCGGCCTGCCCGGATTTCTTGAGGTGTAGCTTCCCATACCAGGAGTGCATGTGCTTCCACCATCCAAGGAGTACTTCTGCAGTGTACCCCAGGCTCTCTGCCTTGTATCTCCAAGCTGCCTACTTCTTCTTGGTGTCCCGATACAGTCTGGCCCTTTCTCCAGAGGTACTCGTTCTCCCTCAGCCATTCCAGCACATCGTCCCCATGCTTTTCGGAAACAATGTACTGTTTCCTCTCTCCCTTCTTCTTCCCTTGCCTCTTCCTCCCTCTGGCTTGAACATCATGGCCTTCAGGGGCTTCATCAGGGGCTTCATCAGGGCCTTCAGCAGCAGGGCTTTGAGGGGCTTGAGGGCCTTGGGGCTGGTCCATGACAGCAGCAGCAGCTTCACTATCAGAGTCAGTGTCAGGGGGTGGGGTGCTGGTTCTGGCCTTCTTCACCTTGCCAGGGCTTGAACGAGTAGGCACGGACTTCCTTTTCTTGCCTGACTGATGCACCATGGTGTTGATAAAAGAGGTAGTAGAGATGTATTGATGTAGCCGCCAGCACGTCTTTCCGCTTTATGCTGACTGCGTGCGTGCTGCATCCCTTTATATCCATGGAGTGGACGCAATTCATACCCCCCGCATGCGCAGTGAACGGTTTGCATCCGATATACATCCGCTCGGCATCCCCTTTGTTTCCGTTAGGCGTACGTGATGCAACCGCTTCATCCGCTCTTTTCGCTGTGCGTCCGTTTCGCAATTATCCCTGCTACATACTACCCACGTCCGTTCTTTTCCGTTCTGTTTTCGCAAATTTTCGCAAATCTTGTCCATTTCTAGAGCGGATGAAAATGGATGGAGCCACCCCCGAATTTTTGCTCGTCCGCAGTGTCCTTTATGCATACGTTTTGTGTCCATCGGCCAGTGGGACCGGGCCTTTTACCAAAAGTGTGTCCAACAAGTGCATACAGAAATAAACAATTCAAATGTAAGATTTAAAAGTATAGCAGGGGAAGGCCTTCAATAAACAATAAATGGTATTATAATCTAAAGTGGGATCTCAAAGCTGCATCATGTTTCAGATATCAAGAGGTTATCAGTGCTCCCTGTAAATACAAACACAAATGCATGCTTGTACCTTTTTTTAAAAACATAAATGCATATGTAATTCTGCATCATACAACACCATACCAACATTTTCTCGGCATGATGACAATTTTTCTTTCTTCTGTTAACAGGCTTTCGAGTAACAGGCTCAGTTTCGGTTGCCCAGACCCAGGATCGCCTGACCTCCTTTAAGAGGTTGCAGGCAAGGGAAAGGTAAGTTGTTGCCTGATTAGTCTTAAAAAGGCTGGGCGCGATGGATGTAAACAACAAATCTTTTGGCCATCGGCCATGTCAAAGGAGATATGGGGGGGGGGGGGGGGGTGTTTCACCAAGACTAAGATCGACTTTAAGTTGGACTCAAATATGACAGGCCATTTATGCAACTGGTTGCTCTCACTATTGGTCTTTCAATTATGATCTTTAGATAATATTTATCCTTTAATAATAAACTATCAAAGAAGCTCAATTCTGTAGAGGTGTGACCATGATTTATACCTCCCTTGAGAGACCATTGCCAGTAAATGGTGAGAGCAAACAGTGGCATGAATGGCCTGCCATAGTTAAGTCCAACTTAAAGTCCATCTTAGTCTTTGTGAAACACCACCATGGTCCTTGTATCCATGTTTGACTTACTTCACTTTTAATGGATATCAATCAATCAACAAGCAGCAGTCATGTCATCCTTCAAATCATATTTTTAATTTTTTTCCTATAACAGTATGGCCTTCTATGCATTGGAGAGGCATAAATCTGCATTTGCCACCCTCCATCCTGGTGATGTAAATGGGTGCCTGGTAGGAAGATATCCCTTGAATGCCAGAGCGCGATATCAGGGTAGCTCGGCTAATGCCGGGGTAATAATACTACAGCACTTAGAAACATTAGTACTAAGTGCTATATAAATGTTACTAAATTATTAATATCATTATTATACTCCAGTCTGATGTAGGTTCACTTTGAATCTGAATGAAAATTAAGAATGCATATATTTTTGTAAAATTATCTTGAAATAAGAAGATGTGGATTTTACACAAATAAACCTTATTCTGCATGTACTCCTTTGATTATCGTGCTTTTTCTCCCTTCTGTTTCTCTTTCTTTTTCTGTGTCTCTGGCCCTACTAACTTTCTCAACATAATACATTCCTCCTTCCTTTTGTTTGTACTCAGAGAGATTGGAACCGAATGCGAAATAGTGACGCCTTCAGAGATTGAGAAGTTGGTTCCGTATCTTAGAACTACCGACCTTGTAGGTGGCATTTATTCACCTAAGGATGGCAGAACAGATGCTTCTAACACAGTCATGGCTTTGGCTAAAGCCTCAAGGTCAAATGGTAAGGAACTACTTGTTCTTGCATTTAGAGAAAGAAAAAAAAAATCTGATTTTTTTTTTTGGTCAGTGAACAGTATTGTCTACTTGTTAGAGGACTTGATGACTACTTGAAAGTACAATTGCTTCTGTGCTAGAAAATACCTGCTGTGTAATATGTTGGCTTGATAATATCATGTTCATAACTTGACCATAGATTGGGTCAGATCAAATAACAAGGATTAGGATACTTTTCAGTGTCTGTATATTCATAATGTCATTGATATTTGGTAATGTACAGGAAACAAAATTTCCAAAAAGCTGGAACTTGCACACATATATCAGTAATACTACAGTAGTAAAATTACAATGAAACAGAGACTGGTTGAGTTTTTGGACCGTTTTGCAAAGCCTTTTTTCAATGACTAATCACAAAAATCTGTGACAAATCCGCTGATAACCAATCAGAAGCAAGGATTTTCCTAGCTTGTAACAGAAATTGTCATTTGTCACTGATGACAAGTTTTGTGAAAATGGGGCCCTGGTGTTGTCAAAATGAGCACAAGAAAACTTAAAATTAGCTCGCAGGATAAAACCAACCTGAGGTAACATTCCTTTTGTCTGATAGGAAATCAAAATAGGCTCCTGTGAACAAAAGATTTATCATACCCTCTCCATCAACTCAACATTGCATTTTACGTGTTGCAATATGAACTCTGAGGCCCTGTTTAAAGAGAAGGTTGAGTTCTGGGAGGAGGTGAAAAATAATTTGTGAGCGTTATCATTGTAATATGCAAGTAAGGAAGAACATCAGATAAAAAATGTTCCCTGAAAAGCATGGCTCTTCAAATGCCTTAATATTCTAAATATGGCATGTAACATCATAAAAATCAGGACAGATTTTTATGCCACATGTTTGTGTAGTCCCATATACATCTTTCTGTGTACAGTGCTTGTTACTTTACAAAGACTGGGCCAATTTCTTATCATTTTGATGATTCCAGAACCTTGCAGAACACACCAATATTTTTATTCTTTCAGGTGTCAACATCGTTGAGGGTGTACAAGTTAACAAGATCAGGAGTGAGAATGGTCGAGTGTCGGCTGTCGAGACGTCACATGGTACCGTCAAGTGTGAATACTTTGTCAACTGTGGAGGGCAGGTATTGTAAAGAACATTTTATTATTTGCCACATTTTCCAGTAATTGTTGCTAGACCAGACATAGCTCTGACAATGAAAATTTGACAATACTCCTGTTAATTGTGGAGAATGAAGGATGAAGAACATCCTTTCATTTTCACATTTTCACTAGTTGTTGCACGGTCAGACAAAGCTCTAACAATCGTTTAGTAATGTAACAATACCTTGTCAGAAGGCAGGTAAAAAAAATCTTTCATTTATTTAAATAAACATTTTACATGTTGTTAGGTCAGACAAAGCTATGACGCTGCCCACAAGTTGCCACAGGCTTGTATTGAGGGTTCCAAAATGGGTGCTGTTTGCTATAGGAGGCTTCAATGCTCTCCCCTTTACAGTCCAATGCCATTATGATTGCAATAAAAATGGTGATTCTTCTTTGAAGGTAATGGATCAAGGAGGAGGCATAATGGAAAGATATTGTTTCCCATTCAAGATAACCAAATTGAAAGTTACAGGGCTTTTGGAGTTCGTCACAATTTAGCATTTGATTATTTGCTATTACAGTCAAACCTGTCTATAGCGACTGCCCAAGAGAAACACAAAACGTGGTCTTTGTAGACAGGTGGTCACTAAAGCAGGTTTCACTGTATTATTTGCATTTTATTCTCTATTTAAAGGTACTATGTCCCATTTGCAGGCCCACAAAATGAAAAAGTTAAATTCCAACTGCATTTAAAAGATAATACTAATTTAGAACTTCCCTAAAAAAGGTGGGGCTTGAAAATGTCTTCAAGTGGGAAAATAACGACTATTAGTTGTCAAATCGACTTTAGGGCTGTAGAGCCCAAAAGTAATAGTCTTGATTTTCAGACAATTGTACCGAATGGTCATAAGTTTTATGCTTCGCAAAGATTCAATCAGTTTAATCTTGGCAACCACAAGAAGTGGGATATTGATGTAGACAAATGCTCATGTACCCTTTACAACTCTTTTCATGTATGTTATTACCAAAGAAGAAAAAAAGCCAGTCAGTCACTCAATAGTGTCTGACAGTGAAGTCTAGCAAGTAAACGGGTTTCCTTGCATAATTTGAATATGAGAACACTGCTAACGTTTAAATTTCACAGATAGGACATACATGACATATTCATAATTCCTGCAAAGTTCTACAGCATTTGAGGTTGGCTGCAAAAGGGACATAGTACCTTTAACAAGCTGAATTTAAATCTTCTTTGTATTTCATCACCAGTGGGCAAGAGATATAGGTTTGAAGAGTGATCCCATTGTAAGGGTTCCACTGCACAGTGTAGAGCATCAGTACATGATCACCAAACCAATTCCTGGTGTGGAGCCGCAGAAATACCCATGTGAGTACCAACTTCCAGTTATAATTCTTTCTTTGTAGAGGTGTTGTGGTCTAGTGGATAAGTCACCCGACTGCATATCTCAAGGTACGGGGTTCAAGTCCCGCCGCGGCACTTATGTCCTTTGTCAAGATGTTAATCTCTCCACCCAGGTGTAAATGGGTACCTAATATGCTTGAACGCTACTTACTTTGGCAGCTCGGCTATAAACACGGTAATATGTGTAAAGCGCCATGAGCGTCAGAGCCTGTTGGATATCGGCGCTATTTAAATATCCATATTATAATTATTGTTATTTCCATGAAATGAAATGGCTCTATGGGGTGCATATTTTTTAAAACATTTTTACTGGGGTCTTCAATTTGTCTGAGCATATCTAATTCGCATTTGATGAGTATTTTCTAAAGATATTTGTTGTAGGGAGAAGTTTTTGAGGTGTAGATGTCATGGAGAATTACCATGATTATGGATCAATCACTAATAGATTACGTCAAACAACAAAAGTGTGGAAATCTTATTTTAATTTGTTTGTTTATAATTTTGTTTCACCCGACTGCTAAGAAAGCATTTGTATGCTTGTAAGTAAGCAGCCAGGCGACCAGCAGCTTTAAGTCTTGTCCGAGGGAGTTGGTAATGGGGATTGATGCCTTACCAAAGGGCACTAGCTCTTCAAATAGTTTCTAACCTTGGACCACCCGCTTACGAGACCACTGTCTTCCACTGATCCATCGTACCTCCTCTTTGATAAAAAAATTGTTTGTAAAGGTGCATTGACAGTTATTTAAAAAAAAGGTTATTACTTGTTTCTCGTCTTGAAATGTCATCCTCCCATTACTTTGTTTCTTTGTTGTAGATGTAAGAGATACCGATGTTGGAAACTACTTGATAGACTGGGGTGGAGGCTTCCTGGCTGGGATGTTCGCCAAGAAAGGCAAGCCTCTCTTCTTTGACGGCATTCCAGAGAAGTCAGAATTCTTATCCATGCCAGAGGATTGGGATCATTTTGGTGAGTTTTGATGATTGAATACTTTATCATCGGTTGCCCGCAAAGAGCCTGTTACTGCCATTAAAGGCATCGTTTAACAATGTTAAATCTGAGATGCACGGCCCTACGTGTTATCAGTATCTGTGATATTGTGTAATATTGAAGCCCTAAAAAAATTGTGCTTCAAAATGATCAAAAAGTGCCTCAAAAATGTAAAAATCTTTGGGTGCCCGGCTTTATCATACTCGTTTACCCAATAGACTGTAATGTTATGAAAACCGTTTCAGAAAACGCAAAAATAATCAGACAGATGGCTTGTAAAAGTCATGGGATTCCTGACTGACCTAAAGGTTTATAATTGTCATTGCAGCATGAGCTAAATCCAGGATTTTGTTTCAGAATCTGAGTCAATTTAACAATTAATAGCTCTTACGACCTTCTTTTGGAAAATAAATTCTTGTTTATGCCAAGAAAGGCAAGCCCATATTTTTGTTAAGCATGCTTGAGAAGTCGTAATTCTTGTCCATGCCTGAGGACTAAGATCCTTTTGGTGAGTTGTATGCTGAATGCACCATCAGTTGGAATGCAAACTACTACTTATATATCCTCTGTTTAATGAAAATACACCTGTTTAGATTATGGCAGAAAAATACTCTTGTCATATTTACATTATGTAATAACTTAATATTGATTAAAAGATGCAATAGTTGAAGCAAATGAAAGGTAGCCACTATAAAAAGGTGGCCTTTCTAGAAAGATTCTACTGTATAGATTACCTCCTAGGTAGGCTATTATAAGTGACCACTACAGATAGATGGCCTTTATAAAGAGGTGCCTACAATAACAAGTTTCACTGTCTCCAGCTTTTGAAAATGTGGATGAATTGAAGCTGCTTACATTATACTTAATATATGCCCTAGGCTTGAGTCGGTACGGTCGATCACACCGGGACCCGACCGTTGCCGTCGGGTCCCGGTTTCGTTTTTTGAGAACCGGCGCTCCGAAAAAAATAATGAAATATGTAAGAAATTGCAGTTTTGCACACCACTAATATCAATCCACCCTAAAACTTAAGTATATAATTGTTACCAATCGTATTCTAGCTCATCCAGAATCAATCCGAACTGCTGATATAAATATGGGTTGCAAAGCAGTTCGCCCCATGGGGTTGTTGTTGCCAGCTGCTAGCTAGCTACTGTACTGGCCGGGTCTCTCGGCAGAATTAATAAATCAGGTTGAAAGAAACATTAATGTTTGAATAATAAAACGACTTTCTAAAAAGTACTTCTTTACAACATACCGATCGAATAATTTTTAAAAGAAAAGATATATATTTTTTCTTTGATTTTGAACACCGCATGCTTCTTTTAAAAGCTGAAAATGACTTGGTAATCACAAGAAGTTTCGATACGGATAGCTGTTGCAATGCAAGTTCAGACTAGTCTCGGAAAAATGCGCAGTGCTTCTTGTTAGCTATAATGCGTGCCAGAACGAACCCAAACAAAGACGTGATCGTAACGAGAAAAAAATCATTAAAAACTACGAGAGCACAATTGGAAAGACAACTACTCAAAATTATCGTAAGCAGATACATAACTTGGAGGAAGAATACAATAGTTGTCCAAGAAAAGCCACATAAATAGTGATATTTAATGAGTTACTATAGGTACAATCATTATCGGAAGGGCCTGCTGCAATATATCTAAACGTGTTTAAATTGAACACGAGGCAAATACCGCCCTCTACGGTAAAAAGCAGTATAACAAAGGATTCGAGTATTTGCAGCAGGCCCCTTGCGATAAAAATGTACCCAGTTACTCCTCGATTATCACAATTTCTGTGGCATTTCTTGGGCGATTATTGAATTCTTTGTCCAAGTTATGTATCTGATTATGGTAATTTTGAGCAGTATATCTTTCCAATTGTGCTCTGGTAGTTTTTAATGATTTTTTTTCTCGTTACGATTACGTCTTTGTTTGGGTTCGTTCTGGCACGCATTACAGATAACGAGGAGCACTGCGCATTTTTCCGAGACTAGTCTGAACTTGCCTTGCAACAGCTATTCGTATCGAAACTTCTTGTGATTACCAAGTAATTTTCAGCTTTTAAAAAAAGCATGCGATGTTTAAAATAAGAGATAAATATTTATTTTTGTCTTTAAAATATTATATGATCGGTATATTGTACAGAAGAATTTTTTAGAAAGCCGTTTTATTATTCTAACATTCATATTTTTTTGACCAGATTTATTCAACCTGCATAAATCAAAATGGCGGCTCGATTGTAGTCTTTATATTTTTGCTCGAGTTTTTTTACTTTTAGAGGCACGATAATGGCACTAAACATCGCCAATCATGGATAAATATAATGTCAAATGGAAGAATATACCAATCTGTGCCGAGGTATGCATGTGTTGATTTATTTGACTGATGAAAATGTCACTTTTAAGGGACATACTGATGATATGCGCTTTTTATAGAGGCAACTGACAAATCCTTCGAGCTGATTTCGGGACACCGGGTCCCGACCGGTGCAACGCCGTCGGGGCCCGGTTTATGAAAATCCCGACATGACTCAGGCCTAATATGCCTATTGTAGCTTCTGTTTCTGGTGTACCATTACTCCATATGAAAGTTATACAGTCAAACCTGTTTTAGTGACCACCTGTCTACAAAGACCACCTGTCTACAACAAGCACATTTTTTTTTCACTTGAAAATGGTTTCTCATTGTAACAGGTACTAAAGGAACCTGTCTACAAAGATCACTTTTTGTGTTTCCCTTGGGTGGTTGCTGTAGACAGGTTTGATTGTATATTTGTTTGAATTTCATTTCATTTTTCACTATAACCAGCTCCACATCTGCAAGGCTTTCTGAAACGAGTGGAGGGAGCTGAGAAGGCTGAAGTACAGCAGCTCTTCAATGGACCCGAAAGCTTCACACCCGATGGGCTTCCCCTCTTTGGACCTGCACCTGAGGTAAATCAGGGTTCATCAAGAACTGTTAAACTAAATCATGTTTATACAGTAGGTTTGCGGTTGCGCCATGTGCGAGAGAGAGGGGGAGGATTGGGGAGTCCTGGAAAGGACTGTTGGAAATCTTTCTTTCTTTCTTGAGTGTGTGTGTAGTCCTCACCTGGCGCAACCGTAAGCCTACTGTATATCTACATTACCATGCAAGCCGATACTTCTAAGCAGCATCTATATCATGTTTGTTTGTTTGTTTGTTTGCTTGTTTTAATTTATTATAGGGCAAGTCCAAGATATCCTATCCTGTATATTACTGACTGCACCAAAGATATTAGTACTAATAATAATACTATCTTGACTTGTCCTGGCTTTAGCTGTCAGGTGTAATCAACACACGGTGCATTTAAAGATATGAATCTTACCGGGTACCCATTAACCCCTGGAATGAGAGTGGCAAATGTGGATTAATGTCTTGCCTAAAGATGGGAGTGCCTGGCCGGGATCAAACCCTCAACCCTCAGTACCAGATAAAGATCTAGGACAACAATATGAATACTACAATTTGAAATAATACATACGTTAGAATGATTATACAAAGTTGACATTAACAAACCATTTAAAATAATTATAAAAAAGTTTACGTGAACACATCATTTACCATAATCTTATGATGTTTCATTCACCAACTTAAAATTACTCTGTATCATTCTTTAATGTATTGCTCCTCATAGATCGACAACTACTTTGTGATGGCTGGTATGAGTTCACAGGGCATCGTCTACAGCGGAGGTCTGGGAAGGGTCATGGCAGAATGGATCGTCAAAGGCCACGCCTCCCTCAACACGTGGTGTATGGATGTGCGGCGCTTCACAGAGTACCACAATAACAAGGCCTTCCTGAGGGATAGAGTCACAGAAACAGAGGGTACGTCTGAACCCAATTATTTTTAAGTAGCTCAGTGAGACATACTGGTGCGTAAAAACGCATCCATAACTCAATATGCATTGTTTGTTGTTGATGATCGTGACTTATTACAAAGATATGGAACTGTATTATTAGGATATGGAGTTGTTAGATACTTCTGTTACCTTTACTAAACTCGATAGTACTGAAACTATCACCCAGATATGTCAAATTACACTTTTAATTTAATGATATCACCAACAATTATTGATTTGCATTCTTGATGTTTCTCTGTATGACACAGCATTTAGCTACCAGTAATCTACCTTACACAATTTTAAATGCATAACAAAACACCTTCTTCATCACCTCGCATTCCAAAGGTCCATGGAAAGATCATACTTCCAAATCTGGGGATGCTAACTTTAAAATTGACGACATTTCTTTGAAACATAAAACAATTTCCACTTATTTTCAAGATTCAAGATAATTTGTCATGTAAAACATTCATAAAATTTGACTTCGGACATTTACAGGTGATATACATGTACATAAATACAGACAAAATAATTGCAACATAACATTTAAAATCATCACAATTTTAAGAAGGTTGCATTAAAAGAATAAGATAATACTGAGGAAAAGGCTGTGCAGTTCATTTCAATTCCAGGAAATAGACATCATAATTATGGGATATCACTGAAATACTCATTGTGAATTGAACCATAAGTATTCAGAAACATACTTACAAAACATTACACCACTGTTTCTGTTCAATTGCAGGAAATGCCTACCACAATCCCTACCCCGGGGATGTTAACTTTGAGACGGGGCGCATGCTACGTTGCTCCCCGCTCTTTGGGGCGCAGAGGCAGGCCGGAGCAGTGTTTGCTGAGAAGGGTGGAGTGGAGAGACCTGTCTACTTCATGAACCCAGCTAATCAAGGTCAGCAATTTGGAAGAAGGAGGAATGTAGATATTTAAATGGGTCTCCTTTTTTATGTTATGATTAGTTATTAATGAAGTTATTTTACGTTAATGTTGTCATGAATGGTGGCAAGAAGTCATTGACATAAGATTATACAGCCAAACCTGCTTTAGTGACCACCTGTCTACAAAGACCACCTGTCTACAAAGACCACATTATTTTTTCCCTTGAAAATAGTTTCTCATTGAAACATGTACTTAAGGTAACAAAGACCACTTTTTGTGTTTCCCTTGGGCAGTGGCTATAGACAGGTTTGACTGTATTTGAATAAAGCTTATTGAAAATACACTTTCAGTCTGTATTTCAATTTACTTTCACCACCCAGACGTTCATGACAATCACAAGATTTCAATCATATCCTGATATATGATATATCAGGCATTAAATAGATTATCATAATTGATATTGCCTATTTTGCTAAAAACAATCTCCTGCAGAAATATCAAAACCTGCCAATGAAGATGAAAGTTCTTATTATTACATCATCATTAACTCCAGCAATTTTTAAAGAATAGTAGGTCAAAATAAGTTCACAGGTTCTTTGTATCTTTCATTTGCATGTTGTACATTACACAGGAAATACTTTCAGGTAATTTACTCTAGCAAGTGTGTAACATACAAACGGAGAATCTGTAAATTGCAGGATAGAAGAAATCTACAAGAAATCAACAAGGAAGATATTTCTTGGTCAGAAATTTGTAAACAAGGAGGAATGTGAAATATACAATGATTTGCAGTTCAAGTAAAGTTTAAATTAAAAACTGAAAAGGTGAATCCAAGTCAAGTCTTCATTAAATTTCAAATCGATAAGAAAAACGGTACAGCTACTGAATTTGGAATCGAAGGTCTTCTTTTGTCAATTTTGTCAATAAGTTTTCATGTTTCATTTTATTTTACACATGTAAAAATAATGGAATCGAAGTTGAAATATCTGTGGCATAATTGGACTGAAAAACATTATTTATATTCCTCCATTGTACCCCAGTGCAGATACACCACAAGACCGACATTTGACTCAAAACAAACAAAAAATTCATTATTAATAGTCAAGATTTAGTCATTTATTGATCAGTTTATGGTCTGTTTTGTGATGGGACTGATGCATTGTTAGTATGACTGTTTTTAATTTTTTGCAGAGGCTTTGTATGATGATCTTCAGAAAGGTAGCTTTGGAAAGCCTGCTTGGTTTGACTACGTGAGCGAGGAGTACTGGGCGTGTCGGGAGAGTGTCTGCCTTATGGACATGTCATCATTCAGCAAGTTTGAGCTAGAGGTAATCACAAAGTGTTTGAGATACTCCTGTCTATTTATTTATTTCATTATAATAGGCATGTTAGAGAGGGATTTGTCCTCATTTCGACAGATGAAGCTGAGTATTAGACGTAGTAATTACTTGATTGTTTAACATGGTTTTTAAAATTGAATGATTATATATATATTGGTAATCACATTTTTATGCCTTCGTTACGAAGTAGCCGGGAGGCATTATGTTTTCAGGTTGTCCGTCCGTACGTCCCGTTCTCGTGATCGCGTTATCTCAAGAACCGATTGACGGATTCCGGCCAAACTTGAGTCATGTATGTATCTTGCAGAGCCAATGAGCTGATTTAGATTTTGGGGTCATGAGATCCAAGGTCAAAGGTCACATGGCTCATTATGTATGCAAAAATAGCTCGCTTCTGTTTTGGTTTGTAAAATTGCTCCATGGTGGAGGCATCATATTCAACTGCGCGCGATCAAAGTTTCATCTAGTTATACTAGTTATAGTCCCAATGAGATGGATATGCGTATAGCATCAGAAGCACATGCAGCCACACTCTATGATTATGATGCTTTATACCAAGAAAAAATGCCTCTCTGTAGATGACTCTCTCTGTTGTTGATTCTTTGATACATTCTAATTTATTCACCATACTTAAGAATGATGTCTCACAGGTTTTTGTTGATGATTCCTTGCAGTCCGATGGTCCTGAGGCATGTACTCTACTTCAGAAGCTGTGTCCCAATGAGATGGACATCCGAAGTGTCGTAGTTGAGTAGTTTAAGCACTTGACTTGAATTTCAAAGGTCATGGTTCGATCCCTGACATGGCACTAATGTCCTTTGGCAAGGCATTAATCTACATTTGCCACTCAATACCCAAGAGTGAAATGGGGACCCGGTAGGATGACAAAAGCCATTGTGTTAGTAATTGCCTATGCCCTTACGCTGACCATATGGTAGGAATGCTCCCCAGGAAGTGGAGATGGTGCACATTGTGCGTGAAAGAGTCTGATGTCCGGGGTATTAGTAATAATATCTGTAAAGCTCTTAGAGACGTTATTCCGTATTAAGCGCTGTATAAATCCAGATTATCATTATTATGGGATCCACAACACACGATTGCAGTTCTTGAGTCTGGTCATACATGCTTCATACTAGTACACGATATATCTCTGTTCACAATTCCATACTTTTTTAATGAAGAATGATATCGTAATTTGTAAATATTTTGTTGATGATTCCTTACAGTCTGATGGTCCTGAGGCATGTGCCCTACTACAGAAGCTATGCCCCAATGAGATGGACATGGCCATAGGATCAGTAGCACACACACCTATGCTCAATGAGAGGGGAGGATACGAGAATGATTGCAGTGTCGCCAGAGTATCAGAAAACAAGTAAAAAGCACTTCTTATTCATTATATATTCCCATTAATTGTTTGTTTAATAGTTAGAGTAATGTCATACGGTAGCTCATTTTGGTTGTAATTGAAGTGCTAAGTGCTAAGATACTCAAATCACTGTTGTGAGCTAAGGTTCTTCCATTATTTTGTTTTCATTTGTTGAAATTAAGTGAATATTTCCTTCTGTAAAAATAAGATAACAAAAATCATACTGTACATTAAAATATCCCATGTAAACACAAGTTAGACCTCTTATTTACGTCTAAAGTTATGCTTCAATGTGTAATTTACCACTGTACTTACATTGGTGGTAAATAAATGTAATAGCTGAATGGTAAATACATACATAGACATACTGCAAAACATTATGTGGACTATTGGTATCAAAGTGGAAATCTTTGCTCAGTCATTTCAATTACAAAGGGCTGACTTGGGGTTGATTTGGGGTTTCTATGCAATTATTCCTTTTATACTGTGAATACAGTGGCATGAAGAGGTCTCTTTACTATATTTTGAATTGTTGTCACATCCTTTGTTGTTTTCTGTATTTGAATAATGTTTTCCTTTTATTTCCTATCTCTCAAGGTACTTTATCATCTCCCCCACCCAGCAGCTGAGACGAGGATTCAAATGGATCTCCAAGCACTTACCATCGGACGGTTCCGTACAACTCAGGGATGTAACGAGCCACTACACAGGAATCAATGTACTGGGACCAAGGGCAAGAAGTGTGTTACAAAGGCTCACCACGACATCCGTTGCTCTTGTAGATATGAAGCCGTTTACTGTCCGGGTAAATGATCAGTTTGTTTCTTTAAGCTGAATTTAGTTGATCTAGTGAATTGCATTCTTAGTCCTACAGAGGTCCATTGAGTTCTGCATGTAAACCTGGTGGTGTCAGCCAACCACTGTACTTGGTGAAAGTTATGTCAGACTAGTTACGGAAGTCTTTTTTAATTTAAGTTGAATCTAATAAATTCACACAACTTAGCCAAATGATTTCTAGTCAAGTCAATTCAGATTACAACCATATACAGTCGAGTCATGAATACATTTGTATCAAGCAGTTTCGGTCATGTCATGGTTCATGTATGATTTTACAAAAACGAAAGTATGCTTTCCAGATAAACAATATTATTTAAAACTACATGTTCAAAACTCAAATATCTGCAAGTCAAAATGATAAAGAGTAACAAATATCAACTGTATTTTGAGGTTATGATGATTATTATGTTTAATTTTTATCTATAATCCTACAGGACATAAGTATAGGATATGCCAACGCTGTGAGGGCCATATCGGTCACACATGCAGGAGAAGACGGCTGTGTACTCTACATTCCTAATGAGGTATGTTATCTACATAGGGAATCTTAAATATCTTTACATGAGGAGTTGGTCAAGTCTAGACTGATTCCACATTTGAAGTGGGGCCTAGGCTAGGTTTTGGTGTGAAATGTATTGGCATGCTGTTCAAATGTGCTATTTCGTTTGATATTAGTTGTATGTTAACAAGAAAATATAGGGGGACACAAAAGATTGGTATGTGTGGGGAAACTATATTGTTATTGAGTTCGGTAGATGATTTTGGTACACACAACATATGCTATTCTCTGTCCTGACTGATTCTTTGTAAACCATTAACCATGAAAGAGGTTGGGACATCGTAGTTGTTCTATGGCCCAAAAGGTGGGCTGACGGTCCTTAAGACCAACAGAAACCTGCAGAAAATTCGCCAGATTGCCTGCAAGACCGACTTGTCAGTCTTGTGAGGTGTTGATCTAGCGGACCTTAAAGCCCCACTGTATTACTTGTAGCTACTTGCTCCCTCGATATAAAAAACAATGCCTAAGCCGAGCTGATGAGAAAGGCATCTGCTAGTGACCACGCTGGGTGGTCTAATCCCTCCTGGCAAAACTAGTACAGACGGGCTTTAAGACAACTTTTTAGATGGTTCATAAGAATGAGACTGGTTGATCTTATAAACCTTTCTTCAACTGGGCTGTCGCTGCAAGCGGTAAATAATGACTATAACCTTGTTTCTATACAGATGGCAATCAATGTGTACAATTCGCTGATGAGTGCCGGGAAGTCGTACGGAATACGCAACGTAGGCTACTACGCCCTCAGGTGGTTGAGGATAGAGAAGCTCTTTGCTTACTGGGCGGATGATTTCAACGACACGCACACCCCGTACGAGATTGGAAGGGAGCACAGAGTGAAGTTTGACAAGGTTTGTGAATTTTGAAGTACATTATTTTCTAAAGAAACAAATTTGTAGATGTATGTATACGACAGTGCTTGCTTTAAAATGTATGCCTCTGTTTATTGAATTTTGTATGTAAGGGGAAAGCGCTATTGTACTATTCTGAAATAACAAATATCTTATAAATGGAAGGAGATAATTCATCTCATCTCATCTCAAAATTTCTTACAGGATTACGAGTATTTACCCATATCTAAGCGTCAGCCTTTGTGCCTTTTTTGCTTTTTGACAACGATAATGATAATGCCTTCTCAAAATTCATCAAGCTCTTGCAATATGTTATACAGATATCAGTTATTAAACCAAACATGCATGATTCTCCTTCTCTTTAATTTATTTGATGCTTTATTGCTCTCACCACAACTCAGGACATTGACTTTATTGGCAAGTCTGCTCTCCTGGCTCACAAGAAGGCAGGGATCCGATTTCGCCTCACTCAATTCACGTTGGAAGACCACGACACCGACTACCACCACTGGCCTGCCGGCGGCGAGCCAATCTATCGCAACGGTCAGTACACCGGTCTCGTCACGTCGAGCGGCTATGGCCCCAGCCTTGGCAAGATTGTCTGTCTGGGCTGGGTCACAAACTCTGACCCCATGACACATGAATACATCACAAAAGCCAGCTACGAGGTGGACGTAGCGGGTCAGCGGTATAAGGCGAAAGCAACGTTGTACCCTCACAAACAGGCTACAAGACATGCCCTTATAGGCTGAGAATAGGAATAACAATCATTGCCTCAATTAAATGCTACATGAAGTAGGAAGGTTAACATTTATTCAAGCTATTATTCAACAATCAGTATTAACATTACAGGATGTTAAGGAATATGTGTGAAAATGGGGCAAAGTAATGCTTTCATATATAATGTCAATCCTAACATAGTCATTAACCAGAAAGAACAATGGCAATACTTTGTTTCAAATAACAAATAAAAATGTTCTCTCTAAAAAAATGATTTCTGACTTAACATGATTTTTGCCCATATAGTATCTACTTTCTAAGAATGTACAATAAACACCAACAGAGCTGCCACTTTTGATGCAGCTACGCAGTTTCTCAAAACAGAATTATGATGTGGACATTTTGTGGGGATTGAATTGAACATTATGAAGTTTTGAGATATTTTAAAGCCTGTTTTTATCTGCAATCCTCTGTTAATGTGATATTCGCTTCCTACTCCAAGTCCAGCAAACAGAAGATGATTCTTCACTCAGGATAATCAGTTACTCTACGAAGAATCCAAATTCGTTTTAGACTTTTGCTGATGACGGTTTAGACTTTCCTAAATGTGGCAGAGATTCTTTTTTATGCCTCTGTTACGAAGTAGCCAGAGGCATTATGTTTTCTGGTTGTCCGTCCGTACGTCCGTCCGTACGTCCAGTTCTCGTGATCGCGTTATCTGAAGAACCGATTGATGGATTCCTGCCAAACTATGGTCATGTATGTATCTTGCAGAGCCGATGAACTGATTAGATTTTGGGGTCATGAGGTCAAAGGTCAAAGGTCACAGGGCTCATTATGTATGCAAAAACAGCTCGTGATCGCGTTATCCAAAGAACCGATCGATGGATTCCTGCCAAACTTTGGTCATGTATGTATCTTGCAGAGCCGATGAAGTGATTGGATTTTGGGGTCACGAGGTCAAAGGTCAAAGGTCACAGGGCTCATTATGTATGCAAAAACAGCTCGTGATCGCGTTATCCAAAGAACCGATTGATGGATTCCTGCCAAACTTTGGTCATGTATGTATCTTGCAGAGCCCATGAACTGAATAGATTTTGGGGTCACAAGGTCTAAGGTCAAAGGTCATGTGGCTCATTATGTATGCAAAAATAGCTTGTGATCGCATTATCATTAGAACAGATTGATGGATTCCTGCCAAACTTAGATCATGTATGCATCTTGCAGAGCCAATGAACTGAGTAGATTCTTTGGTCATGAGGTCAAAGGTCAAAGGTCATGGGCTCATTATGTATGCAAAAATAGCTTGTGAACACATTCTCATTAGAACTGACAGATGGATTACTATTTAACTCGGAACATCTTGCAGAGCCAATGAACTGAGTAGATGTTAGGGTCATGAGGTCAAAGATCAAAGGGTCATGTATGTATATGAGAAATTGCTTGTAATCACAATATTTTGAGAACCTGTTAATGGATTATAATTGAACTTGAATTTGAAAAATTTCTTCTGTTTTGGTTTGTAAATTGCTCTATGACGGAGGCATCATTTCGACTGCGTGCAGTCGAAGTTCCATCTAGTTTATTCGTGAAATAATCTAGTGCAACAGTTATACAGTATTGGTACTTAATTTGTTTTATATTGTCAGATACTGATGGATTTAATGATATGATTTGTGTGGATGATACAAACTCTCCCTGAATGAAACAAAATTATTGTTTGGCTAAGGTCAAGGATTTGGTTCAAAAATTGGATTTCTCATGCTTCCAGAATATCAAATTTGAAATGAAGACCACGGTCATCCAGAAGCCTTGACATTTTTAAGGACTCTAAACTAAAAAAAATTATGTAAAGTTCATAATTTGAATGTCAGGCTGGAAAAAAATCATGTTCCTTTAAGGCTATCCCAAATGTTTTATGTCAAAGATGTATGTTTTTGTTCTTAGATTTACCATTTTTAAATGAACCTTACGTACATGTATGAAATTGATATAGCGTACTGACCATTTTTATCTTTGAGAGTGAATCAGCTGTAATAAAATAAATGTCACTATGCAATATAAATACAGCACAAACCACGCAAGTTCGCAAACTACATGTTTTGTGTAGTGCACTGTTTTGTGTGTACACCTTAGTTTTAGGAGAAAAATAACTTAGTTTCAGGCTTTTTTATCGCTCTGACTTTTAATCGCACTTTGCATCACCTTAAATGCATGATAGATACCCTGTATGTGAAGTATTTTCATGTTGAATCCATTTGGTACGTTACACTGTTACCTCTTGTTATAATATTTGATTGTGAGAATGATTGTTTTATATGCAATGCTGAATTCAAGATTAAACACCCATACTATTCTGCCATTCTGCATCCCCAGATAATTATAATTGATAAGGAACTACATGTATTTTTAATGTTCCATGTATAATAGTTTTTTAGAAGGTTGCCATAAATGCTACTTTATATACCTTATATATCTCTTTAATAATTCTAAAAGTTCGACCTGGAGTTGATGATCTCCAATTTTGTTTTGATTGCAATATGATGATTGATATGTCATTAATGTACAATAAAATTTTATCATTAAGAATTGTAATTTCAGTGTCTGTTTACCTTTCTGTAATTCTAAATGTATTGTATATTGATTATAAACATGTACTAGACTATGTAGATAAGTTTTAGGTATATCTTTTCTGCTTTAAACATGAAGCAACTCCATTAAGATATTTTTTCCCTTTAACATAAATCATCGTTAGTTTTATTCATGTCCTTTCCAAGCTTCTCACAATTCAATACTCACTTTCTGTCCTTTTCTAACTATTTATTAATCATCAATAAAAATGTATTCACAACCTTCAGACTCATCTCAAAACACATATGTTATCAACAATGATGAATACAAAAATAAATGCTTGTAGAAATAGAAACATTTTGGTTTTTGAAGCAATCCGCTGCTTTTAAACTGCTCTAGGATTTAATTTTTTGTTTATCATCGGTGGGAAAGAATATTTTTAGATAGGATAGACTCAGCCTTGATGATTTCTTGCAAAACGTATATAGGTCTCATTTTACTGGAGTTGCCCCTCACAAATATAAATGAATAATGACTTTAATCCCCCCCCCCAAAAAAAAGGGGGGGCACCTATTCAAGATCAACCATTGTCTTTTCAATCCCAACACTAAACTGTATAAAAATAGAGGGGGAACACATTTAGTATGCTTTATTTTACTTTATTTCGAAGTACACACATATACTGTTTCCATGGCAAGTTGATATTGCTTAATTTGTACATTTTAATTTCTGCCAGATGGATCATGTTGAAGTTGCATTTTGGGTCTTTTGTCTTCAAGACAGTTGATATTTCATTGTAAAGCGGATAAGTGTTCTTATTAATCATGATTCCTGATGCCTTGCATCTTGCTCAAGTTTGACAGGAAGTACAGAATTTTTTTGGAGGAGGCACTTAGCACAGGAGATTGAGATGGTGAAGAGCCTCATTGTTTTGAATCATTCTCAATAAATCACATGCTCTCGGAGGGCTGTCCATGTGTTCCTCCATGTAGTCCTGTGTTCTTTGAGAATGGTTCCTTCTCTGGACTTGGTCCTGTGCAAGTTGGTCATGGTTTCCTTCTTCACTTTTTGACCAGATGTTCAACCCTTTAGTTCTAATTGGCAGTCTGTCCTGCTTCCTGCTCATACTCATCATCCACTTCCTAGATGTTTCCTAGACTTATATGCACCTTATGAGGAGTTCAACCTATGGGTTCTGAATGGAAGTCCTGCATAACTTGTCCTTCATTGGAACATTGTTTGTTATGTCCTTACTCTCCATCCTCTTCATAGATGGTTTCCTGGATGCTTGCCTTCAGCTTCCTGGTGATTACCAAAGGATAATCTCTGCTCCAGAGCTTGCCCATCTTCCTCATGATGGCAGCATGACCCATGCGCCAGTCGCGACACGGTCCTCTCTTCACCAGGATGGAGGAGACAAAGCTGTCCTGCTGGGCGCTGACTTTGTCCATCTGCTCTTGGACTCTGTAGAAGGTCAAGAAATTCTTGTTCATTTCTCCAAGAAAGTCCTCTGAATCACCCACAAGCTTCGTGCACTTTAAGTCGATGATCTCAGTTTTGGTAAGACCAGAGCCGGGAAGTCGAGGGAAGGGACCACAAGTGATACGAGCTGCTCGTCGAAGAGCCTTCTCAAGCTGGCTGGTGGTGTTCTTTGAGAGCTGGACCATATCTCTCAGATTCCGGAGGACCTCTGTCGGTGCGCACTTCCTCAAGACCTTGTCCATGTCGAGGTAGTCATCGCCCTGTCCATCATTAGCCTCGTAATATTCAATCTCCTCATCTAGTTCAGAATAATCCTCCATGGTTGTTTCCCCCCTCTTGACCCATGGGACTTTTGTGTCGGTATCATCAGGCTTGCTAAAGTCCACTGATGATCCGATACTCGTACCTTCCTCTTCTGCAAGATCTCCTTCAACTAGAGATCGTGTCTTAGGCTCTTCCTCTTTCCAGCATTCCCTCCCCCTTCTCGAGAAGGGCCTTGGTTGCCATACCTCATCCACATTCAAGTCCTTGTCTTGAAAGTTGATATCAACCTCACTGTCGGTTCCACTACTTGGTGACGATGAGGGTGAGTGAGTAATGACGGGTATATCGACTGGGTGATGAACTTCGTCTTTTGACGGCGTGTCCTCACTTTCACCTTGGATAATGTCTCTATCATTATCTGAGTTCCTTGTCGATTTCTTGTCAACCTCGGAATCGTTGAGGTTGGCTTCAGATACAGCATCAAGAGCGGCTTCGTCGTTATCTCGACTCTTTCCTACGTGCTGGTAGATCAAGTGGTCGCTGTTTGATTGACTGTTATCAGTTCTATCAGTGGCGAAGACTTCACTTTCACCCACCGCACCAGGAAGGGAGAATCGACTGGGAGTGCTGACATCACGAATTCCTCTCAGAGAGGAGCTTGATGTTACCGGTAAGTTCTTTTTGCTGATGGATGGCTGCGGGCAGTTATGACTGCTTGTTGAGAAAGCAGCCGGTGTCAGAGGCTCAACCTTGTTTCTCCTGCGAGTTGATGACCTCTGTTCGGTACTGACGTCATTGACATTGTCACTGGGTTTGAGCATTGTCACGGGTGTGCGTCCTCGAAGTCTGAAGTATAGAGAGCGGACAGCAGAAACGATGTGGAGATTGGGGATCCTCCAGCGCCAAGAACCACACATAGGAGTCTGCTCCTCAGTGCTGTCGATGATGGCAGGACTGGTGGTCGTCAGGCCTTTCTGGGGTCCGGGGTGTGATTGATGAACAAGCTAGGTGTACGGAAAAGATGTCAAAGTTCAATTCTTGTTTGTTTGTTCTTGCTATGTTTAAAAAAAAAAAATTAATATGGCTAAATGTACAAACAAGACATTTCAATTTACACCTGATGTACAGAAATTTATCATAATTCTCAGTTGTATGATTAACACATTGACAATGCGTACAACAAATTTTCCATATCCATCTTGTATCTTAAACAAAACATATTTTTTATCTTCATATTCATAATGGCATTATTTTCTTCACCTCCCTTAATTATATTCTATATCAGTATACGAAAGGTTTCTTTAAACTTGAACAAATCATACTCAGTAGACTCTACTGAGTAGAGGTTCTAACAGGGGCTTATGCTTCAGCCTCCGTTAAAAAGAATCTTATTTATAAATGATTTTAAACAAGGCACATGTAGAATATGAATGCAAGAACACCAAAGCTCCCAAGCCCCCTAAAGAAATCTGAGACCTCCCCATATTATAATGTCACCTTCTCTCTACCTTTATTCAATCGACCTACTCTTTCTTATGAACATTATTTTTCCGTAGTAAATGATTATAACTTATTAGTAATATATACAATTTATCAAAAATGAAATCATTTCTTTTTATATTTATACAGTACAGTGTATATGGCGACTTTGTGATAGTTGTAAATAATTATTAAATTGTTTTTTTTTCTAATGACTCACCAAGTTATTCATTTTGTTTAACGTTGTATAGGTCTATTTCTTCCTTTGCTAAGCAAAAATATCTCGAAATTCACGAATTGATGCCGGTAAGAAAAAATTCGTAAATGAGATTTGAAGATCAAAATCAGCATACGTCTCAAGTGAACTTGAAATGCGTCAGAAATGATACTGATGCTGTGTTTGCGTTGCTATTTAACCTGTTGCGCGTTACACTGATATCGATGACGTAACAATGTCTTGCGCGTCAGATGACGTAACAATTATATACGCAGGATGCACAGCAAACCGAGGAAAACATAGTGGCATGTTTTTGTGTGGTCGGGGGCCGGTGTTGGAGCACATCCCTTTTCTCATTTTATTTTTTGTAAAGATTGTCACTTCTTTCTTTTAAATTTGTATATCAGTAAAAATATTTTTCTTCTTCTCACTTGTAAAATAAAATGTAAAAATTGCAAAATATGCCTACTTGGGCGGACATATTTCTATTGAGATAAAATAATGTTTAAAAAATGAAACATTAAAAGAGCCCCCTCCCTCCCCCCCCCCCCAAAAAAAAGAACATCATTAATAATTGTTTTGTCAGAAATAAATGTACACAAATTCTAGAATCTAGACAGTACAATACACAAATAAAAATACTCGAAACCAATATGCACTTGCAATCATGAATATTCGTTTATGAGGTTGCGATATTCTCTATTAGGAGAGAATATCAAGGGCAGCATATTTTGTTCTTCTTTTCTCATTCCCTTATATCTTTTTCATGATTTATATTTTAACTTGAGATCTACTTTCCTTCTTTCCCCCTTTCACTCTCTGATATATATTATCCCATCTCTTATTTTCAGTCTCATTCGCATCGCTTCTCTTTTTCGCCTTCTTGCACATCCTGACATCCCCCCTCTCTCTCTCTATCTCACCCACTTCTATGTACTGTAATTTGTATGTCGCCCCCTCTCTCTTCGCCTCTTGCTCCTATATCATTTTATATTATGTATCGTGAAGTCGAATCTCTCTATTCCCCTTCTATGTATTAAATTATGTCAATTCTTCCACCCTCTCTCCCCCCCCCTCTCTCTCTCTCTCTCTCTCCCCCTCTCTCTTTCTCATCCACTTTTATGTACTGTAATTTGTATGTCGTCCCCTCTCTCTTCGCCTCTTGCTCCTATCATTCTATATTATGTATCGTAAAGTCGAATCTCTCTATATTAAATTATGTCAATTCTCCCGCATCTCTCCCCCATCTCTCTCTCTTTCTCTCTCTCTCTCTCTCTCTCTCTCTCTCTCTCCCTCTTTTCGTACCCTATTGTGCATCATACTAATATTCGTTTATAAGGTTGCAATATTCTCTAATAGGAGAAAACATAGAGGACAGCATAGAGATCTTTTTCTTCTTTCCTCATTCCCTATATCTTTTTCATAATTTATATTTTCACTTGATATCTCATTTCCTTCTTTGCCTCTCTTTCACTCCCTATCCCTTATCTTATTTTCAGTCTCATTTGCATCGCTTTTCTTTTCCCCTTCTTGCGCATCCTCACATTTCTCCCCCCCCCCTCTCTCTCCCTCTCTCTCTCTCTCTCTATCTCATCCATTTCTATGTATTGTAAGGTGCATGTCGTCCCCTCTCTATTCTCTTCTTGCTTTCCCATTCTATATTATGTATCGTAAAGTCGAGTCTCTTTTTTATGTATTAAATGATGGCACTTCTCCCTCTCTCGTTTTTTCCCTCTTCTCTTCCCCTGTTGTGCATAATATTACTGTTCTCTCTCTCTCTCTCTCCATCTGTTTCCGTTATATGTATCATGCCATCTCTCTGTCTCTGTATCTCTTTCCCTTCCATTCACGTCTCTCCTCCCTCTCACTCCCTGTTTCTCCCCTAATAGATAATAATATAAATAGATTTCTACACCCTCTCCCAATCTCCATCACCATGCATTATCATGATCTCGTATGTTAATTCCTTTCTAATATTCTTGAATCTTTTCCGAGACAAACCAACACAACCTTTACAAATGATAGACTGAAGTATACTTTTATCAGAAAAAATTAGTTTATTTCAAAAATCTATCATTAGTATAAAATTAAAATACACAATACTTTGAACATGCAAATTTGTAATAAAACTTCTTTTCTATCGTACATAAAATAATTTTACTTGCTCTGAAACTATACAATACTATCTATTAGCAATAGATCGACAACCTTGCTACATTCCCCAAAATAAAACAAATCAATATATATGCTGTTCAACTGAATTTTAAAAATAATTTTGCTGTTGTTTACATTTCTCCGTAACCATAAATTGATAACGGGTTAACTACAATCTTTTGGGGAGTAAATTTTGTCAAGCTTTTACAAGATACGAGACAATTCCCCTTTGTTCCAATTCATAAAGAAAACGACACTTTTACAAGATACATTATGGTGTTAAGTGTACTTGTCTGGGCTTTTGAGAGTAAAGAAATAACACAAATATCTAAACAAAATTAATGTCTATGGATTTCAAGAAGAAAATGTAAAACTCTGAAATTCCTGTAACTAATAATATTAATGATAATGTGATAATGAAGAAGTAAGAAGAAGAAGAAGAAGAAGAAGAAGAAGAAGATTACTGAGTAAAAAGGTAAATGCACAGATTTTGTCGGGGATATTTAGTATGGGTTCGGGCACAAATTATTATTTCAGTAGATGAAGTCAAATTAATGTACTTTATATCATTATGACAAGTAGTATGGGATGAACAGAAATTGCACGGAATAGTACCAATTGAATTCCATCTTGACAGTTTGACCCGCAACCTTTGACATTTGACCCTTCGTCACTGCGTATCAGATGTGCAACTCTTTCATCACTATTAGTATGTAATCGTGATTCTGAAAATGAAGCATCGAAGCATACAGCGAAATCTTTATGAAAGATTCAAGAAACAAAACGCTCTTTCAGATAGTTCTAACCCTTACGAACTTCATTTTAATCCTCCAAAATGTATTATAATGCTTTAACATGGAAAAAATATGTCATTCCAATTTCAATCATTTTATTCTTAAAATTCGTATGATCTTCCTACCTAAACACACACCTGAACGATTACAAATACACCTCAAACATCCCAGCACTAAATATAATGCGATTCCACCACCCATTACGTAATAATCTTGCGATTTTTATACCAAACTTTCTCTGGCGATATAATCTACACAAAACCGACTGCATTTACTTTAAAAAAATGAGCCATGGGCTATCATATCGGTATCGTCATCATCGTCATCATCATCATCATCGTCATCATCATGGCGATATTCCGACCATGATTTGTCTCTCTAACTTTTAATCTTTGAGTCGTGTCATGAAGGAAGAGAAAGAAAGATGGTATCAGCTTATCATTCGCGAACGGCTGCTTCGTCAAGTCGATCTATGATAGGTTCAGTCTCGCGGTTGAGGTTGTTCAGTTTGGCCTTCTTCTGGATAGCTCGGAGCTCTTTCTCCCGTTGCTGCCTCTGCTTGATCGCCTTCCGTGCCCTCTTGAGTGATTTGATCTGTTTCGCGGTCAGGTCCCCGTCGGTGTTGAGCAGCAGCCTCTGGACTTCCTCCAGACCCAGCGCGATGTAGCCATCGTCCTGCCGCTGTCGCTCCCGTATCTGTTGCTCCACGCGTTGTTGCTCCGCCTCCTGCTCTTGCTGCTCAAGCTTTTGTTGCTTTGTGAGTCTCGGCTGCTTCGTCTGTTTGGTCTTCTTTCCCTTCACTGGCGCAGTCTGGAGAAAGGAAAAAAAGAGGAAAATTCAGGATAAGCAAAGATAATACCTAAATTCGATTGGAAAGGCTAGCAAACCTCTCTTTCTTGTCGCTAAAAATGGGATGTCAGGTTTAGGAAAAAGATGAAGTGGGGAGACTACAGTAAATACAGAAGTCATATTCTGTTGTAATTTGCTCCGCCATAGTCATATGGAGTGAAATAAAACAATTTTAATAAGAAGATCTAAATTAGAACTGACAGTACTCACCATTGATTTTATTTATCCCCTTTGTTTTCGTTCAGAAATTGAAGAGACACCTTTTTTGTTTCTCTCCACATCAACGTGATTTTGGATCAATAAATTTGAATTCTTTATGATGCGAGTGTCTTCAATAAAAAATCTAATGCAGTCAGTGCGGACTGGTTAATGGGATATTTGAGATATTTTCCCTTTGGTATAAAAGGACTGGTCAGTTAGTAATTGGAGGACTTGTAATAATACAGTGGCCCTTCATATTCAACTCCTCCTACCGAAAATTAGTCACAAACTACATCTAGATATTAATGAATTACGGTAGGTCTTTCCAATCCAAGTTGCTTGGAGTGTCATAAAAATTAATTTTTATTAAACTTGTAATCACCTCTGGTACGGGTTGAACCACGGTGACGTTCTGGTTTCCTTGTCTGTTTTCGTCACAGAGTCCGCAGCTCGGAGCACAGAACTTCCTCATGAATAGGGGGCTTCGAGTACACCAACCTCCCTTCTTCCACTCACGGCACTTTCGATGGACGTCTCGGCATTCTGATATGTGATAAAGGATAAAAAACATTAGTTTTAGTCTCTTGGCATCGATGGCAGTTCCTCCAAGACTATATGGCCCGAATTCACAAAGGAGGTTTGTCGACAAATCTAGGTTTATGTGCGTCTTATGACGCGTTTCGACGCGTTTCAAACCAAGGTTTTATTAAAGAATTCCGCATTATAGACGGATATTTCTGTCTCCCTTCAACCCTACTCTAATATCCCCCCGAATATCCTAGATCTGCCTTTTCGAAGATCGTCATATACACGTACCTTCCACTTCTCCGCAGTGTCCGCAACTCTTCTGACATTTATCACGGAGTCCCTCCTCGTTGGTTAGGCAGTGTCCTCCTCGAGCCCACTTCTCACATCCAGCATCTATGTCAACACAGGCTGTAATAAAAAGTATTTAACAATTAATAATATTGGTCTCGTCCAGTGCGATTAGTTATTAACAAAAAACAAAAAAAAAATCGGTTAATTGCACAGTTTAACATACACTTTAAAAAAAAGAGTTAATATTTTGCCTCATTTTCGCCCACAGTAGCCAATTTTAGAAATTATACGTTAGAATCATCATCCTGAAAGAAAAGTAAAACGTGAGCACATTTGTTTGCAATTGGTCGGCTCATCTTTTACCCCTTCGCTCGTATTATTTTGTCCATGTATAGACTTGCCGTCAGTTTATTTCGTTTCAATATGTTTTCTAGACGTTCGTGTCAGGGGCGGATCCAGCCGGTGGCGAGGGGCCCAAGAGGGGGCCCAATTCGTAAGAAAATACTTAGCGGAGACTCAACCGGCCAGCCGAATAAGCGGGTGGGAGGGGGGGGGGGGGTGTATGGAGCTCTTAAAAAATTACTTTTTTTCCCAGGGGGTGGCTCGTCTTCTTTTTCTTTTTTAAAGGTAAAAAAAGGATCCGCCCCTGATTCATGTACATCAATATCCCAAACAGTTTTTCATTAATATTTTAGACGAATAAAAGTCGATTTGGTCAAGTACTTTACAAAGAGGTTGAAGAATAATATGATTACAAACGACTTCGATTCAATGTCAATCTTGTTTCTTCATACTTTCTACAGGTGGACACCATTTGCAGCTGAGTTGGCAGTTCTCCTGCATGTAGCCCTGGTTGACGAGGCATCGGGTGGTCTTGGCCCAGGTCGGGCACTGGGGGTTGCGGTCCCTGCACTCGCCTGGTGGAAGGGGGTGTGACACCAACAAAGAACAGTTGGGCGGGGCAGGGAAGTGATTGGGCGTGGTCGGGTGTGGTGGTAGGGTGTGACGAGTGGGAGGGATAAGCGGGATAATGATAACATTGACAAGACAAAGACGGGATTGAAAGTAGTTTGCCATCGAGAAGAGAGAGAGAGAGAACGAAAGTACAGAAAGATGGAGAGTAGCACAGAGATATAGGGAGTTAGAAAGATATTTTAATGAAAGAAACGTAGATTTGCACACACAAGATAATGAGGTCAGACGGGACGAGGATCACAAAGAAAAACACACAGACAAAGGAAAACAAAATAAAAGAACAAAATATATATTTAATACAATTTCACAGAACACAGCATTTTAATTAAGGTAAACCTTTTTAAGGATGTAACCATGCATGGTCTTGAATCTGGCAGATCGATCTAATTTTGTACTTGAACTGAACTATTTAAAATATAATACGAATATAATAAATGCATAAATCTTCTTCTTCATAAAAGCTCATGAAACCTTCATTGTCTTCTATGTCATCATTTATGTGGAAATAGTCCCACGCAAATATTTAGCACCTTTTTAAAGGTTGCTATAAATATTCATTCAAACTTGATACGGGGAGTTTCGGGCGTTTCAGTCGTTAGAAAGTCACTTTCATAGTTTGACAAAAACTAACCATGCTGTGTCAAGATGCATGTCTATTATATGCTTGATGCAAATTACATAATAAGTCATCGGCAAGTTCGTCATGCAAAACAACGAATAACGTCATAACAATCATACTTTGAGATTTGTAATCTTGCATTTTGGTATTGAACAAGCTTACAACGTTTTCAAATAAAATCTATATGCAAAACAAGGCAAAGAATAGAGCCAACATGATTCTTCAATATATTTTTAAGTCCAAAGAGATTGTATGACAAAACTTGATAATGCACGTGCTTTTCAAACTGAGCAATTTTACATCAACACACACACTGTACAACATAAAGAGAAGCATTCACTGTCACATATAATACATCATTCAATATACAAATACACAAACACACCGATCACAACACAACACATTGTAAAGAAATATTTACTCCAAGATTTTTTGTGGTATTCACCTGTGGATAGAATATAAACGAATGTGATTTCCTAAAAGAGCAGGAATTGGGAATAAATATTATGCAATTTCAAAAAGCGTCTGTGGAATGTATGCTCGATTAATCTGCTCTTTTTTAAAACACGCCTATTATTTTGTTTTCATCTAGTAAATTGTTTTAGAGATAGAATTAGCAGGAGTGAATTTTATTACGAAAAGGGTGAGGAAATGTTAGATCTTTAGACAGAAAGAAAGCGTAATTATGTTGGCAAATATATTTTATTGTTAAGGGAATAACTAGTAATTAGGCCTACTTTTCAGCATTATAGTATATCTTTTCTTTATCAGGTATTTGAAATGTTTCAATAATATGAAATTAGGTTTGCTTTAAAGAAAGCGAAATTATTAGGAAGGTATCGTGCATCAATTAATAGTTAGACGATTGTAGAGATATTGATATCAACAGGTTGAACATTCACTGCAAAGCAAACAAACAGGAAGAAAACAAAAACAATTAAAATCACATTGGTTACAAACAATACAACATAAAATGCACCATTTCGTAATCTATTTTAAACTTTTTCGAAACCTTTAAAAAAAAAATGCAATGCATAAGTGCAAACGCACAATAAAGTTACGGAAATTAAAGTACAAAATAGTAATTTAAAAATGGTTTGTCTTTACATCATATAAATTTCATGGCTCATATAATTATGATAAAATGTGAAATACTGATTTTGGAGATAGATAAACATACAAATACCTGCATTCAAAACATTAAGAGGCCACTCAAGCAATGTTCATCCATGTGAAGACCAGAGGGAAATTACGGACATCAATAATTGCAAACACAACCAGAACAAAACTATATCTATACATTTCAAACAAATTCAGACAAGGGTTGGAATATTGTTAGTCACTCCTTGTGCGGGATTTTCTGTTTCGAAGTCGTCGTTTTCTTTGTTTTTGTTTGCGTTTACGTGAGTTATTTTGTCCACTCGATGTGAGGAACCGCCCTCTGCGGTTTTGGTTGGTGCTGACGCTGTTATTGCTGTTGTCGTTGGTGCTGACGTTGGTATTGCTGTTGGCGTTGGTGCTGACGTTGTTATTGCTGTTTTCGTTGGTGTTGACGTTGTTATTGCTGTTGACCCTAGTACTGGAGAGTCGTAGACGCGAGCGCAACGACTGATGCGGTCGTCGCTTCGACGCCGGTAGTAGTTCGTTTCCCGCACCGGCGCCGTTCTGTTCGGTTTGCGTTTGCATGCCTCCGAGCAACGCGGGGTCGAACGTCCGGTAGCGACCGCTTCGTAGAGTTTTGCCGACGCGACAGAACCCGCAGCTGTACGGACATACGTCTTCCATGAACAGCTGTCTCGTGTGGCACTGGCCGTCAGCAGCGTACTGCTGACATCGCCGAGTTTTGTCCCGACATTCTGTTGGTAGAAGGGAATAGGTGATTTGATACAATATTTATATTTGATGGTTTCGGTTTGTATTTATAGGGGTACATTCAACTCTGCTGTTCGTTAAAGTAATGAGCTTTATAGAATACTATAACCTTTCCAGCTTATAAGAATATCGGCTCACACAAAAGTTCATTCCTGTCTAACAACCAGATGACATTTTAATGAATAATCTGAGTAAGATGATATTGATAATGAAGCCCCTTCTCCAACCTATCAACATTTCCCTGAAAGGAATAGATTAAAGAAGTGACATTTTCAATCTTAACGAATGATTAATGTGTGAAAAGATAAAATATCTTTCAATTTCTTTAAAACTCATAATATAATGTGATCAACCGCAACGTCAAGCAAAGTCAATAATCTGTGGAGGCCAAATTGAATTTGGAGCGATAATATCCTTCCATTTTACTTCAACCATATGGCCCACCGCAGGATATTTCATGATAGATTCATGTTTTTTGTTAAACATTGAATAAATTTGCCATCTTACCTTCAAATCGGTTCTGTTTCTTGCATGTATCGCAGCTGTGAGGGCACTGGTAGGCCATCCAGCCCCGATTAGACCGGCACTCCCCTTTGAGGGCAAGCTCCCGGCATCGCTGCTGGGAATCCATGCATGCTGGTTATACATGAAGAAGATTAAAAAGGTAAGGGGAATATACATCGGGAAACACCGTACAAAGAAACATATTTCTACAACTCCGTCAGCTGCGAGAGATCTCGCCCAACCTAAAGTGATCAACTATAACACTACTTTTTCCTAATCTTGGATTTTTTTTCAAGCGACATAATCAAATATCACAATCTTCATTGTAAGATACGGGTAGCCCCCCCCCCCCCCCCCCCCCCCCCCCCCACTCAGTGATATTCAGGGAACGGGTATGTATGTTTCCTCTTGTTTAAAGCACCCCCTATCTCCGGTGTGTAAATCCATGGCGGGCCGGACTTTGTCGCGCGAAAAAGTACCCCTTTACCGAAGATTGGGGAACACGCATGCGGTCCCTCCTAACCAGGGGGGGGGGGGGGGGCAGTGTAGGCGGATGTGAGACTTTTCCCAAACATAACTTTTAGATACTTCATATAATTCAGTATCCATTCCAAGTGATGCAAACTTTTGTTTCATATCTCCGCATTTATTTCATCGTGACACCCTCCAATAAAAATGGTTTAGTGACTGAAATAAAAACGTATTCAGTTTATTATGAGACTAAGTGATGATCAAGTTGCCACTCATAGTACTAAATAATGTTTTTTTCCTTCTCTCCATTACTCTTACTTTCAAATGTTGTAGAAAGCTATCTCAATTGAGATTTATTTACATTTCAAATTGCATTTTGCTAAAAGTCTCTCACATTCCTTGACATTTTCTAATAATAATCCGCTCCTGAATATGATAAAAATGATGGTTGTATTATGCTCAAATTGAAACTCGAACAGCCGATGACATTGATGTATTCTTACTTGGGTTTAGTTTTGGTAGTGAGCAGAAGTCACAGCTCTTCTTACAATGTACCCTCAGCCAGACATGGCCCGAATCACAGCTACCGGTTTTAGCCCAATGTTTGCAGAACAGGTGATTATCCGCACAAGCTAGAAACGCAGACAAGAAGAAATAACTTAAATGGATCGTCATGAATTTGAAGAGTGAAGGAAAAGAGTCTGAAAATAGTTTTGCTGTCATTTCTCTATTCAATTCATACTATAAATACATGCAAATTAATTTAAAGATATTAGACATTCATAATAACATTCAAACAAAATGATTTAACATTTTAGTACATGTGTATATTGCAATTTTAGTCTGTATTCAATGCTTTATTGAATAATTTCTTTAACAATGAATTTAATGTATTTTGTTTTCAAATAATTGAGTATTTGTTTTAATTGCAATTCATGAAACATTATTTGTAATACCAGCGTCAATATTTAGGCCTACATCATTTCCATTCAGTTTCTGTAAAATTCATCCCCCCCCCCCGTTTCAATGTTCAAAGTCGTTTTATGTTTGAATCATCAAAACACTTTCTGTCCGTAATTCAAAAAAACAATGAATTCGTATGTTATTTGAAAATAAAAACTATTATCTCAAAGAACTGATAAGCTTTATCATCATGTTTAGTTAGTTTATCAACATGAGAATACGCATATTAATTACCGATGCTGTATGCTACTTGCTTTTGATTACGTTATTATAAGTGTGCTTTTCAATAAAAGTTTAGTGTAAACTATTTACTAGAGCAACATGCAGAATAATCTAAACTCTACTGAAAGTTGGATGTGTTAGACACAGATAAGTTAATCGATATAATTCATTTTAAATGTAAATCGTAATTTATTTTTCAATCTAAATTGAAATTTGACACTACATCACAAATTTCATCGAATAGTTAGATAGTTAGAAATACAAATCAATCTGGAGTGAACGTTTTAGAATGAGAAAACTAGTGTTATTTTCAATATCACACAATTATTATTAGAAAACTGTTAGACTATAGCCTACAAAATGAGTTATTAATTTCAAACCTTTAGCAAACCATGCAGTGCCATAGTCCATTGTTAGCCAATCCGTGAATCCATCAAGGAGGCGATTAGGATGATGACGACTACCGACGATGTCGACTACGATGAGTAAATATTCCATCTCATGCACCTCATGTCCATCGTCTGGGAATGTATTGTCAGTACCATTATGACATCATCGTCATGATGACGACACGCTTACGTCTCAATATGTTTTGACATCATCATTCAGGTTAAATTAGAGTTCATGCACATTCGAGTTCATGGAATATGTTGATGACGCAGGCTGTTAAAATTTATTAAACCGCAGTGGGCGATTTCTCGTGTTAATTGTCAACAAAAAACAGTTGTGATCTATTTTATTTCTAAAAATGTTCATTTCTTTTTCGAGATCTGTGTGCACTGCATTCATAGAATAAAACAAAATGTTTGTTGAAAGTTTTCAAAGATTTCTTTTCTACACAAGCGTACCCATCTTAGCCACTCATTGTTTATGTGAGATAAATTTCCAGGAGTATCTATATCTTAAAATCCGTATCTTGACAGGATTTGTAAAAAGAATCTCCATTCTGTCAAGAGATATGTTGCGCCCACTATGGCCTTTTACAATCATCAATGTTAGGGTCACTGCAGGTCATATCGACCACGCCCATCCCTTGCGCACCCTCAATCTCCTCTGCGGTCGGTTGCGGTCCGCACAGCCCGCAGCTCTGCGGACACTTGACGTGCATCCAGTCCGGGTACTCGTCGCACTCCCCGATCATCGCCCAGTATGAACAGTTCCGATGCCGGTCAACACAGGCTAGAAAATGGGAAAATATAATCACAGAATAGATAAGAAGAATAAAAGAAAACAGAGGCGTGATTAGCTAAATCGTGCTGAAAGATTTCGACAACTATAGAAAAACTGGAAAGCAAATCGATATCGAACACTTTATGATGCAAAACGTAGGAAAATGGATTTGAAATAGATAGAGAGGGGTTGTATAGTATAAAGTCCAACGAACCTACTTATATTCAAACTAACAAATACCTCATGAGCACATTATGACAACATTTTAAAATAATATTTCCATCACAAGCTATGGTGAAGAAAGTAAAAAAGTAGAAAGGAACGATTTTTGTTTTTTTGTGTTTGTAATCACTAGAATTATTGCGATAATATATAATGATACAGACTACGAGTGTGTAAAATAATCGACCAAAATCATTAAACTAAAATAATGTTGAGCACATAGAGACGAAGCATGATATTTATACGGATGGGAAGTTTGTAAAAGAGTGATGTGGATCGGGGACGAATAGGTCTGAATCTGAATCTGAAAATAATACGACTCAATGCTCCTGGTGGAGTAAAACGAGATAGATAGAAGTAAGCGTAATTATAAAAAGATAACATGGAAAACAAAAGTCAGAAACTTAACAAACAAGAGAGATTGACAATAATCCCGATTTATACACTATAATTTCCATACTAAATCCCCAAAACGTATTCACCTGGTTCGATATCAGTATCCCCGCATAGTCCGCAACTGACAGGACATTTGATAGCCATCCACTCAGGATTACTTATACAGTCTCCTTCTGAAGCCCATGAACTACACGTATCATGCTCGTCAACACAGCCTTGAGGTTTAATCCAACCTAAGAATGGACAGTACCGAAAAGATTTAGATTAATTAATTAACTTTCATAAATTACAGCGGACTGTAAAATAAAAATTGCGTTTCTATGAAGTAAACACGAGTCATAAATGTGGTTATCTGAATGACTGAATTGTGAAAGTGAAGTTGTTTTTAGTTTACTGCCGTTGCGTTGTCGATTAGGCAACAAGGATTCAATAAATATAGATTAAATGGAATAGTAAATCCCCATTTTCTATTGCCCACCTTGTCCTGTTTCTTCTAAAATGATTTTGGACAATGTGAAAATGACATTCCAATTTTACAGCAAACAAATACAATGCTTTTTATACAAAGTTTATAAAATATGTTTTCTACAGCGGAGTGTGAAGGTCTATTTCGTTATATGGGTCTACAATATATTTTATATTTGTTTCTGCTTGTATGAACAGATTTTTACCTGTGGAATTTACAGAGCCTCCGTAGAGTTCTCCTTCAGCATGGATTTGACTTTCCACCCTCGGGTTTCCCTCGACATTACTCCCTCCATCCGAGTCCGAACTCTTTTCATCGTTTGTCCTGTCGCCAAAATCTTCTCCCTCACTGGCTCCAATCTCTCCTTTCCTCCCTCTCGTTTCTCCGCCACCCACTCGGCTATTTTCGTCACCCAAGACGCCCATTTCGTCATCCACTCGGTTGACCTCGTCACCCGCTCGTGTTGTCTCGTCGGTGATGATCCCGCCCTCGGAATCCACTCGGCTTTCATCGGGCTGGTCGGTGACGGTCACGATTCGGTGGCTGCACCAAAGACAGGTTCGTCGGCAACGTTCGGACATCCACTCTTGCCGATCCTTGCACATGTTCTGTGCTGCCCATAGGGCGCAATCCATTGTCGTATCCTGACAATCATCTGAATCTGTAAACCCATCGTGAAGGAAAGAAGTGGCATGCAAGGAGGTATTTGAGGACGAAAGGGGATGGCAAGAAAATGATGTCATAGAAATAAGCGGGGGATCATGATATAATGTTCGCCTTTAAGATGAATAGGACATAAAATTATATAAATAATTTGAGCGTTATGCCTTCGGCCACTTAACTTTGGGAAGGCTGTATCGTATCGCAGGAAATTATAAAGGATGCTATTTCTGGGGTTTGTGGGGTTGTTAAAAAGATTGCAAACAGTGTATAGCTCGGGAAGGAAATAGTAGCGATAGTGTATAAGTTTACCAGCACCAGGTCTGTTAAACAAAGATGACAAATTCATTTATAAAAGCTTTGAATTAAAGGCAAGGTTGAGCAGAGGAATTGATTGGAAATTCTTCCAATTAAGAGTGGAAATAGGTGCTAATGAATAAGACACAATTTTGGAGTTAGCCAAAAAGGTTGCCTGCAATATTTGCGAAACATAGTTTCACTAGCACTCATAATGAAGAAGCATTGATATTAATAGGCTTTAATTTATGCAATAATTACCATTATCTTGAGAAAAGAATCATAGATAGTTCTTTGAGAGAAGTAATTGTTAAAACCTGCAAAAAAAATATCTTTGAATCATACAACTTAGACAAATATAATATCCATCAAACCACAACTCAGTTATCCACCATCCAGATTCAGAAACACTCTCACCAATCATAATTCCCACGCAGCGGGAATTAAACAAAATAAAAAATTATGCACAATTGTTGCTCATTTTACATTCACATAACCATTCGCATGCAATTTAGCCGTGTTTTCCCTTTTTTCTGCATGACATTCAACCTACGACATTCGACTTTCATCGGCAGACGACATCTGAGCGATCATTTATCGCTATATTGTCCATAACATACCGGTATCGATAATGATTCTACCGTCACCGCCAGTGCACACGTGACAGCTACGTCTACAGTGTGCCTTCATGAACTTTGAGTTGGTTCGGCATTCGCCCAGCGTTGCCCAATCGTAGCATAGCGTGTTGTCGTCTTGGCACGCGAGCTCTGCATATAATGATAAAAACAAATCAAAGATTAACTAGAAAAATATGTTTTTTTCTTCAAAAGTTTGAAAATAAAGGGTTTCTCGTGAAGAGGTGAACATACATGTACTTGATCGACTTACATCATCAAAGACGGGCAATTCGGCATCTAAACATTCTTTAATAATCTTGAATAAATTGTGTCATCAAAGATGGTCATTTTCGCTTCAAAACATGGATTGCATGATAAATTATATCGTCGAAGACGGAATTTTACTATCAAAACAAAATTGATTCAATTGCAACATAATGTTGTCACGCTATTTTGACAAATGGATTAGCAACATTAGAGAAGAAAACAAGGAACATTCATGTGGATATTTCTTAGTAATTCAATTTCATGACGAGACAGAATGAGAGATGAAAACACGATGCCCTAAATGAAATCATTCAAAGAAAAAAGACGTAACTTTTACCCCTAATTGATAATTTGGTTCACAGTCATAACAAACATTGACGAAGTCATGATCATATCATCATCGCACAACAGTTTGTGGATTACTATATGTCATAAACACACCTTAAATATGTTTTGACTAAATCGATGCAATTATTGAATTTATATTGAATTAAACATTCATATGAACATAAATATTAAAGGTACTATGTCCCTTTTGCAGCCAACCTCAAACTCTGTAGAACTTTGCAGGAATTATGAATATGTCATGTATGTCCTATCTGTGAAATTTAAACGTTAGCAGTGTCCTCATATTCAAATTATGCAAGGAAACCCGTTTACTTGCTAGACTTCACTGTCAGACACTATTGAGTGACAAACTGGCTTTTTTTCTTCTTTGGTAATAACATACATGAAAAGAGTTGTAAAGGGTACATGAGCATTTGTCTACATCAATAACCCACTTCTTGTGATGGCCAAGATTAAACTGATTGAATCTTTGCGCAGCATAAAATGTATGACCATTCGGTACGATTGTCTGAAAATCAAGACTATTACTTTTGGGCTCTATAGCCCTAAAGTCGATTTGACAATTAATAGTCGTTATTTTCCCACTTGAAGACATTTTCAAGCCCCACCTTTTTAGGGAAGTTCTAAATTAGTATTATCTTTCAAATGCAGTTGGAATTTAACTTTTTCATTTTTTGGGCCTGCAAATGGGACATAGTACCTTTAAGTGCGTTGTAGGTAGGCTTCAAAATGTTACGCTCATGAACATTTTTCAGAATGTAAATAGCATATAAAAACATTATATTGAAGGCTGTTCAAGAAAACAACCATGACAAAATAGCTTGATCTTCCCCTCAAATATCTTCTATAATTGATACCACAACATGACTATAGCTTTAATCTAATCTTCCTCAAACAACAAAAATACTGTACTTTAATAGATGAAGCAACATGTGCATAGAAAAATAAAAAGATACACATCTATATTCTCTCTATGTGGTGACCTTTACACGTGATCTCTTTGTTCCACTTTTGAAAATACCAGAAAAATGTATTTTATCTTTCATTGCACCAATCCACCTAAAATGTGTATATACTCTCAATCCCCCCCCCCCCAAAAAAAATAGAATAAAAAAAATTTAAAAAATGGGATCACCAGAACATTTCGGGGCAGAAAGAGCTGGGAGTGGGTATCTTACATATGTATTATCTTATTTTTTATTCATTTATTTACCACTTGAGGGATTGGACATCCTTATCAAAGACGGATGTGTTTCCAATAGGGGTCCACTCACATTCCCAAATATGAGTGGTATGAGGGATGTCATGGAAAATGGCCATCAGGAGAGCAAAATATTCAAACCATATAAACAAAAAGAACAAACAAAAAAACAAACAGTTCCTCATATTTTAGAATTTGCTGACAAGAGTAACTGATAAAAAATTTAGGGCATGAAAATATTTGATTTGCCCAAAAAATGTTGGAGCGACGTGCCTGGTCAGATAGACTTCTACAATTGATTTAGAGGATGTGTACAACATGGATATTTAGATATTTGACAAATTAATTATGATTTACACTCACCATCTTCTTGTCCTGTCTCAGTGTCAATAGCCTTGCATTGCTTGCAGCTTCGACGGCAGTTCTGCAACATGTAAGCCGGGTTGCGTTCACACTCACCGATCTTAGCCCATCGTTTGCAGTTTGATGTGGTGTCAATGCAGGCTGGCGAGAAATGAAAGGTATGGTGCGGGCAAATCAAATTTATGGGCAAGTAAAGAAAATATTACAAGACGTCTGGGATTATGTTTTGTTGCCGATTGTTGAATATATAAGTATAATATAAAACAATAATCAATCATTACTATGTTCATATATCCCCAAAACACAGTTTAATGAATTTATTCGTTATGCAAAGTTATCTCGTCAGAGGCTAGGATGCTGTCTCCCTAAGCATGAGAGATTTAAAGAGTTATTTTGAAAGAGTGAAATCAAGAACGAAATCCAATAAAATGTAAACGAGACAAATGGGATCGACTTTACAATATTTCTCGCCTTTGTCGCAAGATGATGAAGAAGACTACATTAGAAACTGATTTAAAAAAACAACAACGAAATAATACAAAATTCTGTAATGTTGACACCAATCTCCTTATCAATATCCTTACATCGTGTAAAATAAAGGAATAATCAGCTTTCAAAATCACGAGAATACAAACGAGACACATTACCCTTAATCATCAACAGTTTTTGTGAAAACGGACGTTATCAATTAGCAATTAATTAAAACCTTCACGGCGGCTGAATGTGAGGGGGAGAGGGAGGGGGAGAGGGAGGGGGAGAGGGAGGGGGAGAGGGAGGGGGAGAGGGAGGGGGAGAGGGAGGGGGAGAGGAAGGGTAGAGGGGGGGGGGGGGTAACTTACCGAGTCCGTCACCCTTGCGAAGAGCGATGGTGCACCTGTCGCAGCTGAAAGGACAGTATTTGGTCATCCATTCCTTGTTGGCTGAACATTCACCCATCATCGCCCAGATCGGACAATAGTATTTGTCCGAATCCTCGCATTCTAGAATTACAAAACATGTGAAAAAAATTGTTTCTGTTGGTTCTTTCTGTTGGTTCCATTCTATTCTATTTTGATGATAAAATAATATCAATATTTTACCAATGTATATGAAATAATAATTATAAAAAAGTGACGTAGAAACGCTTTCGGTGAGTCCTAACCTAATATGCAAAACATTCTAAATTACAACTAAAATACAAATTGTATGTTTCAACCTTGTTGTTTGATACTGCCGATAATTGTGCTGCTTGTAATGAATAGTCTGTTTCCTTCTCATGTTTCATCTATAGGAATCATATCTACACACGCATCGAACTCACGTCCGCATTTGTAGAGCAGGTTGATCCTGTAGATATCAATGTGACTGAAGTCGTTCTGATTGCCGACATCACCGATCTGATAGGTCGGGTACCTTGGCCCGATGGTGACCGATTTACCGTCATTGGAGAAGGCTGTCAGCGGGTAGTGCATGAGAGACATGAAGTCATAGCCGGTGCCAAGGGTCTGCACCTGGTCGTTGCTGTACTTGCGGAAGTTGGTGGTGAATCCTGGATGGGGTAAAGGATGGACGAAGGTAGGGGAGAGGGAAGGAGGGAGGGGTCAGGTGGCGTGGTGGAAGGTAGATGGGTAGGGACGAGTTGACGGGAAGAGGAGGGTAGGGGAGGTGAGAGAGCGGTAGAAGGGGAAGAAAATGAAGATTACAGGGGTGGAGTAAAGGGTTTCAAGAGAGGAAGGAAAGGAGGGGTGGAAGGGTTGGAGAAGTGGAGAGAAGGTACGTGGAGGATGGAAAGGGGTGACAAGGAGGGAAGGTTCAGGGGAGCGGTGGGTGGAGAGGAAGGGACAAGGAGAGTACGCAAATGAGGGGCGTAAGCAAATGAGGAGCGGAAGAGGTGGAAAAGAATGAAGCGTGTAAGTGAGCACGATGAAGAGACGAGAAGACATCATTAAATTGAATTATAAATATCAAACGTTAACGGGAAAAAGAGTAACACACAAAAAAGACAATCAATCAAAAAACAAGAAATATTGTCAACATGGAAAAGAAGAACTTGCAATACAAGAACGAAAACATATATACATTGAGGTAATGAAAGAATGATTAATGCAATCGGTCATTGCACTTAAATTTTGCGACAACGCACATTGTTAAAAAAGTAAAAAGTTTTATGATAATAAAAATGGTTGAGACAAGGACAATAGTAAGAAAACTAAGAAATGGCTACATTAATTTAAATTACCTTTAATTTGTCTAAACCATACTGAATTCTCACCTGCTTTGATATTCTGCCAGTACACATCGATGTATCCATCCCTGTCCGGTCGGTTGTGTTCGTGTCTGAACCCGATGGCGTGCATGAGCTCGTGCATGATGACGCCACGACTCCCCCTACAGGTTCCCGACAGCGAGATCTTCTGTCGACCACCGGTTCGTCCAACCATTGACCAGCAACTAAAGGCATACGTGAAAAGTAGGGTAAAATATTTCGGCATGTAAGATATCAGAGGGAAAGCAATAATTGGATGTCCATTGGGGAGTGGGCACACTCAGATGGGTCGCTGGAGGGGGCAGGGTGTGACACCTCAAATACAATTATTCGGTCGTGAAAACAGGGTAAAAAAAGTTGTTTTTATGTAAGATAGGTTCAGTCAGTGATGATTAGGAAAGAATAAACGTACCCCAAGTTTTGCGTGAAGAAAATATAGTCCCTTTCGATGGTCCTTGGGACGAAACGTATACAGGTCTTCTCATGAAAACGTTGCATACCGGCTAGGATTTGCTTCTTGTGATTAATATCTGAAAAAGGCAATGAACAAGACAATATACAGCTTTGGTAATAGATACACAATTCTGCTATGACGACGTATCCTTTTTTAATAATTTCTAACAAATCTAGCATTATTTCTGCGTGATCCAAATCCAGATCGTATATGAGGAAAAACTTGTTTTATTATTATGAATTAGGGACCTAAAAGTTTACACACACAAACAAAATCGGTTAAATATATCTTTCACTTAATCATACAAAATTTAGAGAATTGTCTGAGCTTGCAATTAATCCTTGAAATTATTGAATTGGATCGAACTTGATCCATGCAGATTAAATTGAATTTGACTTGACTTGGATCGAATCTAGTTAAGCTGAGCTGAACTAAAATATAGTTAATTATTTTTGTTTAAATTGATTGGACTGCATTGAATTCCATTGGTTTAAATTTGAGATATACTTACTATAGTACCCATCGATGACATAAGGGACTGCACCACCTGGCCATAGACTTTCTCGATCACGGAGAGCATTACGACGTTTCTATTATTCACACATTTAAAAAGGAAAAGGAGCGTTTTTGTTAAACGATTATATTTTGACCAAATTATCATAATCATGTCAAGGACAAGGACATTCTGAAATAATATATAATTGAATGTGCTACTATGTTAAATATGCATACAATTCTTCGTTTTCATATTTTACTTTCGTCAGCCACTTTTAAGTTGCAATCTTATTCTTCTTGTCATGTACTTCTGATTATAATTCTATTTTCCTCCTCTGTTCCTTCCCCGTTTCTCCATCTCTTTAAATAACCTTTTCTCTTCCTCTAAAGCCACACTGTACTACTTGAAGCTACTTGCTCCCTCTATTTAGAAAACAATTCATAATCGGTGACCATTGGTCCCCCATGATCCTCTTTTTTATGTTAATTGAGAGCTGAGTTGATGAGATAACCACCTGTCCAGTGACCTTGCAGGGTGGTCTAATCCCTCCTATAAACTAGTATAGATAAGCTTTAAAAGAGCTCTCCACAAAAAATACCAATATTCCATCTGCTCAACTCTTCCTTTCTCGATGGATTAACAAATTTATATGATCAGTCGACGTACCCTTCTTGTTTCATCTTCTTCAAGTCCTTCTATCTCTTCATAGATGTCGGCGTCGATAAGGTGCCCGTGATCACCAAGATGGTTGTTCTCTATGCAAAAAGAAAAGAAGCATTTTCATAAATGAAATTACAGTTTACAATGATGACAATAAACACTTATAAGCACCGTCAACATGACTTGTGCTGAGTTAACATAATCATGAGGCAATGTGTTACACATCGGCTTCTGCCAAGCTTCCATACGGGATTGGTCATTCAAGGAACTTTTCCCTCTTGGTCACCCATCTGAATTTATTCACCTGGGTGGAGAGCGGCAAATGTACATCAATAATTTATGTGGACTTCTTCAAAGAAATAAAAGAAATGATTAAAGCAGTCATTGAATTTATTCAATATTCATGACTGATATTGTTCAAGTTTTACCCCCCAAAAAGAACATGACTAATCGATTTATGTACGGAATAAACTCGAGTAAACAAAAGAAGACAATTAAATGACTCCGTAGATCATGCAGTTCACCTAAGCTTGTGAAACATCATCCATTTATAATCAATCATCATTTGAGAGTTTTAAATAATATTTGCAATGGGCTAGTGCCTTTGCTCTGAAACGTAGCACCCGGGGGCCACTGGTGGAATGTTTGACGATCACGTTCGGTGTTTAGTGATGCCTTAGGTTGTTTGGTGGTCCTTCTATGGATGTTTGACTTGGCATGATGACTTGCCAGACAACGATCAGGTGATTGATGTCGTTTGGAAAGAAGTGGATGTTTTTATGGATGATTAAGCTGTCCACGTTTTATTCAACCCAACACGTTTATTTTATTTCAAACCTCAATATCAGATTAGGAAGTCGAGCCATTTTTCGAACCCAAACACCTTGATCGGGATCAAATGCTTCTAATAAATAGTTGCGCAATCAATGCCGTATTTATTCTATTTATTTTCTATCTTTATTCAAAAAACTTTTTTTTTCTTGGGGGGGGGGGGGATGCCCCGATGCTTCATGGGATCGACACCTCATTTGATTCGCAAACGATTTAGTCTTTATTATTACAGTCATCGATATCGATTTAAAACTATCCTTGCCGTCGTTAACAATAAACATGTATTTTCTTCTCTGAACAGTTTTCCATTCCTTCATGAAATGACGTGTTTCACAAATATTGCTACTATCATGACGCTTCATGTGCTTTCATTACGCTGTATCAAATTCTGTCTTCCACCCCTCCCCCCTTTCCACCAACACACATCCCGACACTGTTCGCTATCTCTCAGTTCATCCTGACCATGCATCAGCTGGTCTTTCATGTCTGTTGGAGAGGTCAGCGCTTCTCATCCGTTAAATTTTCATTAATCATTCATTTTATTTAATCATTCCATTCAAATAGATATGTCTCGAGCATCCTCCGGCATAGATATATACCGCGTGTTGATATTGAGATTGGGAGTCTATTTGATAAATCTCATTTGTTCGCAGCTGTGACGCCGAAACTGAATACTACTCAAATCATATACTTCGGATAGCGGTTGATTTGCAAACGTCCACCGTTGATTAGACAGCTGCTTGTCTTTCATTTAGAAATGTGGCTCATCATCATGAACTTGGTTTGCTAAATGTAATTGTCTTTTGGTGTGAACTCTACCCAGGATAGAGGTTGGTCCATGATGATGCCTTTGTCCAGGGGATGTAGAAAGGCAGGTCATTGACCTCTACGAGCAAGATGATTAGAGAGTTGAATGTGCACAAAAAAATTGTCTTTAGTGTTAAGCCAGGAGAGAGGATGGTCCATGATGAGACCTTTGCCCAAGGGCTGCAGAGAGGCAGGTCGTTCAACTCCATGACGAAGATGATTACCGAGTAAGTTGAATGTGCCAAAAATTAGACACATTCAATGTCATCAAATGAGTATGCTCTATCCATCGCTCCTGTCTTTCCATCTCTTTCTGTTTCTTTTTTTCTGTCTCTTTCCTCTTTCAAAATTCTATTCGCTATAATATCTCTTTAACCTCTCTATTTTCTTTTTCCTTTTCTCTGAATTCTCTCCTCCTCTCTCTCTCTATCTCTGTCTCCCTCTATCTCTTGTCTCTTGGTGTGAACTCTACTCAGGACACAGGATGGTCCATGATGAGACCTCTGTCCAAGGGCTGCAGAAAGGCAGGTCATTGACCTCCACGAGCAAGATGATTAGAGAGCAAATTGAATGTGCAAAAAATAAAATACCTCCAATGTCATCAGAAGAGTACGCTCTATCATCGCTCCTCTCTTACTATCGCTTCTGTCTGTTGTTCTGTCCCTCTCCTGTCTCCAAATTATATTTCTCTTCTTCTCTCTTTCATCTTTTTCTCTTTTTGCTCTGATTTCTCTCCTCCCCATCCCTCTCTCTCTCTCTCTCTCTCTCTCTCCCATCTCTTTTCCTCATCCATTTCTATCGTCATCTAGTTTGTAATTCTCTAACTTCCTCCCAATCCATAATATCAGATGCTGCCAATGCTTTTTCGAAAACAAACCCATTGTCGCCCAAACTTTGACGATCACAACAACAAAGGAAATGTGCAACATGAACATTAAATTAAATCGTCTGCGACTCATTATCATTGCCTTAAATTCAATAAAATTATGATTGAGAAGTAGACGTCAACATTTAAATTGGCAAAGTGGCATATCCAGCACATAACTGAAGTGACTTACGACCCCGCCCTCCCAACTGTTTGGTGGAACGGAAGAAGGAAAAAAAAATCATTATAAATATATGTATACATTCGGCCGCCCCACCACTCCAAGCAGAGTATAGAAAGATGGCATGGATTCGTAGTGTACACTATTCTGACAGAGTGACCTGATTGCAGAAGAATCGCTGGTGTGAATGAGATCCAAATCAAATTATAAAGAATAAATGAAGGAAGAAAGAGAAGACGATGAGATGTCATTCTTTTCAAGGACGTACACGTAGGGTGCTAGACGGTATTAATTTAGCGGTATTACACCGGTGTGCAGGTATTCCATTTAAATACGTCAGATGATTGTTTGACATTCTCGAGATACATTGCTAATGAAGAATGACAGTCTTGAACATGACTATAATTTGAAGATGTATTGAGTTGTACATCATTTCCTCCGGCTTTATGAACAATAGAAGTTTTATGATTTCTACATCTGCTGATTTGTAGCTGAACTTTTCGGCACTTAAACTACTTCTTATACATCTACTAGAAAGGCGATCATGACGATCATCTGTGAAAATTTCGTAAAGCGTGACGGAATCTCACTCCAATGATCCATGTTTGACCAGGAAGGCGAGTACACAACAGCTTTTTTGCGATCTCCATGCACTGAAGGCGATGGCGATACGATGAATAAATGAACATAGGAATGATACATCTCCCCCTCTCTTTCTATCTTATGCTCACAGCCTCACTCACTCTTCTTCTTTTCTCTACTTCCATGATTGTAGTTTAAAACCATTCAATGACGTATATCAACTTTCAATATTTTTCTCGAACATCCATACAAGTCATGTGTCATTCTCATTCAAATATCGTGTATTGTACTCCCCTTTTCTTACGTTGCCCGTTTAATATCAGGTTATTATCATATCTTCCTCTTTCATCTTCTTATTGTGCTGCTGCTCCTCCTCCTCCTCCTCCTTCTTCTTCTTCTTCTTCTTCATCATCATTTCTCCACGTATTCCTCCTCCTCCAACTCCTTCTTCTTCTTCTTCTCCTCCAACTCCTTCTTTTTCTTCTTCATCTTCGTTTCGCCTTTGGTCTTCTTCTTCTCTGTCTTCCTTCCTCCCTCTAATCCTCAGTCTCCTCTCATTACATTCTCGTTCGTCTTTCTCTTCCCTGCACTATCTGCCATTCCTCATGTATTAACCTTTACATTCTCTTTACTTCTTTTTCGTTTACTTTTCAAACTTATCTCCCCACATTTAATCTACTTGATCTTCATAATATTCGGCAAGTTTGGAGTCACCGAGCGATCAAATACCAAATCAAGCGAGCAAACTCCAGCAGCATGGCAAAACTAGGCACGCTCGCTAGCTGCAGATAGACGGGGCTTCTTGAGGGGAAACCGCGCCTCAGATCCCGGGGAGAAGACATGGGTCAGTTACCCTAGCGGCGCTGTAAGCCCGCTAAGCTGCGACTGAGTTGGAGGGCGGTGACGAAATTGGAAATGCACTTGAATGATAAAACACAGTTTAGGTTTAATCTGACCTATTAATCTTTAAATGAAGTTATTTGCCATTTTGAAAATGAAATCTATGGTTGGTTATGTAAACACAGACTAAAACTACAAGAAATTATACATTTTCTTACCATTTATTTGTATTACTGTTGTTCGCGATATAGCTCTACATACAATTATTTCACAGTGTTTACAAAATAAATATAGCATGACATTGAATTAAACTTAAGATAACTATAAATATACAATAATGAAATGCAATAGGGGTCTAACTATTCTGAAAAGAGAAATGTTTTAAATAATTCTATGAAAAGGATATCATGTAACCATCTGCTGTAGTATAGGCCTACAACCTGATCACCTAATCAATAGTGTATTTAGCTTTGCCGAATAATTATATTGTAAAAAAGTCGCACATTTCCTTTCAAATAACAGTTTTTTAGTTAGATCGTATTAATTCAGAAATAATTATTTGGATGCGTTGAACAACGAAATGGGTTATCTTAAGTGTGCATACTGAATACTTTAGCCCATGAACATTCGGGAATTTCTGGTACGTTTTCAACAGTGGCTGTCATCTCCTGACCGAATATCGACCTTCAAGGTTCCCAAATTTAGAAGCGAACGAAGCGAGCGAGCAAAATTTTGAGACCTTTATGGCGACGATCAAGCCTTTTCTAAAACAATTTAAATTATTCATAGCCTTTTATGAGCTTTCGTCAGCTAAACAATACACTGGATATAAAAAGTTACTAAGAGATCACCTTGCTGCCAGAATATGAGTTTGCCCGAAACATACTTAAAGCCCGTCTGCACAAGTTTGGCCAGGGAGATTAAAACTCCCTGCAAGGTCACTGACAGATGGTTATCTCATCAAACCAGCTCTCAGTTAACATAAGAAAAAAGGGATCATGGGGGACCAACAGGCACCGATTAGGCATTGTTTGCTATATAGAGGGCGCAAGTAGATATAAGTAGTGCAGTGGGGATTAAGGGGCCAGAGCTCCCCTCACTTAATCGAATGCTTCAGTCTTAGCCCAGTTTTTATATTGATAAATGCACACTCAAATAAAACATGCCAAATCTAAACATAACGAAGAAAGAGGTGTTTTCTCAAATGCACTAAACACTTAATCTTCTATTTGGTGATGGATAATTATTTCCCGCAATATACATCCTCAATACTACCCGCAATTTTCACCTGCGATATTAAATGGGTTAATCTTCATCGAATAAAAATCAAAAGCAGTTTCCGACAAAATAATGCGATAATCGCATTATTTCTTTGATAACATAGAAAAACACACTGAAAGAGCCGGCATCAAATGCTGAAATCTATCTGACAATATTATACGTGAAATCAATTAGGTTCAATAACACACAATAATGGAATTAATTGAATTTTGAGGAGGTACAAATTTAATCATAACATCTTGAGGGTAAACTCATTTTGACTTTTTAATCCACCCAGACGAAAACATGAGGATAAATACTTTTAAATATATTATTGTCTGAGTGATGTATTGTCAGACACGGAATACATCCTAGTAACATTTAGAAGAGGAAAAAAAACATGAAAAAGGACGCTCCAATGTATCACGACAGGAATCGCTTGCGGATATAGACTACATACCTGAGAATTACCCTCAAATTGATTCAATTATGTCGATAAATTTTGAAATTTGCCCAAAGCTTTTTTTCATTGATTGAGACAGGTGAGCTCATGGATGGTGAGGTTAAACATGAACTTGTCTGCGAAAAAAAATTCTTTAGTTTATACTGAAATCTGAGGGTTCGTTGACAAAAATGCATTATTCTTTTTATTTTCAAATTGACTGCATTTATCGTTTTACCCCCCAAAACGGATGCCGAGATTGAAATCACCTTCCCATAAACCTGATGAAAATTTCCAGGTGTCGAATTATCATTATCAAGAGCTCTAAAGCAAGAAGAAAGATTACATGGTTTATTCCTCTGAATTACCAGGCTATAAATTAAGTCAAAAGGTCATTTAACGTCAAGGAATCAGGGTGACCACGTCTTCGATTTTTTTTCTCTCATTGCTTTTCATTCTCTTCCATTTTTATAAATGATCGATTTTCAGTTAAAGTGGTGCCCTATGTTCAACCTCTAGAATGAACGTGTATTTGGCCGGAAATATGGGTAGAACATACGACACAGATTGGATAAGCTAGAGATTGTATCCGTACCAAATATTCCACACTCACGAGTACAAAACAATGTTGACATTTTGGAGTAGGGAATATTTACTTATTGCGATATAAATATTGTTTACCCATGCGATGATTCATAATAATTTGAGCATTGGGGCCTAAACAAACGCTGAAAACATACGATCGTGAAGATCGAAGACCTGTCGGAAACTAAGTCGGCCTATTTATTGAATCAGTCATATTAACATTATAAACATAATTATATTGACATATTAACATATATTAACACACATAATATATATATATATATATATATATATATATATATATATATACATATATATATATATATATATATATATATTGAATAAGGCAGACTAATGGAACATGGTTGCAACTCCGAGTTTCACGCCTATATTTTGCTCTGCCTATAAGCATTGAGCACTGTACGGAGGAATAGACCAAATCTAAGTATATATATATTTACAAGTATATCTCATTTTGCAAATAACTTTTGCCATGGAATTTCAATAACTTTTACATAATAAATAAATATTATTGATCAGTTTTATTGCATTGATATTTGGTTTAAGGAATGAACGGTGCTCACCTCCATCGATCCCTTCGTTTTCTGCTATGATATCGAGCATACCGTCTATGAGAGTCTCGGGTGATTCATTCGGGCCTGTATAGAGAGAGAGAGAGAAAGAGAGAAAGAGAGAGAGAGAGAGAGAGAGAGAAAGAAAAAATGAATACATTAACAAATCACATCCATAAAATAAAACTGAGAGCATATCGCCTGACATGTTGCCTGGATAGAGCCCCACCTCCTTTTTTTAAACATTGCATGTGCGTTTGGACATTTTCTGACGTTAATGATAAACAACTAAAGTCTAACCTAATGAACGACTTATTTCAAGTTTATTAAGTCATTCAAAATTCAACTTCTCTACCTATCTAACGTAACATTATTGATGGCTAATAAGAAGTGCTCGTTTCCGTAAGGGTTTCCCTGTCAATTTAAAACCACTCAGACGAAAGTTTTGAAAAGCAATCCCCATGACAAATCAAAATACGTAATTTAAAATGGCACTTGCTCATTAAACTTATAATTTTCTTACTAACTTATGCGTCCACCTCATTTTTATTTCAGGAAGCATAACTCCTACCAAATTATTTCTAAGTGACAGTCTCTCGATAGATTGACAACATGCAGGTCATCACGAGGTCACATATTTATGATTTTCTAAAAAAATCTATCATTTTGGAGGACAAAATATACACTCCAATGACACGGTCACAGCGTGACATATTTTGAAAGGAACATGACTCGCCATTTTAAATCTTGAAATAAGTGACTCCTTCGTCTCACTGTATTGAAGTTCAAGAACGAACTAAGGAAAATTGACACAATTTTATACTTTGAGTAGCGTAGACACGCATGGGCATGGGCCCACATTACTCACACCGTGTTATAATGAATATATCTTATACTCTGTTTCAAAGAAGGCCATTAGGCTGTAAAAAGAAAACAATTTGTGTACAATAAAACTGAAGTAAATAGGAAAATAATAAATTAATAACTTGTTAATCAGCAAAATAGAACATGCTATGATAACGCGCATCTACCCCCACATTGACGGTAAATGTTATAGTGTCAGGCCATTGAGAAATGGTCAATATAATACAGATACCAGTATATGAACAATTTACTCATTCATTTCTTGCATTTTACCTGTGTATTTTGTGTTTGAAAAGGTAAAAATCTGGGAATTAAACAAAAACCTTAACAAATATTAAACGTCAAACGAAGGGCTGTATATGGCATTTAAATTTAAAAAAAAAAAGAGTTGGTAGCAAAAAAGTAATGGCCACACACCAGCACAAACTTATTAATGTAACCATGATGGTAATGTGTCATTATACCGAAGGTGAGTTAATCCAAACGTTCATGACAAATGATAACTTTGTGATTGACGAACCTTAAAATTAAAGCATTAAAAAACAACGTTCAGATAAGCCAAGCTCATTTGATTTTTCAAATTAATGTGATCAATGGTCCGAGCGTAGGGAAGTTGTTTGTTCAGAATTACGAGTATCCGAAAAATTGAGCATAATCACTTTAAAGCAAGAAATAATTGTTATTTGACAAACCACAAACATCTTCAGGCAATTGTCTTGCATACCTCTCTAAGTACTGAGAAAGCAAAGTGTGCTGTTGTTTGTTTTCTGTCAAAGTTATACTGTGAATTATAATAATAACAATTCACAAAGCACATTACTACGTTGGTACATGTACCTCGAATAAATTTTGTGTATAGAGTATATAAATGTGCTATACAGCGTCGATAATTTGATTTCAAGACCATCGATGCACTCTTTGTCTCAGAGATTCCAACTTTACTTCAAACATAAAACATAAAAAAACTATCAAGCAATCAAAGACCAACAGAAGGACGAGCAGGAGGTTAGAAAGAAAAAGCCGACGACGACGACGACGACGAAGAAGAAGAAAACAAAAGATGTCGAAGAAGAAAAGAAGGAGAAAAGGAGAAGGAGGAGGAGGAGGAAGAGGAGGAGGAGGAGGAGGAAGAGGAGGAAGAGGAGGAGGAGGGAGAAGAGGAGGAGGAAGAGGAAGAGGAGGAGAACGACGCAGAGGGGGATTCATTTGTATAAGTACATTAGAACGGGTGCCTCCATTGTTTTGAAGGCAGACTGATGACACACTGTTCTTTTATGTACTTCATTGGAGGAAGTTATTAACAACATTGTTGGCAGGCACCCACTAGCGATTTATTCTGAAAGTACATATTGTTAGGAACATGACATACATTTGAGATGAGATAGGGAGAGGAGCGAGAGAGGGAGGGAGAGAGGGAGAGGGGGGTAATAAAGGGAGGAAGAGGGGGATAATAAAGGGAGGGAGAGAGAGAGAGAGAGAGAGAGAGAGAGAGAGGGGGATAATAGAGGAAGGGAGAGGCAAAGAGGGTTGGATAGAGAGGGAGATAAACAAGGGAGGGAGGGATAAAGTGAAGGAAGGGGGAAATGCGAAAGCGCAATCGAAAGGAGAGAATAATTTAAGTGAGAAGGAAAGACTTAAAGAGACAGGAATAATGAAAGGAATATGAAAGATAAGCAGGAAAAGTAGGATACTCAGGAAGAGGCAAGGAAAGGACGTTGTAACCTCTTTTTATTTTATCGAAATCATGTCCAGCCGACTACTCAGGCTACTTTATAACATGAACAGAAAGGGATGACAGATGTATTTTGGCAAGCTATAATCAAATTTTCGCATCAAGCCAAAAATGACAATAGTAGCCCATAGAAACGATGATAAAGGGATGAAAGAAACAATATTTTAGACACAATACTATTTGTTAAAGGAACTATGTAACACTTTAAATGGTATTGCGCAAAACCAGTCCAAATGATTATGATGAAAGGAAGCGTAAACTATTCTCATCCCAAACATTTCGTCTAACAGTTAATACACGTGTCGTGCTGTGTTCCACTTTTTTTAATAGTTTACCATACGGACGTAGATAATACGATACATACAAAACCCTACGAGGTAATGTTAAACCAATACTCATATATTCAACATGCAATATTTTTCTCTGCGAGAAGACTTAAAGAAAAGCTAATTGGTATTTTTAAAATGTTCCCCATGTTTTGTTTTTATTGATATATATCAATGAATCTCAAAATCACACAGTTCTGATAATGTTGATGAGAGACATAATATTAAGTCAATTATTGACGATTATGGTTTGCACCGTTTATTTCCTGCAATTAAGTTTTAAAAAAAACCTTCGGCACACTTACATTATTTTTTAAATGTAAAATATTTCTCAATCACTATCGCTTCTTTAATAACGTTAATTCGATGGAGTCCCTTCCACCTTGCCATTACCTCTCTCTCTTCTCTCTCAATCAATCAATCAATCAAACATTCAATATATCGACCAACCGACCAATCATCTGCCAACCAACCAACCAATCAATCAACCAACCAACCAATCAACCACCTAACGAATCAATCAACCAATGATTCAATCAAACGATCTATCAATCGATCAATCACAGATTACAAAAAAAAATCTGAATAGTATCATGGCGGCTTATAAGTATACGAGATAGTTTCTTTAAAGGATAGTCTAAATTGAAATATTACTCAACCCTATCTAGTCGTCGAGCGACGAGACACGAGACCCCCCATAATTGCTTCAATTTGTCAGACATATATCCGTTTTCAATCAATGGCTTGGTCATTGCCGTGTACAAATACTACAAAAGAATTATGGTCTGTCTACCAGACTGTTCTCACTGTCTGACCATAGGCTCATTTGATCAATAGGCGTCATTTCGATTGCAATATAACCTGCGCTAATAAAGCGCATGGAAGGCTCTGACATGTGCCTAGTGAATGCGTGTGTCAGTAATTCAACGCAATGTTCACACCGTTCACACTCTTCTTTTCGTAGTAAGATGATGACCACCTCACACGGTGCATGCGTCAAAGATCGCACATGTTATGACGCAGCCCTACGCCAGGCAGATGACGCGTCACGTGCATTGGCTTTTTAATAGAATATCGCTCCACACTACTGCAGAGTGGAACTATAAGCACAACGCGGCCAAACTTGGTGTGCACATGTGATTGTACACATGACACACTGGCTTCAAACTCAATAACCCGAAGTAGGCCAATGTATTTACGGAAGTGGTAACGGAGCTATCTAGGCCTCACCATATTTTATACATGAACAATGGTACAAGATGATAAAGATGTCAATTCAGTACAAAGTCACGGACAGTTAATTTGGTGAATTCGTCAGATTTTGTCTGCATGTGTGTCTGCTTTTGCAGGCATTATCCCACTAATGCTGGATATTAACCCGTCACGCGCGTCCTTCATTGTGATCTTCAAATTAGGGAAATGAATGAGACGTGAGAGACGACACAATATACGTCACTCATCGTTAGGTGTATAGTATGACTTGGAAAGTTGGGTAAGGTCCATGATTGAACCTGGGTACGAAATAATGTGGTTTAATTTGTATCAGGTGCTGATTCAGATGATGTTTAACATGTTTCGTCGAATTAATTGCTAACGGAAGAGAGGGGGGATGGGTTGAGTGGCGATGCCCCCACCATGCTAGTATGGTGTTGCCGCTGGTTAGGGATCTCTCATTGTGTTTTCATTAATTTCAGCTACCAAAATGGTGATAGGGGGTGTAACCCTTTCGAATCGCCCTTTAGATTTCATGTTTTGCAGGGCTGACGGGTGGTTATCGGGAAAGCAAACGCTTTGACTTGGGGATGCTCCCATTATGCACCCTCAATCCCCCCCCCTTTGAAGCCGTCCCTAATTCTAAATCCTGCATCGTCCACTTTTCTCTATCTTTTTTTAACAAGTTTGAGCTTCCCCTATATTCGTCAAGTCAACTGAGAGACAACTAACAGCGTCATCATGTACTTGACGTTATAGGACACTGGAGGCACAAGAAGCATCCGTCTTAAATGCCCCCTGTCATCACATAATTAGAATGTTCCTTGCTAATTCATGTTTCTTGAGGGTTCACCCGCAGTGCATCCTGGTATACAAGAAAGATTTCATGAAATCTTCAACAACTCAAAAATTAGGCCTACGTACGTCGTGTACACTTCTCTTTTTAGAGGTTT